CACAAGGTTAGAAGCTCGCACAGATAACACACATTGGATGCTAATAGTAATACTTGCACTCAGGAATGTGTGCAAATACGACAGAATTAATTCCAAATAAAGCCACAACAATAGCTGCCTCAACACAGTGCTATCAACACAGTGCTATCAACCATCCGTATTTTCCATATTTGTACGGAAAATCACTACTTCGTCCGCACTATGGATTTTGAGAAAAATGTACGGAAAATTGAACGGGATTGATCAGTATGTATAAGCATTGCAAGTGCAAGCTGAGCGATGAAAAGAAGAGAACCGAGTGGAAAGAAAACGCTGCAGTGGAGAGTCCTTAGAAAAGACTTTAAAAATATCAATAATATCGCTGCACGAGATCATCCTTATAAGTTATAACGTCAGCTGATCGTACTGTGGTTGATTCATACGGCGGTAAATACACACCTGCCTACACACGCTCTCTAAACTGAAAAGTTATTCTGGCACAGAGCTCTCCTTCCCGCCACCACCACCATCATCAGTTCGCGTCTGGCGCCTAGTCGATGCAGGGTGAGTGGTGTCCGACATAGCAGGCTGGTACATCAGGTAGCGTATGGCGCATAGCAGATGACACAGCAACAACATAGCTTGATTGCGACGTACCTTTCGTCCCGGCTGGACTCATCAGGCAATCTTCTTCTTAGATGTCTTCACAAGGAGCTTGACTCGGGAGAATGAAGTTGAAGACTCCACTGCAACTGCACTTATGGTTGGTTCATATGGTGGTAAATACACACCTGGCAATATGGGGGTAAATACACGCCTGCCCAGACACGCTCTCTAAACTGCAAAGTTATTCTGGCACAGAGCTCTCCTTCTCACTACCACCACCACCACCACCACCATCAGTTCGCGCCTGGCGCCTAGTCGATGCATGGTTAGCGGTATCCGACATAGCAGGCTGGCACATCAGGTAACGCATGGCACATAGAAGATGGCAACGACATAGCTTGATTGCGATGTACATTTCATTCTCTCAGTTGTGCTGTAGCCTGAAAAAGGAAATAAGACAATGCATCCACATGACACAGACAAGTTGCATACTGCTTGATAACAGAGAAAGAAAGTCAGTGGTCACACAAGTGTTTGGTCGTCCCTGAAACGAAGATCGTTCCAGGGGGGGGGGGGGGGGGGGGGGGGGGGAGCTAAAATCTCAGTCGACTGACGCTATGCATACACATGTACATGCATGCGATTTTCGTCGTCCATTCATTTCGGAGGGTGGAGAGGAGGTCCGAGTACGAAATGAATGATGTTTTTTCAGGGATGACTAATCACTTTTGCGATGACCCCTTATTGCATCAATTTATCGTCTGAACTGCGCAATTGAGTCCCACTTTTATTATGTTGGGTCCAGATTTCAAGACTCGTGAAGTTCGAGGCGAAAAGCAGGCCGATGAAGGGACGCCAGTAATTCAGTCTAGTCCGGTGTCATGGAGAGGGGCCGATGAACCGGCAACAAGAGAATTCAATACACATGCTACTCTTCAGTTCATTGCTGGGGAAGACTACTCAAGGCCACGTCACTCCGGCAATTCAATGTACAAATCAGCAGCAACACTTTCAAACGTATTCCTACCAGCTGACCAGCAAGTTACCAGCCATCAGCTCTTCAAATAATTTCAACTTAACAGGAGAGGAGATGGACAGATCGGAAAGTATCGTGGCAAGCTCAGGACAACACACGTCCGGCCCTATGTAACAACAGTGGAAAGTGCGTGCCATGGTATATTTTCGAAGGCATATCAAGAACCAGCTAATGTGGACTGGGAGTCCATTTGCATCGTCCGATCAGCTGCTACAAGTGCCGTGAGCCAATGGCAAACACGTTTAACAGAGACTACTACCTCTACTGAATGCAACTTTGGCATGGCAGAGATCTACAAGCACGTTATCTTATCTATCAATAGAGTTGTATCCTCGTATGACTATATGAAGTGTGGGGTCATACTGTACTGCAGACGCGTCTACGACCTGGTTGGAAATGTACGCAACAGTTCCCACCCTCTTGACCAGAGATCGCACACACCCTAGGGTTTTGATGGGTTTGTACGACTCCCAGCTCTTGACTTTTGTTGGGTGTACGAGACGCACGCACAGTTTTCTTAGGGTGAGTACTTTTTCATGTAGTACTGAATGCGGCAAGCAGGACTCGCCCATCCGCCCCTCCCCAAATGGATCTACTCGAATGGTTCCGGAGGTAGGGGTGCTCTGGCGGGATTTTACGACATACACAAGCACGCACACACGCACACAATATACACCCGCACACACACATATACACACGAACGCACGCTATGTCGCACGTCTTGGGCATGGCTTCGTGAATACAAATAATAATTTAATGTTATAATTTATAGGAATGTTAGAGCAGCTTTACAAAACCTACCGTTCAATACCGGATCATCTTGTGACAGCTTCCTTGCAACACCCATGACTTGACCCCACTTCGTCTTGACGTCGGGAAATCGTTCACGCCGGAGTTGGGACACGACTCATTGAAATCCAGGCCTATCTGCAGCTGGGAGCAGGACAGAGCTGATGGACGTCAGCAGCGGCTGTAGAACAACCATAAACGAGTCTTCTTTCTCCGCAGTCAGGCGGGACAGCAGCTTTGCAACGCAAGCTTCTTGCCTTGTGGGTCTTTAGCGGCTGGGATTCGGAACGCTCTGTAGAAACCATTGAACAAGTACTGCACTCTATCAACCCACAAGTATTTCTTCCAATTCATGATTATTCGCAACTTTTTATGCAGTACGCGCACCAGATCAGAAGCCGCTAAGTAGCAAGGTTGAAAGTTTCAAGACAAATAATTAATTGAAAAATATAATAACATAGAAAATTAGAATTCAAACCATACCTGTGGCCCAAGCCAGGCAATACAAACTGAGCGTTCACGCGAAGAGAACGTAGATCTACGTCAGCTGAGGTTTCCTTAGGATCAGGAGGTGATTCTTGACCCGGATCTGGATCGCGATCTGCAGCACTCTCTGCCTCAATCACGATCATCAAATGCAACTAATTACTTGGAAAAGTAGTTCATTCTTCTTCTTCTTTTCGAGCTACGATTTCCCACGATCCTATCGATCCTGCACGAGTCCGTTCCCCAAGGAGTGCACTCCCAAAGACTCCCATGGGCATGGCATAAGTACGCGGAGTAGTTGGTTTATAACTCAGGGCACGTACCGGGGGATATCTGAGGGAAAAGTGGGAGAAAGTGCCGCGAGTCAATCATAGTCCTCGTGTCGCCTCCCGGGTCTATACGACTCCCTGGGCCAAACTAAAGAAGGTGTGTGGTTCGACTAACATGGACATTTTTTTTACGGGCGGGCGGGCGGATTTTTTTAAATATATTTTTTAGTACATGTAAATCAGGGAGTCGTCAAATACAAAAAAGTATTTGACGACTCCCTGATGTAAATACACTGTAGTACTAGTAGACACCCAGTACATCGGCATTATTACGCAGTGTTATGCCATACATGTTGCATAAAGGGATCACCGGCTAATACTTTGAAACATTGTGTAGCTCTGGAACGAGAAGAGAATAACTTCAAGCGGTGACTCTGACTGTCCAAATCATCAAGCAAATGAAGAACGATGCGAGTTGAAAGTAAGTTCGGGAACTACTTCGAAGTACAAATTGTACAATGTACCGGTACATGTATTGCTAGTTTGGTGTCGGCGTGCACGAATACATGGGCTTTTTCCATCGACGCTTCCTGTGCTTGCACAAGCAGCAACTAACGGTACAGGTGAAAATAATTGGTTCCCAATACACGAGGAAAGTGCAATCTCACTGCACTGCACTGCAGTCTGCAGTACAACTACAAGTCAAGTCCAAAAGGAGCCGCCTAGCGCCTGCGTCCGCAGACTCGCGCTGCACAGCACGTAGACGTGGACGTGTTCAGTCCACGTACGTCAGTCACACGACAGCCCGCCGAAAAAAAGTTACGGTCGGGCTGAAAAATGTACGGTCGGTCGGGTGAGTCGAACCACAGACCTTCTTCAGTGTGGCCTAATAATAAACTACAATGTATGGGCCATGCATCCGTGCTTTTATCAGAACGAAATGGAGCTTTCCGAGTGACATTTTGCATACAAATCCCCATCTAGTAGTAGTAGGGCACGGTCACCCAGTTTCGGCGGAAGTGGCGAGTTCGATTGGGAATAAAGGAGGAAGGCAGCGTATCAGCTTCCTCGGACCACGACCATTCGACTCAGCACCCCGAAGACTACAACTGGTCAAAAATTGACTTTAGCCTAGTCTTTTGGATGCTGAGTCGACTGGTTTTGGTCCGAAAAGGCTGCAATGCAGCGTTCCTCCTTTATTCCCAATCGAACATGGTTGAACAAGCGGTTACGTACTCCTGCGTACACCAGTCACCAGGTCACCGTGCCTGCAGGGTGCAACTTGCAGCCTGTTTGACCTTTTTTGGGTGCAGTCCTGTCACTTGAGTTGAACTCGAGTTGAACCTTGGTGTGAACGTTGTCGCCTGCTGGCGCGGTGACCAGGTGACTTGGGAACGCAGGAGCACGTGACCGCTTGTTCAACCATGTTCGATTGGGAATAAAGGAGGAACGCTGCATCGCAGCATTCTCGGACCAAGACCAGTCGACTCAGGGTCCAAAAGACTACAACATATGGGCCAATCGCGGTCCTCCGGGCTTTTATAAGAACGAAATGGCGCTTTTACTGTGACATTTTGCATACAAATCCCCATCTAGTAGGGTGCAGTCACCCAGTTTCGGTGGAAGTGCGCGAGTTCGATTGGGAATAAAGGAAGAAGGGAGCATCTCAGCTTCCTCGGACCAAGACCATTCGACTCAGCACCCCGAAGACTACAACTGGTGAAAATTTGACTAGCCTTAACTTCCCCAGCCCCACCGGCTCAGAACGGATGGCCTATGAATTCTGAGTGGAGAGGCCGTCGGCCAAAACTAGCCTACATGTACATGGCATGTACTAATCAAGGAAATTCAGCATTGCTCGCAAGCACCCTAATTATTAAAAATTACAAGCTTCCTCTCATCACATGCTTATGACGGATATCAACGGAAGATGACGTAACACCTACTTATACTCAAGGCACTTGATCAGATTCTCAGAAGGGGTATTTCTTATAAATATTGAAAGCTAGTCCACCTTGGCTAGCCTTGGCTGAAGAGCGCGTAAGCATAGTATATCAGGGTCATGAGTTCTGGCCTGGGACATGTACAAGTGCCACAGCATGCCTGCCCCCACACCCCCTCCCTCTCTTTCTGGGATGTGAAGCATGAAGTCAACCGTATCGATTGCCACAGGCCGGACTAATTGAGGGACCTTGGTGTGGATGTGAGGGGTACAGCGGCATGGGCAAGGTCTGTGGCACGCCAATGTGCTGCTGAGGTACGGCTGGACAAGGTTGTGCTGCCAATCTTGCCACCGGCCGACTTGTCTGCAACCGAATCACGTTGATCAAACACCGGTAGTGTGCTGGAGGCCGGAGAAACAAGAGCGGAGGGAAGAGGTACTGTGGAGTGCAGCCTTGTTTGCTCCACAGTCGCTGCTACTGCTGCTGCTGCTGCTGTAGCCAGCGGCGGTGTTCTGTATGGATCTCGTCGAGAGTTGAGCTGACGCTGCAGTAGTGATGTGTGCTGCTCCAGGGTTTCAACCTGCTTCTTCAGAGAAGTGATGGTGTCTTCAAGATCCTATGCATCACACACACACATGCGCGCGCACACACACACACACACACACACACACACACACACACACACACACACACACACACACACACAATACACACACAATACACTTGTACTTGTACTTGCTCACTGCCAAAACTGGTCACGTGGGTCTCCCCGGGAGAGGGGAGAGAGACTCAAAAGGAATCTTGGAAAGATGACTCAATTGGCCATTGAACCACCCAACGGCCGACACCCCCTGAAATCCCCAAACTAGGGTGGACTTGAAATGATCCCACTTATGGGCTCACCACACCACACAATACACACACACACACACACACACGCCGTCATACACACATACATACATGTACATGAGGACGCACACCCACACACACACACACCCACACACGAACACACATACGCACACCCCACCCACACACCCACACACCGGAACAGTTACCTGTAAAATTGCTAAATACGCGGACAGCATACCTGCCAAGTATCCAGATTTTTTCGGGATTATCCCGCAATTTTGGATGAACTCCCACGATCCCGAAATTCCTGTCGATTATCATGAAATTCACTGTACAAGAAGCAAGCTTGATATTGTACTTGGAGCACTTCAAATGACTTGTCACAGGCCAGTAATTGTCCTTATTGATCCCGGACCGCCATAGCCTGCAGTACCAGTGGATCTACATATACATTGTACTAGTGCTCCTTCCATGAACAGTATCTGAAAACCCTCCGTTTTTGAGTCTTGAACATGCGTAAGTGTGATCCGATGATCACCATCAATCAGCTATTAGCGAAATGTTGGTGCCATCAAAAGTTGAAAAAGGATTTTTTGGTAAAAATATGACATATCCCGAAAAACCAAGGCTAATCCCGGGATTTTGCCATGGCGATCCAGAAAAAGCACTCTCAGTACTTGGCAGGTATGGGACAGTCATGAAAGAAAATATTGCCTCCACCACTTTTTCGACATAGCTGTCTTCGTTTTAAAAAGGGGAAGAACACCCTGAAATCAAATTTTCACCAGTTGTAGTCTTCGGAGTGCTGAGCCGAATGCTCTTGGTCCGAGGAAACTGAGACGCTCCCTTCCTCTTTTATTCCCAAACCGAACTCGCCACTTCCACTGAAACTGGGTGACTGCGCCCTACTAGATGGGGATTTGTATGCAAAATGTCGCTCACCCTTTCGTTCTTATAAAAGCACGCATGACCGCGATTGACCCATACCGTTGTAGTCTGTTGGACGCTAAGTCGTCTGGTTATGGTCTGAAAAGGCTGCCATGCAGCGTTCGGCCATTAATCCCAATCGAACACGGTTGAGTAAGCGGTCACATGCTAGTGTGTACACCAGTCACCTTTTTTTCTTTCTTTTTTTTGAGCCACGTAAACCTGTCATGTGTGAGCCATGAATTAGGGGAGTGGTGGCGTGGTCTGGGATGCTCTGCCGACCTTGGGTCTCGGCTTCATCACAACCTGGTCACTGTGCCTGCAGGAGACAACCCTCACACCAATGTTCAACTCAAAGGTTTAAAGGTTTAACTCGAGTGACAGGAACGCGACCAAACAGGCTGTAAGTTGTAGCCTGCAGGCACGGTGGCCAGGTGACCATGGCGACTGGTGTACGCATGAGCACGTGACCGCTTACTCAACCGTGTTTGATTGGGAACAAGGGCCGAACGCTGCATCGCAGCCTTTTCGGACCAAACCCAGTCGACTCAGCGTCCAAAAGACTACAACATATGGGCCAATTGCGGTTACCCGTGTTTTTATACCAAGTAAGAACCAGTATCGCATGAGCTGATTGTTTAGTAACTGGTGGTGTTAGTGGACAGTATAGCGTAACTTGTAGTTCCTTGGACCTTTCTCCTTTGCATAAATTAATCCTCGGCTCTCCATCCGAGTCCACTGATTAAGAACTAGTATGTGCTTGTTTCTCCGTCCTAGTTCTCATTCAAGATCGTAATGCAGTAATGCCATGGCCAGCAATCAAGGACATCTGAGAGTTGTAATTTTTGTACTCCTCCGAGGTGTGATTTTTGGCGTGCTGGGCCAAGCAAAAGGAAGCCATCTACAAAAAAACTGCAGAAAATGGTTGTTGTTTGATTCTTTGGTGTAATCTTTGTTTCTAGTCGAAGCTAGTTGCTGTTTGGAGCAGAAACGCTGAAATTGACTATTTTCTGCATGTACTCATACATGTACTCATGTACTCAGTCATGCAGTCTCACCCGTATTTTAGCTCTTTTTCTGGAATGGATGCTGCTCTGCGCCCCTTGGTGAACATTTCCTGCGCTCGTGGAGCAGCTGAAAAGGACCACTGATATGTCTGGTTCCTGGTTTGGAAGTGGAGAGTCGACTTTTGTGCCTTGAAAAAGGAGTAGAGAGCGATAAAGGTACGTCTGTGGCTTATTTTTGAGTGCTCCTCGTACATTTTTGATCGTGATAGAAATTCTCAGACCAAAGTCAGACCAAAGTCAGCGCGATGATGGCCGTACTGTTTTCTTGTGGATTTTTTAGTTGTTTCATCTCGTATCTATGTCAGTATCGTGATGGTGAAGTGGAGAGGGTGATTTTCTTCCTCTAGGCTTCGTTCGGCCGGCTTTGCTTCGTCCTCGTTGAAAAGTGATCCTGAAAAAAAGGTCGATTCGAAAAATTATGTTGATTTTGAATGTACGTGATGACATGCGATTGCTGGCTATGCGCTGGAAAGCTTAGCAGAACAGAAGATAGAGCGTGAGCAAAGAGCATGAGCATAATTCATGACCATGCCTTCATGCACAGAATTTCGACATACACATAAATGCACAAGGTCACTCTATGTTATGTTAATTCTACAGCTCTGGTGCATTTTTGTCCATTCTAATCTCGAGAGCCCATGCACATTCAATCACTCAACTGAGGCATACCTGACGCACAGAAGTGGGCAGCAAGCCTCTGACTTTGTCTTCAAACTGCTGAGTTAGCTTTGCAATCTGAAGACAGGGAGAGAGATAGATAGATAGATAGATAGAGAGAGAGAGAGAGAGAGAGAGAGAGAGAGAGAGAGAGAGAGAGAGAGAGAGAGCAGGGAAGTTGAATGCAGAGCACGCTGGTCAGAAGTACTTGTACATACATGAAGAACATTTTAGAGTGTCAGACCAGCGTTTTTTCATAGGCTTTCCTTTCACTTCACCTTGCACGCAATGGGAGAGTAGGCTTCCAAAGAGCTCCATAGTAACATGGGTGTGACTCATCAGGCACGAAGAGCTCCATTCTTTCTTTCTTCTTTCTTATACATGATTGTATGTCTACTACTTTTCTTTTGTTGATTTGGCCGTGGTTGCCTATCACCCCTCTGTCATTCGATATTGGCATTGCTTGCCACGAGATGATGATGCAATAATAATAGCAACATGGGTGTGACTCATTAGGCACGAAGAGCTCCATGGGAACATTGGTGTGACTCTTCAGGCACGAAGAGGTCCATGGGAACATTGGTGTGACTCTTCAGGCACGAAGAGGTCCATGGGAACATTGGTGTGACTCTTCAGGCACGAAGAGCTCCATAGCAACATGAGTGACAGGAGCATGCGCCGGTGCCCTTCAAGGGGGGGGGGGGCGGGGGCCTCCCCCGGGACAATTTTCAAAAAATGAAGCAAACTCCTGCATTTTGAGCGAAAAAAAGGGGGGTTCCGGGCACCCAGGAACCCATACGGGGCACGCGCCTGGGTGTGACTCATCAGGCACGAAGAGCACGTGTGCGCGCACACACACATACACACACACATTTTTTTACCTTCTCCTCCTCCTGGAGTGAGCGGTGTCGAATCTTCTTTTCCAGGTGATGGACCCTATTGCGCTGCAAGTCCACTTCCTGCTGCAAGGTCTAGGGAAATAGAAGAAGATGAAACGCAAGGATACACAAACACACACTCGTGCACACAGCACACAAACACACACTCGTGCACACAGCACACAAGCACACACTCGTGTACACAGCACACAAACACACACTCGTGCACACAGCACACAAACACACACTCGTGCACACAGCACACAAACATGCACATGCACATGTACACAAACACACAAGGGTACATGCACACATATGAACACAAACACACACACACACAACACACGTGTACATAAACAGTGTCAAACACTCACAGCACGCACCCCCCCCCCCCCCCCCCCCCCCACCACCACCACCACCACCACCACCACCACCACACACACGTCATGATGCATATACTGTGGATTCTGCCTTAGCAGATGCCTCTCAAAAGGACACCCCAGATTAAATACACCTTCGCGTTGTAAAAAAAAAAGAAGCGATGTACTAATCTGTAATCAGTACTTGGTATGTGTCCATGTACAGGATACTACACACAGGGTGTGTCTGGCCAGGTCCTCTGGGTATCCGGGTGTCTGCAATTGGGAAGCCGGACAGCATGGTTGTACCCAGTACATGGATTGATATAGTCGACGTGTAGCTACGCGGCCGTACCTGAAGTGCAGTATCGTGTTGCTGATGGAGGGCAGCGACCATTTCGCTGTGACGATTGTCCCGTGAGTCCTCTTCTCTCTCGTGCCTTGCACGCTCACTGCAGCAATACACGGACAGGAGCACTTGCTCTGTTACTACTGTAACCAACATATCAGTGAGCACCCCCCCCCCCCCCTTTCCCCCGCGGCGGATCTCTAGACACCTGCGCTGGAAGTGGATGTAGGGTATTGTGCGTGGTGTAGTGGATGAGTTCATGGGCTGCTCAACCGGAGAGAGCAACACCGGGGGATTTACACATGATTATAACACACACACACACACACACACACACACACACACACACACACACACACACACACACACACACACACACACACACACACACACACACACACACACACACATACCCCAGCAGTAATATTATGTTACCGGTATGCAGCTACGGTCACAAGGACCAGGGGCGGATCCAGGAGGGGTTCCAGGGGTACCGCGGAACCCCCTAAATTTCGTAAATGTACTACTGGCAACCATATGCGTGTTCATGTACATGTATCAGCTATTCAGTTTTGACTACTGGAACCCCCATGTACTGTAGAGATCGCTGGATCCGCTGCTGACGGGGACTACGGCCAATCTATGACGTACTATTGTGCAGGGCTGCCAAAAATGATACTTTATAAGTTTATTAGCGCAATAAATAGAGTAAGCTGCGCACTCAGTACAAACACCATTACTGGCATTAGCAACACTTGTTTTCATGTATATAACACTTGTTCCTTGAATGTTTTCGTGGCCATCTCTTCAGAAGGATTACTGGCAAATCAAAACAAATTCAAAACGCAATATAAATACGTTAATATAATGTATTTATAGCCCAACGTATGACCCTCCGGTATGACCCTCGGACTAACCTGTCGGGTAATAACAATGTCATAGTACATTGGTAACTATGTAACCGGTACCTGACACTTCATTACCTGCGACATGTACGTACACACAGTAGCAGTGCATGATAGACCTATGGTGGCCAGGAGCGGCGCATCATCAAAGTCACCGAATATGGCGGTTTCACGTCTACCACATGACCGTCTTACGGGATAGCCATGTTGGTTCTAACTTCACTCAACCGTTTGCATTTATGGGTCACATGATGTCAGCCATGTTGGTTCTAACTTCATTCAACCGTTTGCATTTATGGGTCACATTATGTCAGCCATGTTGGTTCTAACTTCACTCAACCGTTTGCATTTATGGGGCACATGGTGTCAGCCATGTTGGTTCTAACACACTCAACCGTTTGCATTTATGGGTCACATGATGTCAGCCATGTTGGTTCTAACACACTCAACCGTTTGCATTTATGGGTCACATGATGTCAGCCATGTTGGTTCTACCTTCTAAGTGACTTCTAACTCCACTCAACCCGTTGCATCTAAGGGTCACATGATGCGGGCCATGTTGGTTCCAACTCCACTCAACCCTTTGCATCAATAGGTCCTACGATGTGGGCCATGTTGGTTCCACTGTCCACATGCCATGATCACGATTCAACACAATTTCAGTCACATGATTCACATGAGAAGCCACAGTCTATTCACCGCACTGCTTACTTGTCAAGTTCCGACTTTGCTTGCCGCAGCTCCTTCTGAAGCTTCTGATTACTCTGTTGGCAAGGACATGATCGCACCAAAAAGTTCAGAATGGAGACAAATGCAAAGGAAAAGACCTTCTCCTTAGAATGGCACAAAGGTGCATTTAAGACAACACACAGCGTTCTCTTCCAGATGGAAATGCACACGATGGCCAATCAGGATTCAGGTCAAAGGAGGGTGGAAGGGAGGATGCAGCACCCTGCTACGCTTGTAGTGGGCACTCCCAGGAAGGAGGACCACTCTCCTGATAATCGGAGCCTTTCTCCTTTGGGGGCAGATGCATGACAATGAATTTCAGAGCATACCTCCCAGAACCATACAGATCTGTACTGATTTACCCAAGCCCGGTACCGTGTATCCAAGGTCAACACGACTTGAATAAGTAGACATGAGTAGGCATAGGGTGCCCGGACAATTGTACTTAGCATCGCTGCCATACTCTTCTGTGCAGTCTTACCACCGCCCCACCCCCACTCTCACTCTGCAACGGAATCACAGCCATTCCGTTCCCCGGGACGCAGGACACAAAGGACAAGACTAGTTTGTTTACATTGTTATATTGACATGACGGAAACCAGGGACTACGACATGACGGAAAAGAAGATTACATTCAAAGAGACGAACAAGAAGACTGACAAAAGGACTCTCGACTACAACATCGCGCATGCTCATATCACACATGCATGTGACTAGGCGAGACAGTTTGGGGAATGCTATCACACAGGAAAACAACACATCATTTTACAACAACCCCCACATCATAGTATCAATTAACATTCTACTCGATCATCATGCTAGAGTATAGAGTAGACACACACGCGTGCAGGACGCGACACACCAAAAGACAGGAGAGTGAGTTTGGAAGAATGGGAATGTCGGGCAGAGTAGCTGGCCTCATTTGAGTGCGCGTTAACAAATCGTGTGGTCGGCCTACCGAGGGCAGGAGCTGTATATGACCAAGTGGGTCGGCCTGCGCTGAGCAGGAGCGGTTTGTGACCCATGCGAGTTGGTGGGTCGGCCTGCGTTGAGCAGGAGCGGTTTATGACCCATGCGAGTTTAATAGTAGTGCGCGAGAGGCCAGTTATGGAGGAGTGCCCGCATCCGTGTGTTTCAAAATATGTGGAGTGTAGTGTAAGAGTAAGAAATGGGATGAGGAGGGTGGGTCAGAATTTGAAAGCTGACTGCAGGCAAGGAAACTGGAAAGACAGCAAGCTCTGTTGTGTGCACAGGAAATCTGCGCATGCGCAGAGCGTGGGCATGTGATGTCTATGATACACGGCAGTATGTAGAGAGAGCAAGATTGTACACACACGTAAGGAGGGTCATGCAACCCGTTATAAAGGCCAACAGCGAAGCAATGGTACGTGACTGCTAACAACGGTTAACTCCTACGTTAACCGAACATTTTTGTCCTGGTAAGAACTAGTGTTGAAACGATCTCACCGGGTACTCGTTAGCTCGCTCGCCAGAAACTCGGCTCGTTTGTGCGGCCAGCTCGTTTGCACTAACGAACACCGTACACCGTACTCCGTACACATGGCAGTACATGTTGACCGGGGAGTCGTAGAATATTTTACGACTCCCTGGTCGATCAAGAGTCCCGCGCAAAATGAAAATCACTCGCAGTTACAGTGACACCTGCACGACACTGAGTTGTTTCAGTTGTCGTTGCAGCTTTGGTGGACTCTACTGATGTCTTGCTCCGCATCTGCTGACCTGTCGAAGGATATGCTTCAGTCACCTCTCCATTCGAGTGAAAGTTACGCTGAGTCGTTTGGAAGTTTTCTCCCGCGATGCAGCGAAGAACAGGGCTACTTGCAATCGTTGCGAAAGGGTCTATTCTTACAAAGGCTGCTCAACGACAGCGCTGAAAAGACATCTCGACACCAAACAGCAGTTCGAAGTGAAGCAGCAGCAACCCCAAATGCCGGCGGTGATATCTGAACCAGCTGGAAAAAATCGAATTTAGAAAAAAAGTTCAAAAAATCATATTTGCCACATCAATGAAACTCGTTAGCTCGCTCGATAGCTTGCTCGTTAGTGGAACTGATCGCTTGTTTGTTATAGATACGCTCGTTTCAACACTAGTAAGAACCCTAGGTATGATTGATGAATCAGGCAGGGTACAATGCACTTGAATATCGATTTTACCTTGGAGATAGATGCAACCTTTCCCGTGTAGTCTGCTTCCAGAAGTTGTAGACGATTATTTGTCTATATCCACCGTACACACAGAAATGGTCAAGCAACAGTAGAGCACTTAGTGTGACGGTCACGGATACTCTGCTGTATGAAAAGTGGTATTTGTGTCTGTCTGGCTGCAGTTGGGCATTGCTGAAAACTGCTCCAATAGAGACCCAAGGATTGTAGCATGTGGGCATGCACACACGCGCGCATGAACATACTAGTATTTGCTTACATGCCCATGTGCACGCACAGTCAGGCATACACATACTGTGACACGTGCACAAACACAAGCGTCCGAGACGGCACTTTACCTTAGCAAGCAGTTCGTCAATCTCAGCACTATGCTCCTGCTGTAGCTTGGCACGGAGATGTGACACTTCAGAACGAAGGCGATTTGCCTGTGTGTGGGGTAAAGCAGGAAACATGCTGGCATCATCTAAAACTCGGGCCTACAATACAGGTACACTTATCCCAAATATGGTACCATCACAGGCCCAGTGGAAAATACACGCCAGTATAGATGTACACACTCGCACACACGCACACGGACACACACACACGGACACACACGCACACACCCACATACACACACACACACACACACACACACATACACCCACACCCACACACACACATTCTCTCTCTCTCTCTCTCTCTCTCTCTCTCTCTCTCTCTCTCTCTCTCTCTCTCTCTCTCTCTCTCTCTCTCTCTCTCTCTCTCTCTCTCTTTCTCACTTGATTTCCCTCCCTCCCTAGCTGCATTCCTATCGATGCCTGGTCGTAGGCTATGATTCCGAGACCTCCGGTCGGATGAGCCTCGCCAACCACATCGGCACATCGCCCCTACTCCCCTTTGTCTTGTTGTCCAGTGCCATTTAAGTTTTCCTCTTCCCCTGATTATTAGTAGGGCTGTGTTTGCTAGTAAAACAAAACAAAACAAAAAAACACACACACAGTACACAGTACGTAGTACTTACAGTATTCTCCATCTCTCTGTTACATCTCTCCTGCTCACCGGCATTGCGGTGCTTCAGCTCCAGTAACTGTGAATTGCACTGGGCTATTGTCTGTGTGATCTGCATACGGCAACAATCGACGTGAAGACAATAATTTAATCATACATATAAGAACTCAGATGGTGAGCCAAGGAATAAAATTGTAGCATGGAAAAATGTGGGCACAAGTTATGCGACCACCAGTTACTTTACAATCACAGCTCATGCGATAACATTGCACGACACTGCCCAACGGTACAGACGTTCTGCACCTAACTGTTATCGCATGAGCTGATTGTAAAGTAACGGGTGGTGTTAGTGGATAATATAGCGTAACCTGTAGCTCTTTGGCCCTCTTTTCTTCTTATAAATTAATCCTTGCCTCTCCACCTGAGTCTAAATTAAAGCAGATTATGAAATCATGACAGATGTAGAGTGGTGTTCACATCAGTTTGTCATGTGACTAAATTTGTGTAGAAAGTGATCATGCCATGTGGACAGTGGAACCACCGTGGCTGGCATCATGTGCCTTCTATTCGGTACTCTTTGCAGGGCCGTAGCAGGCGGTCCGGCAGGTCCGGCAGCTGCCGGACCAATATTCGACCAAAAAAAAAAAAAAAGCGGGACCTCACAGATGTGAGCAGCTCAGGATGTCCACCCGGTACCATTGATGAGGATGTGTGCAATAAGTAGCATAGAGGTAGTACATAGTAGTGCCGGTAGTAGACCTACATGTCATCACTTTCAAGAGTTTGACCCCGCTGAAGGTCATGTGGACAGTCGTGCCCGTGAATGTTCCTACTCTGTACTTCCTGAAATGTATTGATTCTTTTCTTCCTCCAATTCTTTCTAGATAGGGTTTGTATCAAAGATATTCCATTGCAATACCCTTTCTCCTCCTCCAAAGGTCCATTTTGGTTCTTTTATCACATGTGCATTTAGATACGGTTGCTATGCCTTCATAGGCTTCAACAAGTTCTGTTTGGACGGACACAACATGCTGATGCCCTTTTTCCTGACTCATGCCGAACGTCCTTCTTCCTTTTCTCGCCCTATGTCACTCTGCATGGTCACGATTACATGCATGTACATGTACATGTATGTACAATCATGTACATTAAATTTTGTACATGTACCGGCATATGTATGAGTGTGGGCTCGGGGGGGGGGGGGGGGGGGGGGGGGAGCATCGAAGTCGGATCTTGCCGGACCAACCAAAATGGGGCTGCTACGGGCCTGCTTTGTAGTTGTACTTCTGTACTGTTGAGCTATCCGAATTCAAATAAACATTAAAAAAAAAAAAATGTAACCTATAGATGCAGGGGTTGAGTGGAGGTGGAACCAACATAGCTGTCCGGTATGGTCATGTGACTGATGTCAGTGAAAGCACTCTATACAACTAAATCATGAATTTAGCCTTAGGGAAAGTCCCATCCATTTAAGTATGGCCATGCACGGCTGTAGCGTTCCTACCTCCGATCTAGCTTGCTGCAGTTGTTCTTCTAAATCTCGGATCACCTGAGCCAATGCAGACATACATGAACAGGGCATGTGTACAACACACATGCACACACACACACACACATAGACATACACAGATACACGCATGCACATAAACACACACATACACGTACACAAACGTACACACGCACACACATAAACATACATACACACAACCACACCACGCATGCACACATGCAAGGGCGCACGCGCACATACACATACATGTGCACACACACACACCATGTACATGTGTGCAAACACGCAATGGCACGTGCACAGACGTACACACACACACACACACACACACACGAAAACGCACCCACCCATTGGCACCGATAAATCACGAAGGCAATCTCAACTTTGAAACACCTAGACCATGTGATCTACATACTACATCACAGACATAAGCAAATTAGAGACTAGGACACTTGAACATATCGCATAACTGTTAATCAATGCTAAAGTGAATGTGGTCATATAGGGGGTTGTGTATGTATGTATGTATGTATGTATGGATGTATGTATGTATGTATGTGTGTGTGTGTGTGTGTGTGTGTGTGTGTGTGTGTGTGTGTGTGTGCGTGTGTGTGTGTGCGTGTGTGTGTGTGTGTGCGTGTGTGTGTGTGTGTGTGTATATGTGTGTTTGCTGGGAGATAACCAGAAAGGCTTCCACCACCATTTAACACTATGCCATGTAACCACCAGTCACTCACAGCAAAGTCGTTCTCACTCTGCAACTTCATCTTGGATTCACTCTCAGCAATGGCTGCTCGGAGTCGAGCCAGAGATGATTCCTGAGAGAGAGAGAGAGAGAGAGAGAGAGAGAGAGAGAGAGAGAGAGAGAGAGAGAGAGAGAGAGAGAGAGAGAGAGAGAGAGAGAGAGAGAGAGAGAGAGAGAGAGAGAGAGAGAGAGAGAGAGAGAGAGGGAGGGAGAGAGAGAGAGAGAGAGAGAGAGAGAGAGAGAGAGAGAGAGAGAAAGAGAGAAAGAGAGAGAGAGAGAGGGAACACATTCAGAAATGTGTAAATCAATAAGGGACACAGTAATGTTCCCTTTAGTACTCTTCCCCGTGCATGATCATCAGTCTGACTACGCTCTGATACACATTTCACAATATACCGTGTGGAACATCAGAGGTTGTGCACAATTTGGCACACCCTGCAAGCAGTCCGCCACCCTGTACGAAGTCACACCTGCCATAGGCCACCATAGTCCCTATAAGCATTCACCCACATGACCAGCAGGCAGAGGCACACGCACAACGGTCATGTAACCACAACGCAGAGTTCCTATGAGCAGCAGAACCACTGGAAGCAGGGTTTTTTATTGGTCTGATCATGCTATAGCCTTTCATACAGCGTGTATGATATGGCGATAAACACGACATCCTCAGTAGTGAACATGCGTTGGTGCCAGCAATTACCTGACCAACTGGACCGGTTCCGGCTGGCCTGAGCAGTCAGAGTCTCTATGAGCAGTCAGTCCCTATGAGCAGTCAGAATCCCTTCGAGCAGTCACATTCCCTATGAGCAATCACATTCCCTACGAGCAGTCAGAGTTTCCACAACCTATCAAAGTCCCTTAGAGCAATCAGAGTCCCTACAATCAGCCACTGTCCCTTCAACCAGTCCGAGTCCCCATGTGCAGTCCGAGTCCCTATGAGCAGTCAGAGTCCCTACAGACAGCCACAGTCGCAGTGAGCCGCCCAAGTCCCTACTAGCAGACAGGGTTCCAATAAGCGGTCAGTCCCAATGAGTAGTCAGAGTCCGTACCGTCAGTCACTACCTACAAGCGGGCAGTCCCTATGAGTGGTATGAGTACCGATGATCAGTCAGAGTCCCCATTAATACTCAGAGCTACAATTTCGTAGTCAGAGTCCCATGAGCAGTCAGAGTACCATGAATAGTCAGAGCCCCGTGAGCAACCCGAGCCCCTATGAGAAGTCAGAATTTCTATAAGCAGTCAGAATTCCTATGAGCAGTCAGAGCCCCTAAAAGCAGTCAGAGTCCCTATGAACAGTCCAAGTCCCCGTGAGCAACCCTCGCCCCTATGAAGAGTCAAAGTCCCCGTGAGCAACCCTCGCGCCTATGAGCAGTCAGAGTCCCTAAAAGCTGTCAGAGTCCCTATGAACAGTCAAAGTCCCCGTGAGCAACCCTTGCCCCTATGAAGAGTCAGAGCAGTCACATGCCTACTACTTCCTCCGCGTCATCGAAATTGTCGCAGTTTGACTTTTGATGTAAAATGCGGTATTTACTCACCAGCACTCGTACCAGAGGCAAGGGATCGGACATAGGCGATAGTCATCAGTATAGGGTGACGGCAAAGTTCTATTTTCTGTTATTGGAAGCTGGAATTTTTGAACTAGACGCAATTTCTTCGCTGATGTCGCTGCGCTGGTAATTTCGACTCGCTGAGATCAGTCAGGTGTTGCAGCCTGCACATTTCTCGTGCTTATGGCCATTCACTCAAGCCCCATCACTGCTTTACCTTAGCTGGGGTGAGAATGACTTCGTGGAACAAGTGGCAGCGCTTGGAGAAACATCGAGGGGTCGGCAAACTAAATGCCTGCAACAGCGATAAAATTTGTCGCTCTGGCTGAGACACTCAGTACTACTACTAGTACATGATTGTACCTGCAAGAGCCGTGTAGACTCTACACGTAGTGCTAGTGATGCACGCGCAGGTGCCGTACCATGGTATACCAGTGCTGAAAAAGAGGGCGCGCTGGACGTGATACTACACTTACCTGCATGAGCTGTGGGCATGCCACGGCTAAAAAAAGGTTCAGTATTTTCAAGATCGAGGTGATTCCGAGGTGATTCCGCCGACGGTAATCAACCGACCTCGCAACGATCGTGTATTCTTACTAGGCTTCGTTGGTGGTGAAGTAGAAATCATCCAGAGCTAGCAGACGACAAGCATAGCAGTTCTTGTTCTGTGGAGAAAGTCAAAGCGTTTGAGACGAGGCGCGACCAACTTTCAACCTTCCTTGAAATATTTGGGAACGATATTTTTGCGTCCATTGACATCAGCGACGACGAGGACTTCATCTCTGCATGAAAACTCTCAGTCCAATTGTCCTAGAACGTTACTCTAGTCTTCAGACTATCATACTCTGTAATAAGTTTCGAATGGCTTAGTTTATGGAGTTGTCAGTAACAAGTGACAAGTCACTAGTCAAACTGCGACAATTTCGATGACGCGGAGGAAGTACATGTAATAGTGTGGAATACATATACTGTACTGGAACATTGTAATGCACCAGATGATCCCAAGCCCCTTTTGTCATATCCGTGATGCATCTGTCCAGTTCACTAAGGCTGACTGACTAATGTCATTTGTACGGGCAACACACAGTCTTAGCAGTTTGGCTCACATGTCCAAGTGGACCTTACCCTCTCACGATCACGTTCCTCTAGCTGAGTGGAGAACTGCTGCTGATGGTCTTCGATAAGACTTGCCTTCTCCCGCTCAAAACCTGCCTGGAGTTTCATGATCTGCAGGACGAGAAACTATACAAAGTCATCTATCATACCAAAGGCTTGCCAATGTACTTCACTATCTTCTCTTGCTCTAGATATTCGTATTTTTCGGTACTTGGTGCTTGGTGCTTAGTGCGCGCATGGAGATTGTTTCATTGCACAGAGAGAAAAGAAAGGTGAGCAGTGTGCTGCAGCCGGGCCTGCAGTGAAGGGGACCGCAGTGAAACAAACCCTGTGACGACTTGCCCACAAGTAGCTCCAGCATTGGGTGACAAGGCGTTTGCAACCTACCTCTGCCTCGTGCTGTTGCTTCTGCAGCTCATTCTGTCGGCGGAACTCCTTTGCTTGTTGCTGCCTAGCTGATTTCGATTGCTCTAGGTCATTCTTGATTGTTGCCATCTAGCAACAAGAAACATACACATACAGTACACGTGTACAGCATTGTTTTTTGCAATTCTCCTACCCAGTATCCGTACACACGGCCATGAGTCTTCAATATGCAAGTATGTACCTATCGGCATTACTCTCCATAACCCTGCGGCTTAGTTGAGCAGTCTGTATGGTTGGTGTCTAGGTTACTGACCTTGCGCAGAATTCACTGTGTTTCTCGCAGTTAGAGCACTCTGATTTGGATGCTTTGAGCCGGTATAAAACTGGCTTTTTTTATTCACTGGACCTAGTAATTGCGATCGGTTCGGCCAGTGACTCCGAACTCCACTGAGAAGACCCAGCGGTTGAAGTAGCTCCCCTTTGGTTCTGTCTTCCCATTCCGTTCTCTGCTGGACTGTGTATTTCAGTATAAAAATAAATAAAAAGCTAGGTATCCAGAGACCAAGTACCTATGTGTACATGTATACCAAAAACCGTGAGCCAAGGGGCTCGTGGGATTGCTCAGCCGCAATCACATAGCCAAAGCCGGCAAGACGGAACGGCTGTCTGCGGAGATCTGACACAAATCAGTCCGTGACCATGTCTTACCTGTTTAGTGATTTTTTCATTGGCCTTGGCCGTCGTCGACTCCATGCTCTGCTTGAATGTGTCCAGTGAGCGCTGAGCATCCTCTTGAGTAGCAGTGCACTCTGCTTGTAAGTCACGGACCTTCTCTTCCTTGTCACTGCCGCATTTGAAAATGGGAAACACTGCCTACATTGACTACAGCAAATGTCCAAATGCACTAGACCAATACACATGCGAATGCGAATCAACCAGGTAAGCCGCAGTGGCCTTTGTGCTGGACTACTTCCTCCGGAAACAATAACGTCGTGACTTTGATAGACCTGTCTGTTCTGGCGAATTGAGTTCTGCGGAAGCGGGCCATACAAGCTCCGACATCTACTCAAGCGTTGCCAAGTTTTTGTACAATAATGTACGTGTTGCAGGGAAGTATATCCACTAACTTTGCTGAGCTGGTTCTGTTCCTATGAACCCAATTTCTTTATCACAGTGACAACTTAGGATGTGGATAAAGAAAGTCACCAAGTTTGTTTTGTTTCTGGAGGAAGTAGTACTAGCCAGTGGTAGCAATTTTGCGATCAGAGATGAGTAGCTCGAGCCGTGAACTCACTCACACACACACACACACACACACACACACACACACACACACACACACACACACACACACACACACACACATAACCAAATCATTCAGGCTGCTTGTTTTCGGATTGAGAATGTAGGCTGGATGACGTAGCTACCGTGGTGATCTGTCCCATGTCCAGTACCAACATACATGTACTCCATTTCTAACAGGTTCCTAGGCGGCCAAGCAGCATTGGGGGCATATGATTCAACACAATCATTAGCGATTTAGCTGAACTGAGAGAGAGAGAGAGAGATCTCCTTCTGTGTCTATGACAAGACCTAGCTTAGTAAGACCAAATACCAACTCAGGTTTCCATAGTGTAGCGGTTATCACGTTCGCCTAACACGCAAAAGGTCCCCGGTTCGATCCCGGGTGGAAACAGAGCTCCATTTTTTTTGCCAAATCCCGAAATCAGATAAGCTAGCATCAGAAAACCATGCAAGACTTACACCTCAAATGCAAACAATCTTTTATTGTTTCCTTTCTCATCGCAGCTCAACACAATGTTGATGCAAGCCGTGACCAAAGCATGTACAGTGGTGCCTTTATAACCCGCCACCATTTGTGCTTCGGCAATTCTGCTGGATTAAGGAACGTGCTGGATTGAAAACATCTGATTTACTGCTGCAATGTGCATGAAGAGGACATTTTGGTTACTGAAAATTGTGCTGGAATATAGAGGGTGACGGTTTATAAAGTGCTGGATTAAAAAGAGACCATAGAATGTACTCACGTGATGATGGACTGAGCCGTTTGAAGTTGTGTGCGAGTGTCCGATAGTCGCTGTTCCAGCTCTGACTTCAGACTGTGTAGCTGCAGGTCATACGGTCGTCGGGAAGGAGAGTGACAGAGTGAGTGAGTGGTGGTGGTGGTGGTGGTGTGTGTGTGTGTGGGGGGGGGGGGGGGGGGGGTGATCAGTTAGCCGCTCCGCAAGACAGGACACACCGTAGGTCTGCTGTGTTCTGAGAGCATTGCCTACGGTCACCAGTGATCAACTTTTAGTAGTGACTGTGCCGGCAAAACTCGGAATCGCATGCCACTCATGGAGCCAACATACTCAACCACAGAAGAGCTCAAAGCATCACACAAACTCGAACAAGAAAGAAGATAATGAACCAGCGCATGTGCTGTGTGTGTGTATCATTGTGAGAGAAAAAAACTATGCACTAAATCATACGAAATCAGGCAACTTAACGCAACATCAGGCGGGTGCAGACCATGGCAATCATTCTCACCTCAAGTTCATGCTTGGATTGAAGACGTTCTTGGCTGGTCTTTGATTCGTTTGTCAATTCCTAACATCAAAACCGCAGTAGAGGGAAACAGGGAAGAGAGAGAGAGAGGGGGGGGGGGGGGCATCAAAGAATATTGCCGCAGGCATTGCGATGTCCTGTTCTCTTCATCAGTATATTGGCCACCATGCTCGCTCTGCACATCACCAGGAATTGCTCTCCTTCTTTTCGCTTTTCTTCAAGGAGCGCTGAACCTATTTCAGGCATCCCTGCCAGTCAATGCCAAGCTTTCCTATCCCTGCCAATCAGTGCCAGGCTTTCCTATCCCTGCTAGTCAGTGCCAGGCTGTCCCACCCCTGACTCTGAATGCCAGGCTCTCCCATTTGTTGCCCTTGCATCAGTGCATTTTCCCTTGTAACATGGGAAAGGCCCTGCTGGGATTCTCCGTTGATTGCTTGCTAACACCATGTAAATGAACATCATGTAACAAAACTGCTTTCCAGACCCGAGAGATCCCGATTGCAATTTGGGAGGTCAAAGCCTGGAAGGAGCGGTGGGAGAGCACTGATTGCGGCTGAATGGGCACTTGTGATGCCTATCAAAAACTTTCGTAAGCAACCCAATCAGCAAAGTTGCTACAATTATGTGTTGTGCCTCCTTACCTGTACTTGTAAAGAATGTTGATGCTGGGCAGTGCCAAGTAAATCCTTTGTCAACGCCAGGTCTTGCTGCAACCTGTGAATGTGTTCCTGCAGCTAAATGAATGACAGGTTCATAGCAGAACACCGACGTCAATATCAGCACATGCCGACCTCGACAACCTCAGGCTCACACCAAGCCCAAGTCTATACCTCTTCGTCAATATTTGTAAATCAAACTGAATACTTCACGGCTAGGGCACCAGTTCACTTTACTGTAGAAGCACCAGTGCTGCTCAGTGTGTGTGTGTGTGTGTGTGTGTGTGTGTGTGTGTGTGTGTGTGTGTGTGTGTGTGTGCGTGTGCGTGTGCGTGTGTGTGTGTGTGTGTGTGTGTGTGTGTGTGTGTGTGTGTGTGTGTGTGTGTGTGTGTGTGACCAGTTTTGGCAGTGAGCAAGTACAAGTACAAGTACAAGTGTGTGTGTGCTTGTGTGTGTGCGTGGGGGGGGGGGGGGGGGTGTAACAGAAATTGGGAAGGAGCATGCAACAGTTCATCACAGCATTCCAGGGTTATTCCCAAAACAGTTCCTGATTTGCGTACAGGCTCATCTGATTAGTTTACTTGCATCCAGGGATGTGCAGCATTGATATTACGGCGTGGCCGGGAAAACACTGCCATTCCTAGTCACTCTTATCGGGACACAAGGCACATCAACACCTGCTTTTCCGCGGCTATCATCAGGGGAAGAACACATCACCACAGCATTATGATCTACAGTCAGTACCTGCTCCTGAGCTTGGCCAGCTTCATGCCGGGTATTCAGTAGGTTCTCATCCATCTGTTGGCGGAGCTCTTCAAGCACAGCCTGCTGCGACTCCTTGGTGGAGAACTGCTGCTGCTCCAAAGTCCGGCACCTGCCAGTTAACTCATCACACTGCGCCTGCTTTGACTGCAGCTGGGTCGAGAGTGCGGTCTGAAAGGCACCAACGAGGAGGACAGAAGTAAGAATAATGATAGCGAGACAGAATCAGGGGCCGCAGAGTGGCGACAGACCGTAGCAGGAGTCTGAGAAGCATCTGGGAAATGTGTACATGTAGTAGGGGAGGCAAATACGGACAGTGTGTATGGCTAATTACCTAGTCATGCACCCCCCCCCCCCTCCCCCAACTCGCCTAACCAGCTACATATCTAGAGTAACACAGTTGTCTAAAGTCCCTAGGCTGCTTACAGTGCTCAATGTCCACTGGACAGAGCAAGTAATACAAATATTACACAGCAATGAATCAAACAAGTCTCATTCCGCTGTTACTCCGAGTTTCGTGTCAGAACACTTCATCAGACAGCATATGCTGTATGATGAAGTGTTCTGACACGAAACTCGGAGTAACAGCGGAATGAGACTTGTTTGATTCATTGCTGTGTAATATTTGCATCTAGAGTAACACATATGGGAAAGAGAAAGCAAGTTGCCAAAATTTACTCCTTTACAGTAAGACAATCATATCCAGTCGTGTGAACAACAAGCTAGTTCTGCTTCAAGGAAACGGAATACACTTCAGTGCAGCCAGAAACACTCACAGTACAAGATCCATGCAAGTAGAGCTTTTCAGCGGCGCTCTCAACAGAGTGCCACCAACAATAGCCAGCAGAGTGCATATCCTACTAGCACATACCCTTTCTTGTAGCAGCTTAACGTAGCGCACATTGGCCTGCTCGGACTCGTCGGAAAGCTGGGCAACTTTGCCTTCCAGTGACGATATGGTCGCGGTCTGGAATGAACGGAAGTGTGCCGGGTGGCATAGGAGTGTACGGCTTTTCAAACGTAAGGTTGCAAACTTGATTCTAAGATTACGAGAAGACCCCCCCCCCCCCCCCCCCCCGAGATATCATCCTGGTGTTTAGTATTAGTTGTGAATAGGGTGGCACGTACGACGGGAAGAGGAGACGAGCATGACCCTCAATATGCCAAACTGACCAACACCAGGGCCTCCAACACTGCCTGCCTTGATAACAATGGACAATGAGCCAACACTGCCTGCCTTGATAACAATGGACAATGAGCTACCACTACCTTTTATGGGATGATCAATTTAAGCATAAACGTGATACTAGACAGAGGTGAATCTATCGGAATGTAGACAAGTAACAAAGAGGTGATGGGAGCAGTGAATAAGAACAGCAGCACTCACCATAGCCATCGCCTGCTCCTTGTGCTCTTCCTCCACCTTTCTGAGCCGTTGCTCCGTTTCCTCCAGCAACTGCTGCATGCCGCTGGTTTGGTGCTGCTGCAGCGCTAGCTTGTCAGACTCACAACTAGCAATGACATCATTCATCTGCATAATCACAACAGCAATGACATCATTTATCTGCATAATCACAACAGCAATGACATCATTCATCTGCATGATCACAACAGCAATGACATCATTCATCTGCATGCCATTAATCACAACGAGCTGTGATATCATTGAGCTGCACAATAAGCAAAGCAATGACGTCATCGAGCCGCGCAATTACGACAGCAATGACATCATCCATCTGCATGATCATTGATCACAGCTAGCAATGACATCAACGAGCTTCTCGATACTAACTGTGCTCGATCATAACAGCAATGACGTCATCGAGCTGCACAATCACACCAGCAATGATATCATTCATCTGCATGAATACATCTGCAGAGACTGTAACAGCTATCCTATAGAGTATACCGGTAGATATGACTTGTACTGTAATACATGCATGTTGACTCTAGATACAGCTATCCTAACAGTGAAACCATGGATGTAACATACTATGGGATATAAATTACTATTCTTGAGGACCTTGCCGCTTTATGCTATATCAGTCATTTGACCTTGGATACTAGTAGACAGTACATTGGCTGGAAATCACAGATTTCTAGGGTAGTTGGAGGTGACGTTTCATTGTGCATGTAGGCTGTGTGAAGTTCCATTGCAGGAATTCAGGTTAGGACCACAGCTATAGCTCTTAGCTGTCTGTTAGCACATTCATTATTCACCCTGGTATTAGTATTGGCTCACTATCCATGTGTCTATTATTGATTCTAACCTTCTGCTGCCATTTCTCTTCCACGGACTTCACGCGACTGCGACTCTTGGCACGCAGTCGATCCATTGACGTGCTTGCTTCTTGTTTGACGGCCGCCAGCTCCTGCTCGAGTTGACGTACTGCAAGGTACAACACCACAACACGCATGGGTTATGTGACATACATCACGTGCACTGAATCAGCTACAGGAAAAATCCTGCTACAGGGGAAATCTCTGTTACAGGGGACTCAAATCTAGCTACGGGAGAAGTCCAACTACAGGAGAAATTCAGCTACAGGGGAAATCCAGGTACAGGGGAAATCCAACTATAGGGTAAATCGATCTACAGCGGAAAATCTAAGTATAGGGAAAATCCAGTTACAGGAGAAATCCTGCTATGGGAGAAATTATACCTACAGGGGAAATTACAGCTACAGGAGAAATCCAGCTACATGGCAATTTGAACTACAGGGGAAATCCAACTACAGGGGGTCCATGCAAGTGAAAAGAAAACACAACAGCAGTGGTTTGCCATGGCACAGGATCGACAAGTCTGACGGCAGAAGGTCCACGGCTCTCCATTGAACGGCTCTCTCCACCGGCTTTTCCACCCACTAAGCCCTTTAGCTGCACTTGCAGACGGTCGTTCTGCAGAAGTGGAGACATCAAACGTCATCGGAATTCCTGCCCGGCTGAATAAGCCTATCATCGCCTATGGCAATAGGGCGTCACAAGGTGTGTAGGTGTAGGCAGAAAGTGCAAACAAGTTGGCTAACCATGGAAGTTCTCAAGCCAACGAGTCCTTCAATAACCCAGTAGTCAGTAAGTAGACCAGGACGACGAGCTACGCATCATCTGGCTCCTTCGGCTTCCCGGCTGGTGCAGCAGTCGCACAGCAGAATATCGGCTACACGTATGTCTCAAACGTGTGCACAGAGGCAGCGCTTTACCCGGGTACGCAAACTGAAACGTTGGGCCAAACGGTGAATCGGAAACGAAAAAGGGAGTCTCCAAGGAAGTCCTCTAAGCCAGTGAAGAGGTGGAGGCTTGAGCTTAGTCAACTCCGATCTAGCAAGCAGTTGGCAGTTGAGGCACTTGAGCTATTCAAGGTACATGTACTCTGGAGGGGAGAACAGCAAATCACTAGCATCTGTCTATAAGGTCTATACTGGTACGAGGTCTGGTATTGCGGCAGTGTATTCTCATGTATCCAGTGTGTGAAAAAGACCAGAGGGAGTTGCTCAAAGGAATAGTTTGCTTGTGTATTCTTTGACTGCAGGTGTGAGAAGGCACCCAGAATGGGTTGTGAATGCGCTCTCTGCCCATCTGATGACCATATGTCGCCACAACCGCTGGACCTGGTTTATACAAGCCACTGGAGGCGTCCAAGGACAATAACATGTGGTGTTCTTTGACCTGGAAACTACAGGATTCAGTGACAGTGCCGAGATTGTTCAGCTTGCTGCCTAGTCTGGCAGCAAAACCTTCAACCACTACGTTCACGGTACCTGAAGACCCAATCCATCCTAAAGCCTCAGAGAAGATCAGCCCGATTGTCACCGTGTTCAATAGCCAGATGAGACTACAGCACCTTAGATGCAAGGAGCCGTTACCTGCTGCTGGCCCCCCACTAGGTTCAAGACATCCAGTGGTTGCAGGGGCTCCGCGGTCAAACTGCTGCTTGGACACACTCTACTCAAGTTTGATTGCCAATTACTGTTCAAGCAAGTGGAGAGATTAGGTATGGCACAAGACTCCTTTCTGCAGTTGCTGGCTTCATCCATACCCTGCCTTCCATCAAGGATGCGCTTCCAGGTTGTGTCGTGTACACCCAGGATAATCTGTTTAGCCAGCTTGTTGGCACCCAGGGGTATGATGCACACAATACGCTTGACGTTGTTATTGCCGTGTCTGAACTCTGTGACAAACGCCTAGATTCTGACAAGGCACGTAGTACACTGTGCCATATCTCAACCGTCCTGTGATGTGCACGCATGCCACCTCCGGTGCAAGATATTAGCTGAAGAGATGAAAGGCAGCGTCCCCTGCCAAGGCACTGTCTAATACCATGGCAATGAAAATCGCAAGCATTGGGCTGAGTCTTGGGGATCTCAAGGTCCCATACCAGAGAAACGGTGAAGCTGGTCTTCGAACGCTGCTTGCAGAGCCCGATATGACTGGTCGACCAAGGGTGACCAAGCCCGCACCAACGCTCATGAAGTAGTGGTGACTAGAGAGCACAACGATGACTCACGCAACGCAGTGAGTGGTACCGCGCTGGGTGACCATTTTGCAGCCAAGCATTCATCAGAGACATTACCATTGGGAGCAACAGCCTTCTCGGGTATCCAAGTTCTTGGTTCTGAGCGTGACCGCCCCAGGAGGAGGATCCGAGAGGCCATCAACATCAGGGAGCTATCCCCGGAAATCAACAACAGGGGCTGGGACCTGCTATAACCCCACCTATGCGGCCACATTACTAGCTTCTAGCATGCGTTCTGGGTGATACACTCGGCACATGTGTGTGGGCAGTGCATGCCTTCACGTACCTGGGCTACCACTCTTATGGAGTATGCCCCACCACATTCTACCATGGTCTACATAACCTTTCTTACTCAGTTACCTACAGCATCATGCATGGGATGTTAGGATACTGGCCTGTGCGTTCTGCCCGCATCAATATCACTGTTATTTACTGCGAGTGGCATGGGGTTCTACACGTCTCTCTGGAGGTGTGAGACTGGAGTTGTGCTTGTATCACTGCTGTAGCGCAATATCTACTTTCTTCGCCGTTTGCGTCTGTGTTGTCATGTACATGTACATGTAGTAATGCACCCGCCACGATGTGCTTTGCACTTTTCTACGCGCGCTCTCACTAGGTACCGCGCTTTGTTTCCTTGCTTTATACTGCTGTTTTTTTTCTGCTAAGGAGCTGCATCTGCGCCTTGATCCAAGAGGGTGGTGCCTGCGGATGCGGAAAACTGTGCCTTTGGCCGAGTCTCACCTGAACCGTGAAATTTATTTTACTTTATTTTTTTATATCCTGATGATGGTCATGAAGACAGAAACGTTGAAACGATTCTTCTAATGAAATTGTGTGAAATGCAGTGCTCTCTTGAGTGTGGGCAGGTTACCTTTAAACTATTCAAGTGCAATGAAGCTGCGTGAAGCGTCTTTCAAGATTTTGATACTATATATCCTGTGAAATAAACCAATTTTCTCTATGCATCCTACCAAATTCCTTCATTTCCCAGCAGGACTTGGACCCAGTTAATAAGGTCAGTCTGATTAACTCTAATGAAAGTTGTGAATGCCAAAGTTTTTTTTGTCTTTTTTAAAGGCTAACTGAATACCCTAAAACTATCAACACTTGGATCAAATATTGACAGTGTTATCCGTTCAGTCTGCCATGAAGGCCAGAGTGCCCAATACTATTGGTACCTTGGTCGTGCAGCTGCGAGGATGTCATCTCCGCTTGCGTCGTGTGTGCACGGTGGACAACACGCAGCTTCTCCAGCTCCAGCTGAGTGGTGTGGAGCAACTAGCAACGGATAGACAAGACACAAGCACATGCAACAACAGTTTGACAAACTGGGAAAAGAGCATAATTTGATCCCATACTTCAGATGGTGAGAGCATTGCTCATGACAAGCAAGGTTCTGGGTTTGAGTCCTGGTGGGGTTAGCATTTTCCTTTTTCTTTTCAGGCAGTTCACTTTCTGGACTGATACTTTGAATTGGAAGTTTTTCGGATTACCAATAACTACACAGGGCTGGGAAGTGACGACTAGGCAGTATAATTATGACAACTGGATCAATTAGACTCTGTAGAGGTTATGCGAAAGACGACTTACAGTCCATTCATCGGAAACTGGCCCGCTGGCTTTTGAAAGTCGGATTTGGGCCGAATTGAGGATCAAAGCCCACTTTAAATCTCAAAAATCTGGGTTTTGGATCTGCTTCTCCATACATTTTGCCATGGCATACCTGTCCTAATCTTGTAAAACCTGGCTGAATTTCTATTTCCCTGTTCTTGGACTTTTCTGGCCTCAAATGTGGCAAGGAGTAATTGCACGGGTCACACAATGCAGGATGTACTGTTGTTTTCACGATATCTACAACTATGTGAGAGAGACACCAAAAAGTTAGGGTGCCAGTTTCCAATGAATGGACTGTAGGACGTCAAAATGACACGTCAGCAGTTTTTCGGAATCGTTTACGGGTGCTAAGTATACATTGGAAGGCTGATCAGGGGCGCTATGGACATGTACATGACAGGGAGTCTTGACAGTCCCTGGTCGCTATCAGGGTGTCTTGACAGTCCCTGGTCGTTATCAGGGTGTCTTGACAGTCCCTGGTCGCTATCAGGGAGTCTTGACAGTCCCTGGTCGCTATCAGGGAGTCTTGACAGTCCCTGGTCGCTATCAGGGTGTCTTGACAGTCCCTGGTCGCTATCAGGGTGTCTTGACAGTCCCTGGTCGCTAGTGCATTGCAAGCATGCTGTGGCGAGACTTTCATCTCAACTGATGATGTCATCGCAATATCTCTATACAATTGTAGATACAAGCTCAGTGTACCCAGAAACCTTGTCACATGTACATGCAGATCCCTAGTGTATATGACCTGCAGTGTCAACACATCCTTCATGCCTGCTAAAATCCGCTCACCGAATTCACGTCAGCTTGAGTACCTGACCTGCGGTGGTGCACTGGAGGCGACGCAGCAGCGGGGGCACCAGAAGAGAAGACACTGTCGTTTCTTACCGTAGCCGTGATGCCTGACGTGGAGCTGGACTGGGCACTGGTAGTGTGTGCTGGCTTACTGTCAAGTGAAGCAAAGCGAGTTGAGTTAACAGTGGGCTGCAAGGGTAACAGAATGGAGAGACACAAAACTACATTCAAGAGCATTTTGCAGGCTTTGGAGCTGGTTCGGTCATCTGCTGATGGCATCACAAAAACAGTCCATACAATTATGTACATGTAGAAATACCACATGTAGTACTCCCACTGTCTCCTCTGCGACAAGAATGCGATAATACTCAGAAAAGGACACACTTCAGGCTCTTTACAAACATCACTGTCTTATGTTATTTTAGCTGGTGGTAGCGGGTAGATTTATGTTTTCTGTCCTCTCGGGTTCGATCGGCTCCAAACTTAGGCTTTTGGTACCTGTTACTGGATGAAAGTTCGGCTCCGAAATCGGCTCTTTACCCAACCCTACATTATGTAATGCCTAACAGGGCTAGCTCATTGAATAGTGAGTAACCTGTCTACAGCCCGACTAGCTAGGCCAATGGCTGTATCCCTGATTTTAAAAGGAGATATCTGCTTTCTGTTTTTTCCCCTGCGAAAATGGGACTTTATCAACTCGAAAACTACGAAGCCAATAAATCGGTCATAATGAGTTGATGATTAGTAGTAGCATTGATTACTGTGGCAGTGCACACTGTGAATACACAACAAGCATTCTGTGCATTACCTTTGCCGAGGTCGTGACACTGTGCATTGCTGTGGAAGAGCCCCTGGACGATGTCAATGTCACGGAGCGCATAGGAGAAGCCGGCATGTGACGTGGCGGTGGGGCAGATGTTAGCAAATTGGCCACTGAATCTGTGAAACCAGCAAAGAAGGGAGGAGTATGTGCACGCATGGGTCAGAGCGAGAGAGACAAGTGAAATGGACAGACATCCCAAGTGAAAATAACTTACTATATAATTCTCTATACTCAACTCGTATCCATAATTGTGTCCCTTTCCTTTTTCATTTTTTTTTACAATTCTTAGCACCTTCAACAATATGACAGTGTGATACCTCATGACAAAAGAAAGTTCACTGTGAAAGTTGAAGCAAACACTACGGACGTAGATATCTAGTAAAGTCAAGATACAGTCACTTTGCTGCATACCTACCGCTGTCACTGTCATCAAGCACCGACGAGAGGCTGCCGTCAGCATCACCAGGTGGCTGCCAGAACATACAGGAAAACATGCACAAAGCAGATGAAGGAATAGGACAAAAGAACAGCAAAGAAGAGAGAAGAAAGAGATAACAAAATTGGAGAGAGGGCAGGAGGAGGAGAAGAAGGAGGAGTAGAAGGAGGAGGAGGAGGAGAACGATGACGATGACAACAAGAGAAAGGAGAGGTAGCTTTAATTAGAACGTACCATTAATATTTTACTGATGTTTCTATTTTTTTTCAAACTACTTGACAACCTTGGCATTGGTAAGTGAATTGGCCCATCAGTGCGGCCCAGACAAAACAGTCAATGATAATCGGAAAATGACATGCTGCATGTACATGTACTAGAGTATGTAGGAATAGGGGATACGGATGAGAATCACAAAGGTGACGCATAGGTGGAAGACCAAAATTTGATCATCGCAATCCTCTCTACACTAGGAGTGTATGGTCGCAATACAAAACCTCATACCTGTGCACCAGCAAGCAGTCTTTCCAGGCTTTCGTCTTCACTGGAGGCGAGTTCAGCGTCCACCACCGCAGACGCCGTTCTCGGATGCCCATTCGCCGCATGTGGAACTGAGCTGGGAACTGTAGCTTGGTGTGGCAGTGTACCCTTTGGACGTGAACATAGTGCAAGCAACATACAACAAGGTAGGGAGTGGTTTCACATCTCAGAGGTGTCATATGACTAACTTTGTGTAGCAAGTGATCATGTCATGAGGACAGTGGAACCAACATGGCCAACATCATGTGACCCATAGACGCAGGGCTTGACTGAAGTTGGAACCAAAATAGCTGTCCCCCTTATGTTCATGTGATAGACGTGAAACGCCTCCATTAGTAGTAGGAAGCAGAATCATGTATGAAGTCGAGTTGCACAACCCAAGGCCAGTGAGCATGGAGAGCAGCCGGGGCTGCACAGTTAAGATGTGCTGAGCTACAAAGCGAGAGGTCGAATTCACCTTTGCAGGACTGCTGTTGCACTGTGGTGTCAAGGACTTAGCTTAGTTCAACTTTGTAGTGATAGTAGCGTCGTGCCTCGGTCATGCGACTGGATTTCCATGTCCGCGACAGTAGCATCAAGCCTTGGTGGTAGCAGAAGCTATAGAAGCTACAGCACTGTCAAAGGATCAAATTTCAGCTGCCACAAGTGAACAGCAAAGTTTTAAGCCTCAGCTGATACTTGTGCTAAACGGACCTGTAATTTGGTTCCCCTCAATGCTAGGGGTGCTTTGGAGCTATATTGTAGTAATTTAGTCCTTCAAGTGGCAATGGAGCCACCGGAGGACACATGCAGTGCAGCTTGTGTTTAGCAACCACCCACATGATGCACAGAATACACGTCTGTACAAACAGGTGGTCTTTCAACACAGGTTCAAACTTCAAAGGTATGCAGAATGAATATTCTCTGGGTCCTGAATTGACTGGTCTCACAAGCGACAAGACAGATGGTCTCATACGGCAGGTGGTCTCATACGATAGGTGGTCTCTTAACACGGTCACTAAACACAGCTATGCTGCGCATGCACATGTTGAACAGATCACACTTACTGGTAGGCGAGTGGTTGTGACTGACAGGCGGCCTCTCCTGGCTGCAGTGCTGGGGGATGATAATGAGAAATGATCAGAGCCGAGTGAGTCAGACACGATGCTGGATCTTGCCGGTAGTGTCGCTTTCCGCCGGCTATCAGCTGTGCAGACTGACGACAATGATGTGAGTGATGAAGACTTGCCAGGCAGCTCCGCACCAGGCTGGTATTGAGTGAGATGAGATGCGAGGCCTTCCCGAAACCGGCCGCCAGCAGATGAGATATTCAATGAGTACACGTTGGTAGTTGGCATCGATGACACCTGGCCACTCACCGCCGTTGACTGGTTCCTAGTTGACACTGGTTGTTGAGTACGTAAAGTGCGGTGAAAAGCCTCCAGGCTAGACTGACTGTGTGTTGACATGTGACTCGGTGACGGCATGCCCCCATGCGATGATGATGATGGCAGGGCAAATAACCCAGAGCTCGGCAAGTGCGGAGCTGTGACGGCGGCGGAGGTAGCTGAAGGCAACCGATGGCTGGCACCCAGCGGGTCTTTCAGAGATGATGGTGACGGTAGGATCCGGGTAGACGCTGCATGCAGATCATGAGTGACACGACTATCCCTCTGCATCATATCACCATAGCCGCTTGGCCTAGGTAAAACCAGCAACAATAATACCAAACAAAGGGTATCATGTTCTAGTGATTCTAATGAAAGAATTTGCCACAATAACCTGGCCGAAAGAAAGCCATGAGATCTCATAGTATGTAAAAACGAGTAAGTGCATGGCCCAGAGTGGTTGTCGACACCCTGCTCCAACAGCCCTGAGACAGTCGAGTGTGGCCGAGAAGAACCTAACAAATGAGTGCCAGCCAGCCTAGCCGCAGACAACGCCACACAATGCGTGCAAGCCCATACCAGTGTTGTAACAGTATGGTTCGAGGAAACCCTGGGATAGGAATGCATGGCCCTGTCTAGACAAGTCGCATACTCATTCATGCCGGCGGACAAAATCGTACGCATGATCCAATGGGAAGTACATGTGCATGTACTAGCATGAGCCTTACAATTGATGTATATCTGTGACGCTCTTTATCTGAACATGCCCCACATCCGAACCCCACCTGAACTGCCGGAAAGGGTTCGGATAATCAAGGCTCTACTGTACTGTATGCATGCAACAGTGCACTCGAGTACATGACGTCTATAGTGCAAAGCAGCGCAGCATATTACAAGTGTGTACGTAATTTTTCCTTGGCTCCCCATCTGAATTCTTAAAAAAAGTAGTACACAGCAAACACCTACCTAAACAGTCCATTGGTAGCCGTTGCTTGTTGAGATGAGGTGCTTGCAGGATACTGTGACGAAAAGTCAGCATGAAAAAAAACAAGCATCAGAAAATGAGGATAGCATCCTCCTGCACTCTAATTTGTACAGTGGACCTTCACAGGACGTTCTCTTTGCCCGTGACTGTTCCGGTACAAAAAAAATCACGGTTCCAGCCGAGTTTTCCGCATCCGCAGGAACGCCACCACGCTCTTGGATCAAGGTGCAAATGCAGCTCCCAAGCGGTGGGAGGTCAGTAGATCAGACCCACAATAAATTGGCCAAAGACCGAAATCCCATTCACTGCATCCCTATACATGTACTTTGAATTCTCTCTCTTTCCCCTGATGCACTCGGACTACACTACTGATAAGAATTTGAACCACCCAATAATCCCGGCACCACCAAAAAACTGCACACGACACACAGTTTCCTTTAGAAATGTTCCCAAATTACAGGTCTGGGCAAACCAGTCCGGTTGGTCAGACCATGTATGGCCATGCCATCATCTTGGCCACCGCTGTGTGTTAACTGCTGAGTAAGGCATTTCTACTCATCAAATCACACACAAAGTATAGGGTCTGAAGAAGGGCTGAGGCTTCCTGCAGCTTCATCTGTGAAAAGAATTCGGGTGGACACACCCATTCCCATAGCGCTGCACATCACATCCGAACCAGTTCCGTTATTTTAACAATATTTTTCATTGTTATTACCTGACGATGGCCAAGTGCCGAAACGTTGTAAAAATAACGGAACTGGTTCGGATGTGATGTGCAGCGCTATGGGAATGGGTGTGTCCACCCGAATTCTTTTCAAAGTATAGGGTATAGTAATAAATTATGACTGAATCAAGCAAAAGCTGGTTCGATATGACACACGGTGCACTTTGAAGAGCATTCCTACATGCAAACTTGACTGTTGTGAAGTCCCTAACACTGACAGATATGCATACGTGGGAGATAAGGGAGGGTGAAAGCAAGGAAGAGAGAGAGAGGGAAATGGATCTTGGGGTAGCACTGGAGAAACAGTAGGTCGGTGACTATGCTTACAGATGCAGTGCCATGAATGTAGGAGCCGTCTTCAAGAGCTCCAAGGCTGTCGTTCAGCGAATCGTCGGAGTCCGGTACACCCTGGGGAAAAGAACATCACCCATACATGTACATTAAGTCGTTAACCATGCAGTTGTAAGCGGTGCAGCATCATCATATAATTATCAAGTAGACCAGAGTATATAGCAAACCGCTTCCTCACTCGCAGAGAGTACACATAAAGCAGACTCCAGTGACCGGCCAAGGCAAGAGAATAATCCCTACAGTGTTTTCCAGGGTATAAGCCGCACTTTGAACACTCAAAATTCACCCCAAAAAGGGGGGGGGGGGCGGGTGCGGCTTATACTCCGATGATCAAATTAACGGTGGTAAATAGGGTACATGGCTGTAACGTTATTTCGTGTCAAAAAATGGGGGGGGGGGGGGGGGGGGTCGGTGGTGTGGCATACTCTGGTGCGGCTTGTATTCCGGACAATATGGTATGGGACTACATGTATTTCTAAGATGTGTCATCCAGACCTTCAACACCTGATCAACACTGAATTGCACGCATGTTTAAGCCCGGCAATAGTCCAGTGGAGCATTGCAGCGGCAGATCCAGCGATCTCTACAGGGGGAGGGGTTCCAGTATAGTCAAAACTGAATAGCTGATACACGTACCTGGACACGCATATGGTTGCCAGTAGTACATTTACGAAATGTAGGGGCTTCCGCGGAATCCCTCCTGGATCCGCCCCTGCATTACCGTAGCACCCTAGTTCGTAAAATATTGGTTTGGACGCCCTATCTCTTTTGCTAGCAACGGAGACTTTAAACATGGCTGTGTATGGTCATCGAACGTTGACACGGGAAGCAAGGCTCATCCTGCCGGAGGGCCATGCAAACAGAGCTTAATACCAAACCCGTGTGCATCTGCATGACAGCTTGGAATCCACTCTGGCTGCTCGTACCCACACATACATGTACTTTGCAAGGCCTACGAGTCAGTCTTACCTGTGGCTGGAGTGCAGTGAGATGACCACTTGGCGGTGGTGAGTTGAACGGTTCTGTAAGATAACCAGCCTGGACATCCTGTGACAGTCTCTCCACGTAAGATTGGCACAGCGGTCTGTGTTGTGCAAAACAAGAACTTGTTATGCAGCATTGCTGAATCGACTCAGTGCAGCAAAGAGAGTTATTTCACAGAAAGGCCTTTTAAAGCTTGCATGCCGTAATCCGGTACGACCAAAGAAACCGCGCTGCAAAAGTGCTTTTGGTTGAGAATTTTCTTGAAACTATTTTTGAGATGAGTTCTTGGTAAGGCAAAGTAACGGTGCAAAACGTAAGATTATGTCCAGTGCATTGCATACGTTCAATTTCATAACTAATACTTGTCAAAATGGCCGCACATGCTCCTATTGGAGCGCTAGCAACTCTATCCAAAGTGAATTTTGACCATGGCACATCGATCATGGCGAGGACCTAATGTCTTTCTTAGCCTGCCATAGCAGTGGAATGCAAAATTCCATACTCCGTTCCCAAGGTTACCATGGGCCATTGCCATGGAATCTTGTAATGTACCTTGTACTATCACGTCTAAAATTTGCGGACTCCTTCATTAGCCCCTTATCAATAGTTTAGGGTCAAGTTTTAGGTCAATGTTAGAACAGAGGCCATCCAGTATGTCTGTGTATGATGGTCCTACCGGTGGTGCAACACCTTGTGTCACTACCATCCCAATCTTGCACACTCACTGCCAAATCACACATCGAGCAAACACCACCCCTAGACAGTGCGAGCACTGCAGGAGGGACAACAAGAGAATTCTGAGGACAGCACTGCTGCTAAAAGATACTAGTACCGTATTTTCCGGAGTATAGGACGCACTTTGAACACTCAAAATTCACCCCAAAAGTGGGGGAGGGGTGCGGCTTATACTCCAATGGTCAAATTAACGGTGATAGATAGTTTAGGTGTCTGTATTTCGCGGCAAAAAAATGAGAGGTACGCCTTGTACTCCAGTGTGGCGTATACTCCGGAAACTACGGTACATGCCTCAGCAATACCATGCAATGGGTTTCGTTTCAGAGCACTGCCTGTAACACAGGTACTCACCGTTGTGTCTCGCTGACCGCCAGCTCTTCCCGCAACCTCCGTAACCACTGAACCGCCAATTGCCGATCTACAGGTCAGCCATGATAGGCACAAGAAACAAAATGTCCGCGGACAAAATTTTAAATTTCACAAGGCAAAATTGGGGAGTGGAGTACAGGTGTGCTGTGAGACCAATACTCTTTGCCATTGACTGTATGGAGTGTTCCTCGTGTACGTAAACGACATTTCAAGCTGCTTGTCGCATGGCACAAACCTGAACACTTTTGCTGATGACACCACTTTGTACTCCCTCCTTGACCAAGCCTCGAATGCCTCACTACAACGCAGCCTAGATGAGCTTCATGCCTGGGGCAAGAGATGGAAGATTAAGTTTGAGCCATCGAAATCGCAAACTTACACTCTATCCCACCAGCGGAAAGATACAGTGACTCCCCAGCTGTCATTCGGCGGAACTCCTCTCCACCAGATGAATCTGTGAAGGTGCTCGGAGTGACGTTTGATTCGAAACTGAGCTACAGACTCCACCTTCGGCAAGTTGCATCACGTGCTAAGCAGCGGCTGGGCCTCCTGCGGAAGACAGCACCCCTTCTCAGCCATGCGGGCAGGGTGACTGTCTACAAAGGATTCGGCCGGCCAATGATGGAATATGCCCCCCCCCCCCCCCTTGCGTGGATGGGATCAGTTCCCTCACACCTGGCCATGCTGGATGCTGTCCAGCTCCGCGCCCTAAATGTCATTGGTCCTGGTACCATCCTTCCCAGCCTCCTTGTTCGGCGAAAGGTCTCTGCTCTCTGCCTACTGTATAAACTGATGTGTGGCCATGGTCTGCCTCAAGTTGCAGCCATGTGCCCCCCCCCCCCTCCCCCCCTCCCCCCCCCCCCCCCCCCCCGCCGGCTATACCGCCACGTCATCGCCGCACACGAGCAGCCCAAGCACAGCACCACCCCCACCTGCTTGAGCTGAATCTCTCGCCATGAGCTCCTGACTACCTTCTGCGCTCTTCCCCTTACTGCATCGTGCCAGTGTGGAAGCAGCCAGCCCGGAAACACCTGCAGAGCTTCAAGATTGCTGCATACCATCACCTGCAACAGAGTGACTGGTGCTCTGCTCATGACTGGTGCTAGCCATGCACATGGATCACACTGGCCTGCCACCAGTGGACGCAAATCATTATGTTGACTCTCTTCTAAAAGTAGCATTATAGTCATAGCGACGATATGCCACGGAACTCTTTCTCTCGCTATACTTATAATTATCTCTCCTCCTCTTTCTCTCTTTCCCTCATCACCAATACCACGAGTGAATGCTGCATAGTGCAGAAGGAATTCAACGAACTGCTTCTGGAATACCGTGCTGAAGTATTGCCAAGTGTTGTTGGTGGATGGGAGGATTTGGACGGGAGGATTTTGGGGAGTTGGAGCCAGCTCCAAAGAGCGCACCAAGTGTTGCACCATAAAAACCTGACTTACTCAGTCTATTCCAGGAGTTACATGGTCGTCTATAGCATTGACGTAACATTGCCGTCGTCACCAACAGACACGGTGTCGCAAATCTAACACTGCTGTAAAACATAAAGCTCTTGTTTTTGTTTTCAAGTCGCAATGCCACTCACATTTTGTTGTTTCATCTTCTTTAATCCACTGCTTCTTCATTAAGTTATTAACAACATGCTTGGTGTTCAGAATTATCTCTACTGCAATGATATATTCCTGGTTTTCCTAAGATCCATATCCGATGCGTGCGGTCAGAGCGGTTGCCATGGTGGTTGCTATGGACAGAATTTGAAAGTTTGTAACAAAATTTGAAAATTAATCAGTCTCATTTGGTATCCTACAGACTGTGTTAACTCCTTATGTGGAGTTTCAAGACATTCTGGTGAAGTTCATTGGGTGCTAAGTGTTGCTAGGGCTGGTCGGAAGAAGCCGTTGATACAATCGTCAATGCCAAGTATATACTTTCATGATGAAATTATTATTTAGTTCACCGTGGCTGGCTACCACCCGACTTCTCATAAATATTGGCAGTCTTACGACGAGCCAGGAGATGTTGAATAAATAATAAATAATAATTTCCTGCAACTTCCAATCACCATAACTCTGTTATTTTTCAAGATATCCACTCCAAATTTCGGTTGCTACTTTGTTCTACTCCATAGGTTTCAAAAATCCGCTTAGAAATGGCCAGCTGTAACCATGAAAAAATAATGTGAACTCCCTACTTATATTAAAGAAAAGGACCAAGGAACTACAAGTTACGCTATAATGTCCACTAACACCAGCACTTACTTGACAATCAGCTCATGTGATAGCATTGCACAAACTGTACTGACGTTCAACAACTAACTGGCCATCAGCTCTAGCACATCTCGGGTGCGCACTCCAACAGCCTTCCAACTTGGAAGGTTCTAAGTTACTGGTATATGAAAACATGTAGGAGGGGAAGGTGAGCGCAACCAAGCCATTCATTTGATCTTTGTATCTTTAGAGCCACGCAAGTTGTGTGGTTTGTTGCTATGCGTCCTTGAATCGTGGTTTGACTGTATTGTCCTGTCCCTGGGGAAAATTGCGGGAAAAAATCGCAAAAAACGCGGGGAAAAACGCGGCATAATATGGCATAATTTGCGGTGAATTTGCGGTAAATATGCGGTAAATATGCGGTGAATAATATTGATGTGCGGCAATTTTCAGTGAGTATGTTGTGAAATCAATCAGTTACAAGTCTCTGGTGTAACTGTAAGCACTAGTCGTCATATTTGAGTAAAAAGCCGCCACGATGAGACGTTGCTGACCGAACAGTGCACTGCGTGAACGTGTAGTGCAACAAAAAGTTCAAAAAACGCGGGAAAATCGCGGAAAACGCGGTCTGTTAAAAAATCGCAAAAAAACGCGGAAAAAAACGCGGCCGCGGAATCGCAATTTTCCCCGGGGACAGATTGTCGAATGGTCTTGCCAGCATCGTCATCGACATACATGATGAACATCCGCCAACGTCCTTCACAGCTGAGATTTTCAGCTTGTGCTTGTCTTAGTTGCGCTCACCTTCCCCTCCTACATGTTTTCATATTCTAGTAACTTAGAACCTTCCAAGTTGGAAGGCTGTTGGAGTGCGCACCCGAGACGTGCTAGAGCTGATAGCCAGTTAGTTGTTGAACGTCAGTACAGTTTGTGCAATGTTATCACATGAGCTGATTGTCAAGTAAGTGCTGGTGCTAGTGGACATTATAGCGTAACGTGTAGTTCCTTGGTCCTTTTCTTTAAGATTTTGTGAGCAAGAACTGGAAGAACCGGAGGTCTACATTTATTGTGGATACTACGGTACATTTGATCCTATGTCATACTCACCAGACTTCATCAGTCGTTTCACCAGCGGCTTTACCCTGGACACCACTGTCTCGAAATCGCTGCCACCGCTCTGGTGCACTTGTCTGGTCGCGAAGGTCGCCATGCTTGATCTCTTCTCTCTGCGTTATACGAGTAGCAGTGTAATCCGGTAACTATAACTAGCCTGCATATATGTCCGGTAAATGGTGTGGTCGCTCGCTAGGTATTTTTCAGCTGATTCAATCAAGTCACAGTGGGACGAAAATATTATTATTGGTTGTTTACAGCTGCACGCACTGCAGTACAGTATGCACACATTCACTCGACCTCCATCGACTCTAATCTAAATACTCTGATACCCGTTGTCGGGAATAGAACAGAAACGACGACGAAGGAGAATAGACACAACTCCGCTATTATTATCCCCTCCATTTCGACCTCGCTAAAAATTACCACCATTCCAGGCCAATCGGGGATTCAAACGACTTTACGTCTTTAGTAGGCAAGCCCTGTTTACCATGGTTTACTGGCGCATGGCATGGCCAAAGACTACAAGTGCAAGTCAAACATTGGCACTTTTCCCGCCGTAATGCAAAGTGTTTTTCAAATACAGGTCAGTGTATCTGTGCTGACTGTATAGTGTACTAGTAGATATATCTAGCATGCGTGGTGTTTTTGTTTGTTTGTTTTTTGGAACTCAAAGCTGCAAAATTTAAAGCCTCTTGATCTACATACATACAGGCTAGCGCCGCGGTAGTCGTGACGGGCAAAATAAACAAGAATTCTTGTGATGAATGAAAGATTTACACCCAAAACAGCGCAACCATAAACGGCGCGTGTTCATATTAGCACCCCCAGTACAGCGCGACCTAATGTGACACGGTGTCACTACAGCTCGTCTCATCTCTTGCACGCCCCATTTTGGCGCGACCAATTACGTTAACGTCCGAATATAAGCCAGCTCATTACACACGTGACCCATAATGTGCAGGCTCATGTTAGCAAAAGAGCATAACCAGTTTTATGTACTCTTGATGTTAGTATTACCATGGTGAATATCAGGAGCAAACCCGTTCCTAAAAAAGATATGCAAAAAAGAGAAGAAACACATGAGAACGAGTTGTGCAGCAACTATCCACGACTGTAACAAGATGATAAACAGTCAGAAAGTGACTGTGCGATAATAGGGCACGAAACTGACAGGCCACTGAGACATTCAGCGGCCCGAGACCTAGCTCTAACACATCTCCAGTGCGCAAACCAACCTTCCAACTACTTGGAAGGTTCGTGGTTCGTGGACTACAACCTATTTGTATCTGGACCTGTTAACGTCCATCCAGGCAATATCGCCATTTAAGGTGGCGATCTACCTTCAGGGGTCAAAATTTTGTGAAATTTTCAACTTGCTCTGATTTCGTCCAATGTGGTGTCAAATTGCTCGTATAGATCCCAGACATCATCTGTGAAAATTTGAGTGAGATTGCTTTATCCATATGGCTGCTATGAGCTTGCAAAGACCGAATGTAACATATCTTTGACTCGCACAATTGCAACTTTTTGGGGAAAACGTAGAAATCGGTCTTTTCACGGTAAATCCTTGTGGATTTCGTTCAAATTTTCGGTGCTTGTCAGAAATACCACTGCTGACTCATGCCATACCAATACGCACATATTACGTCATCATGGACACAGTGCGCATGCGCAAATCAATAATTCGATAATTTGTGAAGAATTCAAACAATTGTGTTTGGAAAGTCTATTGGAGACGTCTCACGTCGTCGCCTGTCACCAAGATCGGGTGGAATGAGTACTGTCCGTCGTCTTCGATGTCCGAAGCAGCCAATCTGACTGCCAGAAGCTCTCGATATCCATCTATCCGCGGAAAATATCCCAGACGTTGACGACGCTATTCAAATTTATTGGCAAAAAAATTGCCAAGCGAAGACGTATTTCAACTTCATCTCCAACTCTGACTACTCTGACGATGACGATGTCAACAACAGTTCTAGCTATTGTGGTGATTATTTTTTCTCTCTCTCTTTCGGCGTCAGGCAGTGAGTGCAAAATATAGCCTACTGGAGTTAGTCTGTGAAATATTGAGTGATTTCTGCTATTTCTGGTCAAATCAGTATGCTGTCAGCTGTACCAGTCCACATCCCATCGTAGATCTACTAAGCGAGCAGGCAAACCCAGATATTTGCCTTGGAATTTCATTGTATGTGGTGAGAAGAGAAGTCCATTCACTTCTGAGAAATTCAATTTCAAATTGGAAGTCCACAGGCCTGTATTTAGTATGCGCCGAATTCATCACCGCCAGTGACGCTTTGCATAGTTTTCAATATTCTACCGCCCATTTATACTAAGACCTGTGGCGGCAACGTGATCCTATTCAACCTGTGGTCGTGTTCTCCGAGATGAGTTCAGAAGCAGACATGTGAAATGCTACGCTGGACCTGAGGCAGTTTACCAAAGTGGCAGTGCTGCAACCGCATGCGATCGCCGTCATGTGTGACGGAAACGGCATGGCTGCACCCTGGATATGCCTCATTCATCAGCATCTTTATTGCCATACCCATGGAGAGAGGCCACCAGTGAAGGCTGGGTTTCCGACTCGATTTTGCCTGCAATGCTCATGATTGAACAAGCCCTTAGAGAAGAAATGCAGACTCTAGCTGAATATTGAAACCAGATAGCATCGCGTTTCTGCTCGGCACCGCACTAAGTAACACCATTGTGATACAACCAGGAAGAGTTGGGAACGTGTGGGAAGTGACAAAGAAGTCAAGGAAGAAGTAAAGAAGACTGAAGAAGAGCATCACTAATCATCAAGGAGACCAAAATGAGGTCACCTACGAGCCAGATGGCTTCTGATGTGAAGATTTGTAGGCAGGTAGGCTGGAATTGGATAGACCTTTTTTGTGTGTTTTTGGTAACTTTTTAGCCTATCCCGCATTTTTCTACCACGATTGCGGCAAAGTGGTAGGTGCTATACCCCTAAACCTATACATTTCTGAGCTCTGTGATGCATCAGCTAGTTCGTGAATGTCTTCGTGTAGCCATTCATCATTGCTTGTTCTCACATTGGTTGTGGACCCGATCATGACTTTTTTTGCGGATGCGCGCGTCAAAACGCTTTGTTGTGACATGGTGATCTAAAGGACTTTGCAACTGTTTCTTGATATTCAATACCTAGAATTATATGTTAGGAACGCTGTAGCAATTGGTTATTTTCTACCTGATGGATGCATATTTCAATTTTGCGGTTAAGAGGTGCGGGTGCGGCCAATTATCGTGATTCGGCAATAACAATGGACATGAGCGGAGTCTGTCCTCTATTTGTGCTGCTCCTTGTCCTTTGGTACATAATGAATGTCTCCAGAAAATTTGACATGATTCTAAAGAGAATTGGCTGAGATGTTTGTATTTTACGGTGGACTATCCGCGAAGGTAGATCGCCACCTTAATACTGAACTGGTGTTTTTGAGTCGATAATTGCTATTTTTAGTTCATCATTGCTTTCTAGAGTTGATTATAAATTGAGTCCAGGCAATATCGCCCTTCAATACTGAACTGGCCATTTCGAGTTGATCATGATTTGAGTCTTTGACAAGTCGAGTGTCCATCTTTTGGGTTTGAGTGTAAATGAGTCGACCTGTGTTGAGCGTGCGCGCAGACGGGGTGGTCTGTTTTGGGGATGTCCAGTTATGGGGATGGGGCTTTTGGGGGGCGCTGAAGTCAACGGCGCTGTTTTGGGTCGCGCTCATGTGGGGGCATACCGAATGAAAATACCTGTCCCTGCGGGAATTTGCGGAAAAAACTCTCGAAAACTTGCGCAAGAAATTGCGGCAGAAAACAACAAAAAATGCGACGAAAAGTGCGGAATGATGCAGAACTTGCCAGGAATTCGCGGAATTATTTGCAGAAAATTGCGGATTTGGGCCAAATCACGAAATTTGTTGCATCGTATATCTACTCCGGAGTAGTACTACTACCAAGAGTACTGGTTTTCATGTACTCTTGCTACTACTAGTCATACTGCGCAAATAACCTACAGGATCATGGAAAGCACTGTGTGAAAAGTGCATGAAACATGTGAGATATAGTGCAGAAAACAACAAAAAACGCGGGAAATCGCGGATTTTGCTGAAAATCGCGGGTTTGGGCCAAAATCGCGAAATTTGTTGCATCCGTGGAATCGCGATTTCCTGGAGGGACAGAAATACTATCGATACATGTACATGTAGCTCCAATGTGTATTAAATTAATATTATTCCCGTAGCTATGCAGAAGACGTTACTTCAGTAACGTCTGGCGCTAGCCAGGGTCCACACAGCTTTAATTCCCGTAGCTATGCAGAAGACGTTACTTCAGTAACGTCTGGCGCTAGCCAGGGTCCACACAGCTTTAATTTGGTGTTTGTTTGTTTGTTTGTTTGTTTGTTTGTTTGTTTGTTTGTTTGTGTCACGCCTGGCGCTATCCCGTATCTGTCCCGTACTGTACCGTACCAGCAAAGACAGCTGGATACAATACTTTTGTTTGTTTGTGCCATCGACATGCCTGGCGCTATCCCGTACCTGTCCCGTACCAACAAGAGTACGGTACCATCAAGAGAATGAATATAATATGCGAAGTGTATGGGGGAATGCATTCAGTGCAGTAACATTTTGTGTGGATTTGTGTGCGAGGCCGAGATCCCATTAGCAGGCTGGCTGGGCCGCCTGTCGACCAGCCCGGGAATCGCATGTAGGCCGATAGCATCATAATTATAACGTATATACAGTCATGTAGATGTATAGCAGGGAGTCATATTATGTAAACGACTCCCTGCTGTATGGGGAGATTTTCTGGAAAGAAATACGAAGTAGGCCTTGGCGGATAATGCCGGCAGAAAAATTGGCAGAATTCGGTACTTTTTCTGGTAGGTTTCATGCATGTTTGGTATGTGGATAAAGAAATGGAGCAGAATTCGAGGAATTGCACGCCATAAGGTTTGTATGGTTCTGCCAATTTCACTGCTTTTCGAGCAGAATCTGCCACCTTTTCGAGCATTATCCGCCAAGGCCTAATACGAAGTAGGGAGACGAGTAAATGCAATCAGAATGGATGTTAGTTGCCGTCAGTATAATAATAAGAAGAAGAAGAACGCCCGTGATCGGCAGAGTCAGCGCCGGTCCCAGGAAACGTCAGGACAGACATCCCGTCGACTCCAGAACGCCCGTGATCGGCAGAGTCAGCGCCGGTTCCATAGCTATGCAGAAGACGTTACTTCAGTATCTCATTGAAACGTTTTTGCAATACAATGATGTAGCTAATCAAAGGAAAAAGCATTTCCATCAGTTCTGCCAACATGCACGATGAGCTAGGCAACAAAGCATAGCGCAGGGCCCTGAGCTTCCAAGCTCTCTCGTTTGGTGTTTGTTTGTGTGTTTGTTTGTGTCACGCCTGGCGCTATCCGTATCTGACGGCAAAAAAGCATAGGATGTTATAAATTTTTCAATTCTCCTATTTTTTTTTCAGGCATATCCTGGGATTCGAACCCGCACTATCGCCCTACATGCATTCCTCATACACTTCGCATTCATACCCATTCTTCCAAGTTGCTTCACGTTATTATCTTGCGTTTGAAAGCCCTATTTGAATATTGCGGGCAGCTGTATGTGGCCAGCTGTGTTTGATGGTACGGTACGGTACGGGAGACGGTGTCGTATTACCCTCGATCGTACCTGTCCCGTACCTATCCCCTACCGTTCCCTGCCATCAAAGACGGCTGGCCACAATGCATAATATTCAAATAGGGCTTTCAAATGCAAGATCACAATGTGAAACAACTTGGAAGAATTAGTATGTATGCGAAGTGTATCGGGGGATGCATGCAGGGCGCGCCATAGTGCGGGTTCGAATCCCAGGTTATGTCCTAAAAAAAAGGATTTTTTTAAAGAATTTATAACATCCCTATGATTTTTTTTGTCTAAGTCATCAAGCCAAAAAAGCATAGCGTAGGGCCCTGAGCTTCCAAGCTCTCTCGTAGACAAACTCAACTGAAGATCACGTCACAGGAATGTCACAGGAATATACTCCCTGGTGTGCATGCATGACTAATAGGCGATTCACACGACAGGCAAATCCACGTTTACAGGAAAGTCACCATGGAGATATTCCTGCGGGTGACCAAAATTTGCCCGCGGGAATCAAAAGTGTCCATGGCCTTTTTGCCCGCGGATGCACTCATCTGCGGGCACTTTTACAGGTATGAGGCTGTGAGGTCGTACTATCGTACGGTAGTCTTGAACCCTGGTTGTTTGGCCTTTGTTTTTGGGTACTCATTCCAAATCACCACAGTAACGCCGTATACTCACCGGATACTCGCGGGAGCTATGGCCGCCACCCGCGGCCGTGTGAACTGCGGCCTCACGTTTCACTTCCTGCGGGCACTTGACAAACGTGGATTTGCCTGTCGTGTGAATCGCCTATAACATGAGAAATTTCAACCCGGGTCGAGTTCAGCCCGGGTTGAAAGTCTGTACGATAGACAAAAGAGGTGAGCATGAAGACAGTTGACCCGGGTCAAATACTGATATGCCGCCAAAAGTCCACTTCTACAGTTGCAGGCATCAAGTCTGAGAAGAATGGCAGTGTTACCAACCGCCCGTATTTGTCCGTATTTTTACGGAAATACAGCCATTTGTCCGCAGCACGGAAATGATCCAGATTCTCCCGGAAAATCCAAAAAAAATCGGTAGCACCTAGAACGGCAGATTCGGTAGTATACAGAGTAGAATCTGGTCCCTGGATCTACGTAACTCTCCAGAGTGCGCCGCGACTTTATCAGATCTGGGACGCGTCGATCGACGGCGCAATCCGTGATACACGTTTGACATTTTCATGATTATTTTTTGTTTTGTTTCCTCGTGGCATGGTGCGCAGGTCGATTTTCACAACAAGTTGACTGTTGACATGGGCGTCGGCATCGCGTGCCCTCAGATGCAAACGACTCGGCCCGATTTGCGGTTGCCATGAGCAGCATCGGTTAAAGCTCCCTCCCGAGGCTCCGTACTAGACTGTTTTCACAGCCATTTCTGCTCTCAGCCTTTTTTTGCTCTCTCGACTGTTTTCACAGCCATTAATTTTTTGCTCTCTCGACTGTCTTCACAGCCATTTTTTGCTCGTTTTTCTGCCGGTGCTGTTGAGGTTGCACTCGTAATTGTGTTTATTTTGCCCGTATAAGAGGCTTGGCAGTTGTTGGACTGTTGACATCAGTTGAGCGGTTCACTTCACTTTCAATGTTGGATTTCATTATTCGAACGAAAATGACCGAAAAAATGTGGAACATTTGGATGAGGGGATACCAAAAAAAAAATGGTTGGAGTACGCAACAGAGCAAAATATTCCGCAAAATGACATCTGGTTGCACGCTTTCCAGGTAGAAGCAGTTGGTAACACTGGAATGGTGAGCCTTTCTCTGTGGCAATGGAGCCCAGAGCCCAGCTGTCCTTTGCTCTCGTGAAGGCCGTGGCATGCCTTCGTGGGCATCGCCACAAGTCGAGCAGGTATGACCCTCATGCATATTCTGCCACACTACGTCTCCGAGTGTCATCTGTAGACTGTAGACAACCTGTCTGTTTCCCCCATTTTTCCCCTTTTTCTCTGTATCATTTTGTATGTTATAATTTCCGCGGATTCCAGTTTTTCTCCCTTCATTATAATTATTTAAAGCGCAGTTTAGCGCGTATTGGCTTATGATTTCTTTTTCTTCTGTTTGTATTTAGCGCTTGACCGGTTATTATTTTCCTTCTCTTTATTTTGCGCTACATATTATTTTTCTGGTATAATATAAACAGTCCTGCATGGTCACGTGAATCCGTTCGCGCGAAATTTGCATCTGCAGTGCTGTTCAAACCTGGCGCGAGATACGCACAGAAGTACGTTTGTACGATTTTCTTGAACCGGGTTGGTTTCAACCCTCCCCTTGCAGCTTGGGCATGGGGGGAGGGTTGAAATCAACCCGGGGCGAAATTTCAACCCGGGTCAAGCGCAATGGCAATGCGTCATGTAAACGCGCCATTCATTTTGTGCACATGGCGGGTTGAAATCTGACCCGGGTCGAACTCAACCCGGGTTGAAACGCCTCATGAAAACAAGAGTCCCAACTGGCCCAAGGCAGAAGGCTGGGGATGAACTCTACATACCGGGTATGTCTGTGTCCATTTGTGACGAGTGTGAAACGCTGTCATCATGGTCATATCCACGTCCACGTCGAGTCTACGCACTGCACTGCAGGAGTTTTTTTCCTGAATATAATCCTGTCCTGGGAAGCGTCATCTGTTTGTAGTTCGTTGTTCTTCAGCTTCACCTCAAGTTAGTTCAATTCCTTGCACAAGGCTGGTGCGCTGTTGAGCTGAATTTTTTCTGTGTATCACCGTATACTATGACAGAACCTCCCGAGATAGATTTCGATCGTGCTTACCTTCTTCGGCTTCTGAGCATGGGATATGTTTGAATATTTATTTGAAGTGGAAGTGAACATTTGGCTTTGGTCCTGGAGTCTGGATTTGGCGATCCTGTGGACGATATACCTTATATACTCGAGTAGAGATGGACTTCAAGATTCTTATGGCCCAAGCGGCCAAGAACACCTCTTCGTCAATAAGAAAGGTAGTGGTTTCCAGGCTCAAGAAAATAGTTTTTGATTTCTTGTCAAAGCGAAAAATGTCAGAGCATTTTCTCTGATTAATTTGAATAGGCTGCTTATTAGTACGTACAATTGAATGACTATGTGGACATGATTCAATTGAACTTTTCCTGAAACCTATCTTCCTAGTACTAGTAATGCTTTCCGTCATCTCAGTTTTTTCACCCAATGAAGTACATACCCGCGTACAATAATTACACAGTGCTGGCAACTGAAATCCGACTCCCTTGCCGGTGCGCCGCCAGCACTGTAGTTAGGTACATGTACATGCATGTTAGGTCCATGGGTTGCTTCAGTTACCAAGCTTGCTACGTGCATGTTTCTCTTAGTCTCTCTCTATCTATCTATCTATTTCTCTCCCTCTCTCTTGCTTTTTATTCATCGTCCAATCTCCCTTTTTCCTAAGTGTCATTGCTGGGAAATGTCTCTTGAAGCTCAACAAACATGTACAAGGCATTAATTCTCTCTCTCTCTCTCTCTCTCTCTCTCTCTCTCTCTCTCTCTCTCTCTCTCTCTCTCTCTCTCTCTCTCTCTCTCTCTCGCTCTCGCTCTCTCTCTCTCTCTCTCGCGCTCTCTCTCTCTCTATCTCTCTCTCTCTCTCTCTCTCTCTCTCTCTCTCTCTCTCTCTCTCTCTCTCTCTCTCTCTCTCTCTCTCTCTCTCTCTCTTCCATGCTCGTGTGTGTGTACATGTGTGGATGCACTGATCTCTCCACTCTGCAGGCGGATGATCACCGGCAACGAGCCACCACCAAGTCCGCCAGCACACCCTCGTCTGCCAAGCTATCAGCTGAAAGTCGGCAATCTGCTGTGCAGGCTCAAATTGCTAAAGCAAGTGCTGCTCAGACTACCTCGAAAAGAATATTTGATGATGCTTCGGCAAGGAACCCATTCTCAATGCCGGACTCTCCACCCAGTGATAGTAGAGCACACAAGTCCAAGTCCTCTGAGCTAAATTCAACAACAGAGGCGGCTACACCCGCAGTCAAAATCGCTGCCGACCCAGGCGAAGAATTGTTCCGGAGTGTGGCTGAGCGCAAAGCCAGCAATGTCAGCTCTGTAGCTGCAGATCTGTTGCGCCAGAAGAAAGCCAAGGCCATCGCGGAGCTGAAAGCCGCAAAGGATCGTCCGGAGCCGAAAGCCGCAAAGGAGCGCTCGGAGCCACGGCCGAAGAATGCATCCTCGCCTAACCCCGAGGAGCGCCGTGGCAAGACATCACACACGAAAATGGCAGGCCAAGATGTTTCTCGAAAGAAGAAAGCCAAGTCAGCCCATCCATCAGATTCTCATCACTTGCATGTGCCTGCAGTGACAAGAGCCGTTCCAGCACCTACAACAACTGTATCTGGACATAAGCATGCTGTCTCTAACTCTAGCTGCGTCCCTGCAAAAGTGAAGCGCTCTGCGCCGAAATTCAAATCAAAGCCTGTCTCCTACTCGAGTCTTCTAACAGCTGCGCAGGCGAATGCTTCGAAACCGGACGCGTCCACGGTTGGTGCATCTCAAAAGCATATTCCTGATCACAAACGGCCACCGTCTGATGATGACGAGCCAGCCGGGCGGTTTCTGCTGGATGGACCAAAGCGTGTGATTGTTAAATCTGATGTTCACATCAAGCCTCTCCATTCCAATGCGCACCGTCAGGCAAAACCTACCGTGGTGAAACCTGCTCCCAACTCGGTGTCAGCCCGCTCAGCTAGCTCATCTCATTCAGTTAGTTCATCACGTGCTAAGCCAGCCATAGCACCAACACCTAAACCAGCACCGACACCTAAACCTCGCCATGAACCGCCAGCTAGCTCATCTCATTCAGTTAGTTCATCACGTGCTAAGCCAGCCATAGCACCAACACCTAAACCAGCACCGACACCTAAACCTCGCCATGAACCGCCAGCTAGCTCATCTCATTCAGTTAGTTCATCACGTGCTAAGCCAGCCATAGCACCAACACCTAAACCAGCGCCGACACCTAAACCTCGCCATGAACCGCCAGCTAGAGAACTCCCTGTGTCGCGAGCTCCATCCTCAAGTAGCAGCAAACCTGCGCCAGCCAAGCATAAATCCAATGGTAATGGCTCGCTGAGTGTCTTTGAGACGGCTCTAGCTAGCAGTCAACAGCAGCAGAAAGAGCAGCAGCGGAAAGAGCAGCAGCGGCCTGTGAAAACAGCCTCATCGGTGCACACACCTAGGCCATCTTCAAACGCATCGCAGAGCTACCTGGATTCATACTTAGCGTCTGCCACGAGCGGCAAGGCAGCTGCTGCCAGTAACAAACCCAAAATCCAGCAGAGTCGCATGGATGCATACTACAGCACCTCCAACAAACCCAGTGCAAAGGACGTCAAGACATCGTCAAATGCCGTAGCACACTCTGGAAAATTGCAGTCGAGTTCATCAAAAAAATTATCTCCAAATGGTGCTGAGAAGCGACCGAAATCTGGTGAAGACAGTGCTCCATCGAAGAAGAAGCCGAAGAAGAAGTGGGGTCCCATTTGGATGCAGGATGAAGAGTTTAGCGATGAAGACGATCCCGAGTCCGAATCAGTGGATGTGTCCAAGTACATTCGGAAACTCTACGGCTATGATCGGCGAAAGTAAGTACTAATACAATCATATCTCGTTTATCCGGGCGGCCCGGGACCGGGCACTGCTTGTAACTTTGAAATGTCCGTAACTCTCTCTCTACTTCGGCTGCCATCGCTATGTGCATCTCTGTGCGTTTTTGCCGGCGTTTGCACCATGATGGTTTGTGGTTATCTTGTAAAAAAAAAATTACTTGTAAAAAAACTCTGAATCACATACGTTTCAATGGGGAAGGGCCACAGACCTGGCATATGCATATGCCTACCCTACCGGATTTTCCGGGAAAATCCAGGAAAACTCGCTTTCATCCCGGTATACCGGAAAAGTTATACAATCTACCGGATTTTTGAAAACATGTCCGTCAGCACCTTTTCCCAACTTCCTTGGCCAGTGGTTGTTGCTGCTGCAGTTATCGTTACGTTGGAACATTTTTGGGGTTGAACAATACTGCCCTCTCTATATGGTAGTGACTTATCAAATACAGCACCCTTCCGATTATATTCGCCCTTTCTTTACACATGGCCAACTCTTCTCTCTACTGTCTATGTGTAGGTTTGCTGATGAAGACCCGCAAGACCTTCCCATGGAGTCCTCTTGGTCTCATATTCAAAAGGAGGAAAGGATGAGGTGAGTTGTTGGAGTGCATAGTGCCAAACGGTAATCTATCTGTGTGTGTGTGTGCGTGCGCGCGTGTGCGTGCGCGCGTGTGTGTGTGTGTGTCTCTCTCTCTCTATCTATCTATCTATCTATTCATCTATCTTCCTCTCTCTCTCTCTCTCTCTCTCTCTCTCTCTCTTCCTCTTCCTCTTCCTCCTCTCCTTTTACCTCTCTTATTCTTTTTATTGAAGAATTCAGTTGAGTTTACATCCCAGCCAGGTATTAGGCGGCTTGTAACATTTTTTTATGTTTTTTCTTTCATTTCTTGTTCATGGCAGTGCTCGTATTGGAAAACAAGAAGATTTGGAGCAAGAACGCCTGGAAGAGGAGGAGCGGAGGCGCGCTGAAGCACGGCGCAAGCGGAGGTGTATCGACGATGACGACGATGACTAACTGCAGGTGCTATGTTTGGAAAGACGCGCCTGTGCCTGTCTTGCTTTTGTACTTATATACCTCGACCAAGCGAAGCACTCGGATCAGGCCAGCTTGCTACATCAGCGTCATCCTATGTCCCCGCTGATGTTCAGTCCAACTTGCTGCGTTAGCACCACCCTGTGTGTCCGCTGAGGCTTAGCATGATTCAACTGATCAATTAGACCTGGCTACTAACCCAAGGCACATCCTAGCTCATCACGTTATAATGTGAGGCTGTGCTGCAACTCACCTTTGATTTTTCACACAGGTGAGTACTGTTGGCTTTCCTGCCTTTTTCTGCCCTATATAGCTTCATTGGTTAGCCTTTACCGTTTTTAGTGGTTTTAATACCTCAACGCTGCTCATGGTAGTGGTTACTATATCCCAGAACCGCGTATACTTAATTGTTAGTGGTATCGTATCCCAATGCCGCTTATTGTAGTGGTTTTAATATCCCAGAGCCGCTTTTTATTCACATGCATTTGCACTGTCAGCCTTATCAATGAGCTCACGAGTTATTTTTAATGTGGGGCTGGATGTGTCTCTTCTAACTTGAGATCTTGCAAAGTGCTGCTGTCGGCATGCCCAGGGCATTATTATTTATATTTGAAATTTTAATTTTATCCCCAGCAGAGGAGGGAATGGAACAAGAGAAAAAACTTCAAAAAAGTGGGAACTGCAGAATGCTGTTTGCAAAGAACCAGAAATTTTTTAACTTTTTCTTAGTCTAGTTGTATTTCTGTCTCGTAGAAAATTATTTATCCTCACCGCTTCTATTTCCAAGCGCACACAGTTCAATACGACGTACCACAAGCCAGCACACACAGCCCAACGTTTTGCGTTATTTTTTACTGCTTTTGTGCTTTCCTACTTCTAAACTACAAGTTCCTGGTACGCCAGGTTTTGATTTGCATCGTGCCGCAGTTTTTCAACATTGCAGGCCAGTGCTTTGCACCATAATTAATTATGTGGTGCGTGGCGACCATTATCCCAGGTGAGGTGCGGTGGGCTGTTGTCGGCTGAAAGCGGCGTTCACAAGTTCCCAACCCTCTAGCCGTGTAGGGCGGACAGAATTGAATCTGGGCCAGTATCACTATCGTTAGATTTGCATTATGCGCATTGCATGGTGATTTTTTTCATTTTCTGCCCCATCTGAATGGTCATGACGGGTATCAAAATCCAAACCAGGCTTCATCGGCTATAAACTTCAGCAGGCAGGATTCACAGAAGCATTTTTTTTAGATGCGACACGCAATGAGACGACCGCGAAACCGGGAAATCCTCAAATCGCACCCCTAGCACAGCTCATAACACAGTAATCATGTAGCCATTGCAACTGGCTGATTGCCTTATATTTGTCGCAGTTGAGCTTGGCTTAACTTTCGCAATGTGATGTGCGATGCAATGTGCAATTTGGTTATTTTTTGAAGCAAAGTTCTATGCTAGGTTCAAGAGTTGCTTGTAAAATTTGTAACGCGTATAATATTATATCGGTTGTGCCTGGCCACGCGAATGCCACGGTGGCGTACAACACTGCAACTAGCTTTGAGGTAAATCAGCAAATGACAGCAAGCTGGAAAGGTGACGTCGCATTCCTGACGTCTTCTTTGCTGACCTGACTTCTCTCTTTCCCCGGTACCATGGTGGCATGGAGCGTAAGGCCGATGGTTGCCGCTCGGTCACTACTGTAGTGACCGAGCGGCATGCATTGGCCACGCTGGTCTACTACACTGGTGGATGTGTCACCTTACATGTACCGTATATAATATATGTATATAATAGACATATTCATAAATGACATCTTCAATACCCATGAGCTACATTGTATTATGATAATTATATCATTATATCATCGTTCTAGCTCAATTTCTTTCCCCTGTCATAGTCCTGTTTATCATGTTCAGCATAAGCGAAGTTGTGGATCATGCTTGCATGGTTGACTCCAACGCGTACATGCAAGTAATTATAATAATAATATAATACAACCCAACAGTACGCTTGTACGTGAAATATAAACCGAGGCGAAGCCGAGGTTTGTGTGATGGTTCATATTTCACGTACAAGCGTACTAGTGGGATGTATTATACTTATGCTGACCTTCATACAAACTGACAGTCAACTTCTTCCTGTTTCTATGGTGGCGGTCTATATGGGGTTTGTATGAGGTTTATATGCCCAGTATAAGCCGCCAGCATGATGGGCAAGTTGACTGGAAGTTTGTATGAAAGATCAGCATAAATAGTAAAAGAAACCACACACAGACACACACACATACCATGTATCATGTATATGCCCGTCGCAAGAGAAGCACGCAAATCTGCAAATGCACTGGATGTGCACCCACAGATTTTCTCTTATAGCAACGATAGCGAACAGGATCTGAATGAGACAGATCAAGACTTGCGCCAGATAACTGTCTAATCCACACAACTGGCGAAGCCATGTGAATCGACCACCGATGCACACCTGGCCTACACCACACGGAGTACATCGACACACACACAAACACACACGGTCCTGGGTTCCACTCCCTGGATTCATAAAAAAAAACTTTAAAAAGAAAGTCTGTGGCCGGGCTGCAGGTGATGTACCACTTTCAAGCTACCAAGCCTCGAGAGCACTTTATTGAAGAGTTATGTCTTATGATCAAGGGGTGGGGATGTGGGGGTGGTTACTATGACAATTATGTCATGGTTATATCAAGAATCCATATTCATACGCCAGGTACATGTAACTGGTTTTCATGGCTGCTTGTATGGACAAGACAGCAGCATGCTGAAAATGGAAGGCATGGCACTTATTCATAGTGTATATGATATCGATAGCGAGCATTACCTTACACAACGTGTCACGTGTGGGGACACAGAGGGAAATCATGTCTGCGACACTTTCCCGACTCCTCAAACAGTGCCACAAACATACCTGTGTGCATTTTGTGTGACGTGTGCGGGTGCGTCCACGGGACCATTAACTATGTTTTCAGCATTTCTGCCACACTACCCACCACTATCAACATTGCGGGCAAGAAACGATCTCAAAGGTTTCTTAAAGCTGGCAGTCGGGTTCGAGAGCAAGTGGCGGAGCAGATGGTGCTGGTCTGCTTGAAGCTTCGACACACCCAGGCAAAGCTGTAGCTCCCGTCTGAGACAATTGTTCTGATGTGCTAAGGATATTTGGTTGCCCCGGATGGCTTGCCACATATGCCTGCTGTTGTGTTGCTAGCGGAGGCGCCGCATTGCTGCTACCGTGGAGCAATGCATGCATTTTCTGACGGCGCCTTGAGTGCGTTGTTGTTGGCTGGTCAGGCGGCGCCATCTGCACCACGTCTCCTATTCCTGTGCCTGCACGGCGTGGACCTTGATCGTTAACTGCGGTCAAACTCGGCTGCTGCGGCTCTGTCACAGCTCGGCTCCTTTTAGAGTCCCGGTACATGGTTGCCGCAGGCCGATTCCCCACGCTGACTGCTGTGGCGGAATAGTGTGGAGCAGTTTGTTTTGGGCCACTCTGAGAGTCAATATGCCCGCCAACATTTTGTACCGTAAGTGGATCAATTTGGCCTGCTTGCAAGGCAGGTCTGGCAGTGCGCCCAGGCTGGGCATCCTGCCCGCTGACGCAGCATCGGCCAGAACTGAGTGGTGGAAATTCGTCAAATGAGTTTGGCGCTAAGTGCACCGGCAGACTTGCTTGAATGTCCTGTGCCATTCTGGGAACATGTTGCCGTGTGCATTTTTCACCATCTCCTGCTGCAGTGTGACTAGCACTAGTGGATTCCGGCTGGCTACTTGCCACCGTCTGTGACTGCACAGCCATATTCGTTGTCGGTTTGTCAGAACTTTCTGCCGCTGAGCTGCCATACCTCGCTTTCTCCATTGCGGCAATGGTCGTTGCAAACAGCTCACCGATGCTTTCCAGGGCAATACTGCGACGGACTGATGTCAGTGCTTCTTTGTCCAGTGCTTTCCTATCTAATGGGCATTCCAGTGGACGTTCCTCGGTTGCCATTTTGTGTAGCGTCTCGAGGCATTCATAACAGATGGTGTGCGAGCATCGGAGAGTGACCGCACGACGCTGCTCGCCATACACATACTGGCATACTGGACAAGAGACCATTGTCTCCAGTTGGCTAATGCAAGTGAGCGCCGCGGCGTATATGCCAGCACTCTGAGACTCCGAGTCCATAGTGATAATATTATGACTTAACTGGGCCTGGATTTGGATATGACTTGTTGCCAGGTGGGTCAATATTGCTTGTCCTCTTTCGCGGATGCCCGAGCGTGGCTGGCATATATCACTGCTGGTCCTGGACTGGGTACTGGGTGAACGTTAGCATTAATTTGACTGCCAATAGCAAGAATGATTGATTACGACTGCGTAACGAAGCAATGACTTATGTGCACCATCCAACTAAGATCTTTCTCTGGCACAGCAATGAAGAATGCTGTTGCTATTCGTCGCTAGCTGGCTCATCAAACGCCCTCCACTGGCTGTCTCCTTTTGCACGAGGGCTGAAGTGCGTTGCTGTCCGAGATCGAGAGCGTTAGTCTCCAGACTGTTCCCTTCTATCATTTTCAGGGATATTTGAATATATTTCCCAGAGCTGGCCCGCGCGGGAGTGCCACTAGATCGGTGGTTGTCAGTAGCGGCAGTTGTGCCACCGAGAATCATGAGCCAAGTCTACAGTAGCTTGCTGGAGGTTCATCACGGGAGATCAGCACATTTTTAGTTTGGTGACAAGTGCATGACGATGTCACAAAGCCAAAGGGCCTTCGTCGAAGGCATTCTAAATTTATCGCTCGTGCCCGTCGTGGTGCGGCCTAGGGCTAGGCAAGATAGAGTAGGGGCTGATTACTTACTACTAGTACTACTACTAGTACTACTACTAGGCCAGGGAGCACCCGGTCCGGACTCCGGACTCCGGAGCATGATAGATGTCTTGGATGATGAAGCTGCAGCCAGGCTGCATGCAGTGCAGCCTGTGCACTGTGCATGTACGTGTGCAGGGCAAGTGACACTGTGACATCATGGACATGAGTCTGACAGGGATTATCCATTACAGGGTACGTCCTGACATCATTGGGACGAATACTCTTCTGTACTGAAGTGAAGAGTGAAGTAGCAGTGCAGTAGCCTAGCAGTAGTAGGTAGATCATACGTAAGCTAAGACCTAAGACTAAGTACTAGCTAAAGGAGTAAGGTCCTTCATAGAATAGATGAGCAGAGATTCGGGATCGAAGTGTTTAGTTTGCCCGTTTCATATTATTTTTTATGAATCATGAGAGTCATGAGACCCTAGGCCCTCGCGGCATAATCCAGCACCACAATCAGTAGCCAGAATGTCCATAATCATTGCAGCAGTAAATCAGATAGCACCCCCCCCCCCCCCCCCCCACACACACACCCCAGCAGAATTTCCGTAGCAGAAATGGTGCCGCATAAAGGGACAAAAGTCTGTATGAGTATCCAGATACCCGACTCAGACTCCCTGGGCCTGGTGAGCACTCCCCATGTCCACGGTCGCTGTTGGAGTCACCATGGTCCCGTACTGGTAGTGAGAGATGGCCTGACTCACTGCCTGGTTTATTCACAAAGCCAATCACGTGAATCATAAAGTGAGAACCAAAGTAAAAGACAACACAAATCCGGCAATAAAATAGAACACTCAACTGAAGTGTAAGATCATCACAAAAGCTTGACAAGAAACCGCTACCTTCATAGTAAAAGGCCTGCCGGCATGAAAAGGCTCTACTCGTCCCAGCTTCCGTTTACCTATGCGTGCTCCTGGGTTGACAACGGCGATGCCTGGTTGCGGCTGCCGCCACTTAGCAGTGGCAATACTATAGCTAGGTCACCATGTGCTTCTATGCTTGTAGGACTGAAGTCTGGACAACTAACGCTACTTGCCAGAGATGCTCGTGATTGCGTAGCACAACGCCAGTGCCCCTAGGCACAAATGGCAGGCCTTGGTGTCCATCATTTAGGAAATGATTGGGTGTCGACAGCAGCATATCTCTAGCATCCGCTGATTGGTAAGCATGATGCAAGCGGTCACAAATTCAGTAATGCCTCTGCACCGGTAATGGCATTTGCCAATTTCTCGCCATTCACTTTCGCATATGCTAGAATGGCGAAGACAGCATGTTTTGAAGATTTCAGTAGTGCCTCTTGCACACATCCAAAGTGCCGTGCAGCCGGCAGGTTAAATGACACTTGATTATTTTTGTCCGCTGTTTGACGATACAATTTTCCGTCCATTGCATTCAGAAGCTTCTTTATCTCGTTGGCAGCTCCAGTGAAGTTGGTGCCGTTGTCTGAGACAACGGTTGAACACCGTGTCAGTTCATCATCCGCAGAAACTTCCAGAAACCATTCAGGAATCTGTCGACGTCGAAACTTTCTACCGTGTCTAAATGAACAGCCGGAGATGGAAGTGAATAGGCAGAGGTATCTCTTTGCCCGAGGTTCTCCACAATCCTGCTTTGGTGTGAAAGGTCCGGCATATTCCACAGCAACACGCGAGAATGCTCTCAGTGGCAATGACATATTGATGGTAGGTAGTGGCGATATTATTTGCACGCCTGGCTTTGTGGCCTGCCGTTGGCAATGAGCATACCTCTTCTCCCAGGCCTATAATTCCTCTCGCCCAGCAAAAAGCCAATACCTGTATGAGGTCTGTGAGGTCGGCTGGAGAGCGCACTGATGGTGTGGTGGTTGATGATAAACCTCTGTGACAAGCCATTAAGTCACCGTTTAAGTGTGTGACTTTTAATCCACCAGCATGCTGGCTCTTCTCGTGAACTTCCTTGACAATGCGCTGGGTAACACGGTGCCCGCGTGGCAAGGTCACAGCTCCTTGCTTCCTCTTCCAGGACCATTGCAGCATATCGGAGACATCTGTCAACACACAGAAGCCAATCTTCAATCATACATCATTGGCCGTAACTTCGTAAGCTTCCCCAATTGCATTCTTGACCACGTTGTCCAGTGCCTAAACATCGAAGACTCAGGTTGCCGGGCTTTGCAATACCGGCTATCCTCCATCGTTCATTCCGTGTTGCTGACTTGACTATCAAGCACTTCCAGACTTCGTGTTGACTCTGGCAGGCTGCACACTTGCCTGGCTACATGCACGGCGCCGCGTAAACATGGCAGAGGTGGAGCCACAGTCCAAACGGGAGCATCTGATCAGACCCAAAGCTACACTAGTACTAGTAGTACTAGTCACTACCGTAGTCAGGCCGGTGCTTCTACACCCCATTCCTGTTCAGTATATCAGTACACTCCCGAACAACACAATCATGGAATGACATACCGGTGAAGACTTTGAGAACTAACAAGGCCGCAACAGCTAGCTATCCGGAGATTGAGGAATACATGTAAGCATATGTTACAATGATTCATGTTGTACATGTACATGTAAGTGGCTGCATTGGAGTTTGCAGGCCAAAAGAAAAGAAGAAAAAACTACAAAGCCACAAAGTCACATGGTTGCACACGGCAGGCTGGACACCAGTTTTGGACAGTTCTCAAACACGACTTCAGAGACAAAACTAAAAGACTGATCGGGCCAAGCCTGACTTGGTCTGAAGCCGTGAAGGCTCTGACTCTGAGCCAAGTGAGAGCATGGGTATCGTTCAGTAGAACTGAATCATCTGCAAGAAATAATGCCAATGCCAGTGCTACATCACTCATCAGTAGATCCACGCAGCTGGTAGTGGTAGATGTCTACAATGCAGCAAGTGAGCAAGCTGGATCTGGGTCGAGTTGCTACAATCATGACTGTAGACCAGGGACTCCCTGCTGTAGACCATTGGTAGACTGTAGTCTTGTAAGTAACTTAGTTGTAGATCTACACTAGACTACAGTACATCCAGACCATACTACCCATGTACTGTGATGTAGGATAAAACACGGTCAGTTTCACCAAGACTAAGGCGAGACTGGCAAGCCACGACTCTGACAGTGACACCATAATTTTGCCACTGTACTTTGGCTTGCGCGGACGGAGCTGCGCCGGAGGTCCATGGCATATTATGCCATGGACCTCCGGCGCAGCTCCGTCCGCGCAAGCCAAAGTACAGTGGCAAAGGGGTGCTGGCTAGTACTACAGTAGTAGCACGAGGTCCCTATGAAAAGCGCGAAATCGACGGGTCAAAGGTTGTAACTGGTAGCAACCGGGGGGTAACTCTGGGTACAGCAGTACACTGTACAAAGCGCAGCCACAGAACTGCTCCGTCGTCCTCGGATCGGACCGTCGGGTGTGAAGATGCTGGGCAAAATGCTCGTTTGAGGACGCCACATTTTCTCGGCATAGGCAGTAGGCATGTCCCCTGCTTTGGTTTGGGAGCAATGTCGATAGTTCCGACAATTCGCTATCACGGACGTTGGCGGTCGCTGGTTGTCACTCACATCTGTAGTGTGTGTAGGTGCGCACGAAGGTTGCTATCTCAGAGGTAACTGGTTCGTGTGCTGCTGTATCCGAAGTCAGCATAATTAATTATAATTTTATCAGTATCTCGATCAGAGCACTCAGTCGATACGTCTTTGTATTCGAAGCGATAGTAGGCTTGCTACTTTTCTTCAATTCGCCGGATTGTATCTTGGCAAATGGCCTCAACGGTTGCGCGCACAGGCACACGGCATCAGCGCGGTGAAGTGACGGCAGGCATGCGACCATCTCGCAGTAGTACTAGCTTGACTGGTAAGCGACGAATACGCGTCATCCCCGAGCCGGACTTCCAGAACCCGTATCGCCATGAGTTACACTGGACAGAGAACAAACGAGTAAAGGTAAGCAGATCAGGCAGCATATCAGTTTTATTTTGTATGATTCAGTTAGCCGCGGACTCATGCACTACAAGTAAATAGTTTGGAGTACATGTACAATGTTTCATGCTTTCTCATCAGGCAAAGTACAAGCAATCAGAACCAAGAAAACCGTTGAAATTTATCATCACAAACAGTGAAAACCATTACAAGTTACAACTAAGTGATACATAGTTACATACTATAGAGGCATTTTCTTCGTTCCATTCCAATTTTCAGTGTATTTGCCATTATTTCGTGCGTTGCCCAATCGCTTTGACCACTTCGTGGTGGGTCTGATCTACTCACCTCCCACCGCTTAGGAGCTGCATCTGCGCCTTGATCCAAGAGGGTGGTGGCATTCCTACGAATGCGGAAAACTGGGCCTCTGGCCGAGTCTCACGCCAACCATGATTTTTTTGCCCAATCGCCAAAACATTTCACATAATTCCGTCAGAATCGTGCTAACTTCTAGTATGCACGAAGAACTGGTCGACACCATAAAAAGTCGGGCACATGGGATATGAAAGAGATGTACTTACAGTTTGAATTTGGACCGTCTACTGCAGCCGGCTGTGTTTATGAATGAGCAATATGGTGGTAAAGACATGCTTATGGTTTGTATCTACCCCCCCCCCCTCCCTCCTCTCTCTCTCTCTCTCTCTCTCTCTCTCTCTCTCTCTCTCTCTATCTCTCTCTCCTGCACTCGTTCATCCTTCTGTCTTTCCTTCCTTCTGCCCATCTGTCTGGGCTGTGAACGTTCTCTGTAATCCAGTTGATACTTGGTGCCATCTTCCTCTTCCCATTACGCCTTATGACACTACTGTTCCTAACGTTCTGGGTGTACGTGGTGTGTGTACCGGCTACATGGGGGCTCGGCTCCTCTCCCACCAGTCATCTCAAGCCATTGCAGCAGTGAGTACTGTGTCATACATGTCTACATGATGACTGTTCAGATACATGGGCATATCACACATGCATGACTCCAGTCGATGTTGACAGTACAATGTACATAGTACATTGTGGATTGTACCGGGTATAAGTCGGTCCCCCATACTTGTGGCCTCAATTATGTCCTAGTTCAGTGGTAGTTAAACCACGGTTGTAAGTCAACTATCACATACCTGCCAAGTACAGACAGTGCTTTTCCGGGATCGTCAATGCAAAATCACGGGATTTGCCTCATTTTTTGGGGATACCGGTAACCTCCCCCATTCCCTCAACTAGTGAACATGACTACTAAAAGTTGACCTTTAATGACCTTGAAACCAAACTAAAAAAAGTGATAGCATACCTGCCAAGTATCCCGCATTTTTAGATGACCTCCCGAAATCCCAAAATTCTTCTCAAATATCCCGAAAAGTTGAAAAAATGAGATGAACTGCAGTCTTGACGATTTCCTGGCATACTGCATGCAGTCAGGCATGGATCTCGGCCACAACACTGAAAAGGAATGGTTACGCACAGTTTGTCCTGGTGCAGTGGTGACGATATGTAAGTTCTCATCTCTGAAAGGCTTTATGGTACATATATAATATACATGTTTACATCACAAGTTATTTAATCAATGACGTCACCATAGAAAGTTGAAAATGAATGAATCATGAAAAAAGTTGACATACCGGTATACTAGTAACAGTTAGCTACATTGGTACTGAGCAGTGGTGAATAGCAGCATGGTTGAGTGTTAGGCTTAGCTTCATTGACATGTCTAGTATATATGCACTCCTTACTCTTTGCCTTTGTGGATGCAGGATTCTGGTGAGGAATGTCCTTCGCGGTATCATCGGGAGGCTGATTGCCCCCGTCCTGGGGTTCTACCACCCGAAGATAACCGGGACACGGGCATCGCACAGAGATGCCCCGTTCACTGTCATTGCTCCGCACACGTCGCTATTCGACGTGATCATGTCTGGCGTATACACTCCTGGATCGTACGTGTCACTGCTGCATATGCGTGGCCTGCCGCTCGTGGGCAGTAAGTTCATTGGATGAGTTCAGGCGTTTTGGTCTTCCCAGTCTGATGTGACTGTATCGTGTGATGATGATCAGTAGACCAACCGTAACATAATTACTTTTCGCTCTGCAATCTCCATTGCTATAAAAGCATCAATTGTGTCATAGCTAAATGTGCTTGTAGATGCCTATTGCAGTCTCGGCTACTGACATTCAAAAGGTCACGCACCTCAGTTCTCTGTTTCATTTTACAGCTCTGATGTCTGTTGCTGAGATGGTCTGGGTGGAGCGAGATGCAGAACGAGGGGTGGATGCTAGCAGCACGTCTTCTCGCCAGGCAATTGAGGAGAGGCTAAACTCGCCGAAGCGATGGCAGTCCATTGTCGTGTTTCCGGAAGGTAAGGCACCTCCTGGCGTTCTTGCGCTGTTGCTGATAGATACAATGTACATTTACTTCTGCATTGTGACCCTTTACTAGGCACCCGACATGCGTGTTCTTGATAACTATTAACGTTTTCCTACACCATGCAACACACTTGTACTATTATTCAGGTAGCCTCGGAGACACAGACAGAGAGTAAGAGGGGGGGGGGGGGGGGGGAGACAGAGAGAAACAGAGACCGATATAAAGATACAAAGAGAGACAGACAAAGATGGAGACAAGAGACAGAGACAGACAGAGGGAGACGGGGGCTCAGTGGAGAGGAGAGAGACAGAAACAGAGACAGAGGGAGTCAGAGAGTCAGAGAGAGAGAGAGAGAGAGAGAGAGAGAGAGAGAGAGAGAGACGGGGGGGGGGGGGGAGACAGAGAGAAACAGAGACCGATATAAAGATACAAAGAGAGACAGACAAAGATGGAGACAAGAGACAGAGACAGACAGAGGGAGACGGGGGCTCAGTGGAGAGGAGAGAGACAGAAACAGAGACAGAGGGAGTCAGAGAGTCAGAGAGAGAGAGAGAGAGAGAGAGAGAGAGAGAGAGAGAGAGAGAGAGAGAGAGAGAGAGAGAGAGAGAGAGAGAGAGAGAGAGAGAGAGAGAGAGAGAGAGCCGGTTGCACTCGTTCCTACGTAAAAACGTACAGCACGTTTCAATGAATCTGTGTTCAGTGACCTCCGCATAGCGCACATGAACTTGAGTGAAGTAAACTGGTCTTTGAGAACAGGTGACCGTATAACCAGGTAAACATGCGGCATCATGGCGTGGGTCTGGTTGGTCCGGTTAGGTTCTACACCAGTGCTTTAATAATACCGCTCTGCACTGTACTTGTTGCCTGACTGCCCAGACATGGGGGTGCTTTCCTTTATCATCTTAACATGTATGTGCTGCAGGCACTGTTCATGCACCGGGAGTGCTCATCAACTTCAGGCCAGGTTAGTATTATGTCCATCATAATCCTGTTCTACTTTGCAATAGCCTTAGGAATGATGTTCTGCTTGCATATCAGTTCTGAACACATTCGAAACTTAAGTGTACGTGCCTACGTCATTCATGCTTTGTGTGTGTGTGTGGGGGGGGGGGGGGGGGGTACTCGAGGGCTTATGTCAGAAAGGGAACGATGTAAAAAGCCGGACTAGTCTGCACACAGACACGGCTTGTTGGAGACCGGCGGCCTGGGATAAAGTCCTGCGCCATTGTTGTCTCCTTCGACTACATGCCAGGGTGGACATTCCTGTTACTTGAACTACTACTTCAAAATCGAAGTATCATCATTACCCTATTTGATCTCTATTCCATTCTCGGATGGTGAGCCAATTAAATTATGGTGACTCGCTGACTGTATAAGATCTAGTTACGTTGGTGGACAGTTAGTCAGAACTCGTAACATTTTGTCCTTCTCCTTTTTCTCTATTCCATTCTACACCGCAGGTCTTTTCCTTCATGGTGTACCAGTACAGCCAGTCGTCTTCCGCTTTAAATCCAGTGCAGTGAGTTGAGTTCCGTGGCCCGCTACAAGTGCATCACTGCGTGTCAAACTAAACGGGTGCCTTGATGCTTTTCAGTGCTCGTTCCTATTACGTGCATATGGGAAAGATAGCTGAGTTACAGAGTGAGGGTTGCGCTGGGCAGTGGTGATTGTGATGGGCAAGTACATGTACATTGGATTCCGCCGTTCCCATTTCTTGATAAAGAGGAAGCTTCTAGCTTCTGAAGCGGTTCTTTTCGACATTATCCACATGATTGTGCCGGTGAAAGTTATGCAAGTTTGGGAGCAGTTTTAAAGAAAGGACAGTAGTTATATTGACAATAAAGTTCACCATAAAGTTGACTATGCCCAAACAACTGCGGAACATGACTGAAAAAACCATGTACTGTATCATGTTTCTACTTGTGTGCTCGTGTTACCATTGCAACAGGAATGGACAACTTGGACAGACCCTGATCACAGCCTGTAAGCTGATGAGACAACACACACACACTGGGGATCTTTTCGTATTCGGCTAAAAACAAGTACAATTCGAACTCCCCTCGGAGCACACATAGTAGAGGCACACACTCATATAAACAAGGTCTCCTACAGAGATTTTACGATGATCCTTGAAACCAATTCATATAGTGTGGTGCATGATGCAGTAAGAACTATGCTGTCTGCGTTGTGTAAAGGTCCTAATAAATGTTGTATGACCTTGACAGTGCCGGTCCTGGTTGACCCATGCCATGCCACTGCCCTGCTGCCTGCATTGCTTCATGACCGTGAATCTGCTCTGAACCCTCAGGGTGCAGTTACATGCTGCGGTATCAAAACAGAACTTACCCGTGTTCTGGCTTCATACTTGATAGTGTCTGAGGATTTGCCAATTGATGTACGGTATTTCCTCGATTAATAGACCCGGTCTATTGTTTTTTGAAGAGGGTTGGACCCCGGTCTCTTATTTGGGCATGGTCCATTATTTGAGCGCGGTCCATTATTTGAGCACGGTCCACTATATTTTCATCGGCCCATCGCTGGAAATGGTGGATTTTTAACACGTCATAATATAGAACTTCTATATTATGACGTGTTAAAAATCCACCATTTCCAGCGATGTGCCGATGAAAATATAGTGGACCATGCTCAAATAATGAAAGAAAGCACTAGCCACTACAAAAATTGTAGTTGCGCAACCGAAAATCGCGTCCTTTTTTGATCCACCACGTGCTTTCTTAGTGCGCATGCGCAAAGCGATGAACTCAAATAAGAGACCGGGTCTCTTATTCGGGCATGGTCTACTATTTTTCCGTGAGGCCTCTAGGAGGGTCTACTATTTGAGCATGGTCTATTATTCGAGCATGGTCCATTAATCGAGGAAATACGGTACTTGCATAACCAATGAAGCTTGCCTATCCAGGGGCGTCGCACACGGTACGGCCACTACGGTATTGACCGTACCACTATTTGCCCCAAGTACCCCGTGAATCAAACAAAATGCACTGATTTGGGCTCTAAATTTCCAACATTTTCGGCTCAGCCCCCCCCCCACGAGTAAATTGTACTTCAGGTGGCTGACCGTACCACACTAAAATACCTTCCGACGCTTCTGCTATCAGTTATATTGCATGCCCAAATCTAGTTGCCGGTATGTAGGCATGGATAGTGGTGGCGAGTGAAAATTTAGCCCCATGCACAGCACAATACCGTGGCTGAATACCCCTCCCCCCCCCCCCCCCCCCGCACCATGAACACCAGACTGTACAGTGAATGTGGCTGATCGTGAGCCGGTAGTATCTCACTCGCCATCGCAGTATCTGGAATCAGCCAACGTAGTAACTCGGGTAACACCAACTAGTCTTGTGCCACCAGTTCAGTTTGCAAGTGCAACCATTGCCAGATAGCTTCCGCTTTGCTTGCAAAAGGCTACACTGCGATAGTACAAACAGTTGAAAAGTTGAGATCAAATTTGAGTCTTGCAGGACAGCAATTAAAACCATTTGCCAAAAAACCTCCACCGTGAAAAAAGCAAACTTTCCCCACTCGAAGGTTTCCAGGTTCACAGCATTTGTACTGGGGTATTCAGTGTTATTTACATCATATTCGGTATGCTTCCAATATTGTGCGCAGTAAAACTACCCTAATCCGGGCACTCTGGAACCGAGCCGCACCGTCCGTAACTAGGAATTGACCGTAACTCGAACATACCGGCGTACTTACTGCATGCAAACAACATTATTTTATACCAATCGATAGGTTTTGGGTACGCTTTTTTGTAGAAAAGACAATTTTTGTGACTCTAGATGGGTCAGAAAAGTGCCCGGTAGACGAACGTGCCCGTATTATTGTTGTCCGGATCAAGGGAGTTTTACTGTACATCCCAAATTACATGATCCAATCCATTTCCCGATAGGTACGAGAGCACAAAACGTCACCTCCATGCTCTACTGTTTTGCGCTCTATTTTGATGCAGGTGGATGTCGGTGTTCCACACGTTGTGCCAGTTTGAGAATGAATTTGAAGTTGAGGTACGTCTATTGGCAATATGTGATCGGCAACATGTGCTTGTTCTCTTAGTCAAGCACCGAGGCCTTTGTATCACTAGCGAGTCGTTGACATCAGAAGCTTTGAAAACTCATTGGGTTTGCTGGCCATATGTACCTGTCCTGTTCACAATGACTGGAGGAGTGCAGCCGTCGATGGTATATGGCAGGCCGACCACTAAGGGTATTGGTTTTAAGACTCCACTTGCATAATATCTACATAGTCTATAAACACTATTAAATAGCATGCTATCCGCAGATTGGCTATAATTATAGTCTCTATACAATAATAGCGAGAGTTCCCAGATTGCCTATAGTGCTCAACACCACACGGATGGAGCATTACCACAAAGGCAGAAGAGAACAGAGACAGCCGGCTAGGTCATTGTTGTAACGATGCAATTCATGCACATAGCAAAGTTAAGGAAATCCTCAGACAACTGATAACCTGTACATCATCTGGGTCCAAATTTATACCCAGGCAGGTAGCAGGCCCTGCCCGCCACCACTGTAACTTGACTGTCACCCCTCTTTCTCTCCCTCCTTTTCTCACCTCCCATATAATAACCGACACCATCCGCACCATGTCTCACTAACTAACGTATCACTTGAAATGTCACACTACAGTGCCGCAAAACTATAGACGCGTAGGGTTTTTGAAATATTTCAAATTTGGCTGGAACTTTTTGAGAATAGTTTTCGGAATATTGCTCAGGATCGCTCCACAATTACTCTCATATAGTTTCTAAAGGATTGGATAACAGACGCCCAATTTGGAAATTTTTATGCACAAAGTGATCACAGATTTTATGTGGTATAGATGCTGGCATAACGGTTTTTGCCTAGGTACGCGTCTATAGTTTTGAAATGGACTGTAATGTCGCGCTTTTGCCACCTTTGCGCGCTTTGCCACCTGCTTTTGCGCGCTTTACTCACTTTGCGCGCCCTGTTTTAGCTACCTGCCTGGGTATAAATTTTGACCCAGATGATGTACAGGCTATCAGTTGTCTGAGGATTGCCTTAGCTTTGCTATGTGCATGAAATACAGCGTTACAACAATGACCTAGCCGGCTGTCTCTGTTCTCTTCTGCCTTTGTAGTCTCTATACTATAGTGTATAGCGTGTGTTGACCCCCATTGTATAGACTACCACCAATAATCACGGTGGAAGCTTTACTGGAGATGCAAAACGACTTCAAGTTGTACCTGCACCTGTGTGTGTGTGTGTGTGTGTGTGTGTGTGTGTGTGTGTGTGTATGTGTATGTGTGTATGTGTGTGTGTGTGTGTATGTGTGTGTGTGTCTGTGTGTGTCTGTGTGTGTCTGTGTGCACATGTGTACGTTTGTGTGTGTGTGTGTGTGTGTGTGTGTGTGTGTGTGTGTGTGTGTGTGTGTGTGTGTGTGTGTGTGTGCATTTTCTGACATGCTACAGTACTTGCCAGTATACACACCGAATATGGAGGTAAGGACAGTGTGTGGTAGAGTACAGGGACATGATTACTTTCTGAACTCTATATACCGTATTATCTCTAATATAAAGCACAGTCCTTTATTTTTTCAATGTACCTCCGACCCATGCTATAAATGGAGACGTTCCTTTATTGGAGACTGTTCCATTATTATTTCAACCTCATTTCAGAGGCATGTTGCCATGCCAAATTCATGTGGGACACACACATTTCAGGGGGTTTTCGCCGGTACAGATAATGAATTTACACAGTGTGCTTATAATGGAGACTGAGCACTTTATTTTTTGAATGCCATCCCAAGGTGTTCTATTATTGGAGACGTGCTATTATTGGAGACGTGCTATTATTAGAGATAATACGGTACTGTGGGGCAGGTGACATACCTATTGGAGTGGTTATGTCATCATCAGATGTGAAGAGATCCTCCCTAAAAACCTCATGCGTACTGATCAAAACATTTTAATGTGGTGGATAGGCATCTGAACTGGATATGCAATGCATGCTTCCAATTGCAATTGGTTTCCAGCCGGTTGGAGAGGGTGATGTTAAACATGACCGTTTTCAGGAGGTGCAAGTGCAACATTGCATATTGGTATTATGACCACTGACCAGTATGGATTGCATGCTGGGTGACGGCCTACTTGAGTACGGCTAGGAAAACCAGTGCATAATGTACTGTTCGATCATAGGACCAGTGCCGGTGGCTCATCAAATACATGATGACAAGTAGGGGCTGTCTGCACTCTTCACAATGATCTGCTACAACAGCTGGCCATGCCCTCTTTATTGGCGCGAACAAGTTCAGAGCACTTTGCACGCGTGAGAGTGAAAGGCTCACCTGCACGTTGAAGCTGCTCGTTGGTACTACAGAAATCAGCAGCGAGCTGCTGGTCATTCTACCGCTGTTCTGGCACTGCTGCGATATGTAAGGTACTCAGCACATAGACTACTTGACCAGCATGCATGGTGATCACCAATTGTGACCTGTGCATCATGAAAGTGGACTGGTCTAAAAGTGTTGCCAACTTCTGTTCAACGCATTCTCCATGCTGGGGCGAAATCGATGACAGGTTTGGAGAACGTACTGCACAGAGTTCAGTGACCGAGTGTAATGTGCATGCTTGAGCCTTGCATACACCAACCTGTCTCCAGAAATCTATACTATAGTCCATTCATAAAAAAAGATGACATTCTTGCTTTTTGCCATAAATGGATCCATCTTTGAGAGAAGAATTTTTGCAACCCCCTGTGGGATGCTCTTCCGATTATGTTTCTGAAGTCTCAGTGATTTCTCCATCGGAAAGCAAGCCATATCAAGAATAGAACTACGGCCAGATTTGGTCCCCAAAGCACTGAACTGGGAAAAAACATGTAAAATCTAGGCCCTTTGACTCAACTTGCAACATTTTGCGCCGGGTTCGGACCCCAGTTCAGGTACCATTTTTGGCTCTTTTTCAAAATTCTTATTTATGCGGCACTGCACCATGTACGAATAAAACCACCAACATCACCAAATACGGGACAGGGCGGATCCAGGGGGGGGGGGGGGGGGGGGGGGGGGGTTCGAACGAACCCCCCTGATTTTTTCCCACCATAGTTCGGGTGTGATCACTAACCCATGCTCGTGCATGCGACGTGCGCGCCCCATGCTATGGCCTAGTCGGCCCAGGCCAGAGCGGTCCGCTAGCTATGCACCTAAGCCCTTGGTAGATCTACAATGACGTTGTACATTGTTGTCTTGAACATAGCCAGCAATCGCATGTCATCACGTACATTCAAAATCAACATAATTTTGCGAATCGACCTTTTTTTCAGGATCACTTTTCAACGAAGACGAAGCAAAGTCGGCCGAACGAAGCCTAGAGGAAGAAAATCATCCTCTCCACTTCACCATCACGATACTGACATAGATACGAGATGAAACAACTAAAAAATCCACAAGAAAACTGTACGGCCATCATCGCGCTGACTTTGGTCTGACTTTGGTCTGAGAATTTCTATCACGATCAAAAATGTACGAGGAGCACTCAAAAATAAGCCACAGACGTACCTTTATCGCTCTCTACTCCTCAAGTTTTCAAGGCACAAAAGTCGACTCTCCACTTTCAAACCAGGAACTAGACATACCAGTGGTCCTTTTCAGCTGCTCCACGAGCGCAGGAAATGTTCACCAAGGGGCGCAGAGCAGCATCCATTCCAGAAAAAGAGCTAAAATACGAGTGAGACTGCATACCTGAGTACATGAGTACATGTATGAGTACATGCAGAAAATAGTCAATTTCAGCGTTTCTGCTCCAAACAGCAACTAGCTGCGACTAGAAACAAAGATTACACCAAAGGATCAAACAACAACCATTTTCTGCATTTTTTTGCAGATGGCTTCCTTGTGCTTGGCCCAGCACGCCAAAAATCACACCTCGAAGGAGTACAAAAATTACAACTCTCAGATGTCCTCGATTGCTGGCCATGATGTAGAAAAGTAAAGTAGATCTGCACAGAATGTACAGCTACGCGTTCGCTTCGGAGAAAGAGGTGCATGCATTTGTTGAGCTGCTGCGGAAACTTCGGAAGTAAGTATTAGTTTCAAATACTAGTTTCTGAATTGTGGCCGTGCAGTGCTGTATTGTCGTCGCGGCTCGTGCTTTTTGAGCTGTCTTAGAGTTCGTCGAAGCGTCTAAAAGAGGCAGGCTCAAGACCAGCTGCCATTGAATTTTGGTGACACTCCAAAGAAAAGTGTAGCCACTAGTGTCGAAGGTAAAACAAAGAGCGAAACTTTGAAAATCACCTTCAAGTTCAACGTCCCATCATCCAATAACCAAAATTTCTCCGAACTGGGGACAATTATGACTGAGACACGAAAGATGCAGGACGCCTGCCTTATGGAACCTACTGTACAATGGAGTCAACATCGGGCGGCTCGGAGTACAATACTACGGACAATTATTACAGACGAGCTGCTGGAGAAAGTACCAATCAGCTACCGTAAAAGTCTGTAAACGAGAGAGCTTGGAAGCTCAGGGCCCTACGCTATGCTTTGTTGCCTAGCTCATCGTGCATGTTGTTAGAACTGATGGAAATGCTTTTTCCTTTGATTAGCTACATCATTGTATTGCAAAAACGTTTCAATGAGATACTGAAGTACAAGTAACGTCTTTTGCATAGCTATGGGACCGGCGCTGACTTTGCCGATCACGAGCGTTCTGGAGTGGACGGGATGTCTGTCCTGACGTTTCCTGGGACCGGCGCTGACTCTGCCGATCACGGGCGTTCTTCTTCTTCTTCTTCTTCTTCTTCTTATTATTATTATACTGACGGCAACTAACATCCATTCTGATTGCATTTACTCGTCTCCCTACTTCGTTTTTTTCTTCAGAAAATCTCCCCATACAGCAGGGAGTTTACATAATATGACTCCCTGCTATAGATCTAAATGACTGTATATACGTTATAATTATGATGCTATCGGCCTACATGCGATTCCCGGGCTGGTCGACAGGCGGCCCAGCCAGCCTGCTAGTGGGATCTCGGCCTCGCACACAAACCCACAGAAAATGTTACTGCACGGAATGCATTCCCCCGATACACTTCGCATATATACTCATTCTCTTGATGGTACCGTACTCTTGATGGTACGGGACAGGTACGGGATAGCGCTAGGCATATCGATGGCACAAACAAACAAAAATATTGTGGCCAGCTGTCTTTGCTGGTACGGTACAGTACGGGACAGATACGGGATAACGCGAGGCGTGACACAAACAAACAAACAAACAAATAAACAAACAAACAAACAAACAAACAAACAAACACCAAATTAAAACTGTGTGGACCCTGGCTAGCGCCAGACGTTACTGAAGTAACGTCTTCTGCATAGCTACGGGAATAAGTACGTATTTACTTTCGAATTTATAAAAGTCCGTAAATAAGTACGTATTTACTTTCGAATTTAGTGACCACACCCGTACTAACTTTCGGGCACGAACAACTTTCGGACCTGACTTGTGTGTAGTGGAGAAGTCATTTTCATGTCGATGTACATGCTACGTGCTGCATGTGCGCACCGTGCCGGTACTTATTTCGGGCAGTATGTTTATCGGGCTTGACTTGACTTCAGCAGACAGAGCCAAAAGAATGAAGGGGGTATTTCTTTCGGGCAGGTACTTATTTGCGGACTTTTACGGTTTTCTGCGGCAAAGAAATTGAAATTTTCTTCCTTGTGCTGCGTGTCTTCAATAATGTTTAAGCCGCAGAATGTTGAAAATAGGGGTTCAGTCGTCCCTCTCTAATCCGGCACTTGTTTATCCAGCACCCTTGCAAACCAGCACACTTTCTGGCAAAACGGATTTTTTCAGTTCATTTTCTACGCTTTAATCTGGCACTTGAATTCCGCCTCCAGCAGCGATTTTCTGCAACAAATCACTCAAACTGTGCATAATTCGATTTTCTAATCCGGCAGTTGTACATCACATACTGTCAAGGAGCATTGTAACATACACAACACATGTCAAGGGCGTCGGAACCGCACCGGCCGGGGCGGCTATGCCGCCCCACTTTTTCGGCGTTTTATTTTATTTTTATTTTTTTAAGCACACTGCAACAAAGCGCGATGATCTCAGCGCAAACGTGGCAAATCCTTGTCCCCGATCGTGGTTTGTTGCAGAATCAAAAGTCCATGTACACTGAAATGGCACCAAATGCCTGGGAATGCTTGCAATTGGCTTCAATTTTTGAATTTTTTTCCCGGGGAGGGTAATGTTTGTCCCCAATCGTAGCATCTTCTTGGTTTTTTGCAGAATCAAAAAGTCTTTCATTGTAGTTACCGTACACTGAAATGGCACCAAATGCCCGGAAATGCTTGCAATTGGCTTTAATTTTTGAAATTTTTTCCCGCGGGAGGACCCCCCGGACCCCCCTTCCACGGCCGCCCCACTTCAAAAGTCGTTCCGACGCGCCTGCATGTAACATACACTTGGGAATATCCTATGCTAGTGCATAGGATATTCCCAAGTGTATGTTATAGACATGCATTCCACAAAGTACTTGGATTGACACAGAAAATTGGTACGTTTTGACGTACGACACAAACATGTATGTTTTAATAGGTGGGCCGGGTTGGAGGGCAGGATTTGATAATCCAGCACCCTTGTTTATCCAGCAGAAAATTCCGTTGCAAAAGGTGACGGATTAGAGAGGGACGACTGTACTGAAGTTACATTTTTAATTAGTGCTGTACCGATAACGCGAACGCGTGAACTTGTTAAACATTGTGTATGTCATCATTTCGTCATTGTGAGTAGGGTGGGAAAAAATTGAACCCCCCTTGGACAAATCCTGGATCCGCCCCTGCGGGAGCCTAGCAGAGCCAGAGCTAGCCTTTTCATGAATGTACGTACTGTATATAGAAGTATTACATTAATTAAGCAGTCCACAACTCCACATGAATGAAATAGTGACCTCATCATATTACTCTATAGTTTAAAACTTGAAGTCATCGGGATACGAATGTGGTTACTCCAAATATGGGAACAGTGTGATAGAAATTGGTCCCCTGATATTAGGAACCGTGAAAAGAAAGCACAGGAATATTTTAGAAATACTATCTGCAACATCCATGGACCTGCGTCCCCGTCGACTTCTCTTCTCACCGCATTCATCAGGGCTCCTCCGGCTCCTATGGCTCTTCAGGCTCCTCTTCCTCCTCCTCCTCCTCCTCCTCCGGCTCCTCAGGCTCTTCCCACTCTTCGGGCCCCTCCCATTCACCCTCCGTCACCTGCGGCCAGGTCCCCTTTGTCGGGATTTGCTGTGGAAACAGTCCACCTCCTCCTCCGACTTCCGGTTCCTCGGTTTCTTCCGGTTCCTCGGTTTCGGCGGGCTCGGTTGGTTCTGGCGCCTCCGTCTCCTCCACTTCGACGGGCTCCGTTGGCTCAACAAGGTTAATGCGTTCGACTGGCTGGGCAGCCTGTGGTCCCAGACCAGTTGACTGAGCCGTATCAGCAGCACGGCACTGTGACACACTTCTGAGCACGCGTCCGAGCATGTTGACTAGTCCAAAGCCGCAGCGACACCGTCTCCCCCACTTTCCAGCAGCGCTCCTCCTGCACGCACAGCACAGCAGTACAGCAAACAGAATGTTGTGTTTGGTTGTACCAGTCTCTGTGGTGCCAGTCTGCAGTGCTGTTAAGCATACTGCCTTTTAAATAGCATTCACACATATCATAATGGATCATTAAGGATTATCCACGGCCAATCTGAACACATTCTACACGGCGGTACATATGTTGACTCTATGACTTAACCCCCTGCCCGAAATCCATACAATGACTTCAAAACTGACAGAATGCACATGCCACGCGACGCATGTGTACACGTAAACACACAACCACTTTGCCAGGTACACATACACACACGCACACGCGCGCCCATGTCATCTTACACATTCTGGCATCTGCAGTTGCTGTTAGACTGCTCGGATGTCGATGTGGGTGTGCGGCAGCTGAAGTAGTATGCCAACCTCTTGTTCTCAGTGCATTCCGAATCTTGTTCTGCCGGACAGCAGAAATGGCCGAGGCGATTGGCCATGCAGACTTCGTCTTCAAGACACGTGAATTGGGTACCACATTCTCCTGCAGTGTCGCGGAGATGAGGAAAGGAAAAAACAGGGGGCGTTCAAAATCGAATTTATCGTGTGGTTGCCATGAAGTTACTGAAAATGTCTTCCGCTTCCCAAAGCACTTACCCAAGCTCAACGCCACTTGTGTCACAGTGTGTGTGTGTGTGTGTGCGTGCATGCGTGCGTGCACGCGTGTGTGTGTGTGTGTGTATGCGTGTTTGTGTGTGCGTGTGTGTTAACACATTCAACAGACAGGGAGAGAGAGATAGAGCACACATTCTTCTTCTTTCACAGTTGTTTTTCAATCGCCCTTCTCACAAAAGCTACTGTACTCAGCATGCAGGCCGCGTCAGCCTTTCAAATTCACACCATATCTGCTCATCGTCGACAGGTGTGTGAAGTCCAAGTACATCAAAGTTGATACACCGTATTGTTACCAGTCGGTTATAAAATATAATACTTCAAGTAATTATATTCTGGCCGAGAGGGAAGCTGCGATCCACTAACTCCGAGGCCAGTCACTGCTCATCTTTGTCACCCTGAACGATGTGGGTGGCACTCATGGAAAGTTCCCACTACAGTCTGTATCGGCTATAGCGTACCCTTTTGATTTCCGTGATTTTATCACTATAACCGATGCATCACTATATGCGATACGATCGATTTTTTCGATCGACACATGAAAGGCAAGGAAATACTTCCAGCATGGCGTTTTGACAAATGAGCATGCTGCATAGTTAACAGTGCCCGCATTTCCATAAAAAAATTCTGTTATGTACTTGTACATGTATCACTATCAAAATAAGCAACGTGAAGAAAGTAACAAAATAGGGCCTTTGATATTATTGCAACATGTATTTTAAAGTTATCACTATAGCCGATAATAATGCAGTGTGTTGTGCATGTTTTGATTCTTTATTGCCATCATAATATCCGATATATCATTACATCCGATAATATTGGTTATAGTGATATTTGTACTGGATAAAATACGTTTTGCTTTTGATATTTCGTACCAATATCACTGTAGCCGATATATTCTTATATCCGGTCACTCTATAGCCGATACAGACTGTACTTGTACATAGAAAGAAAAGAAAAAATCGCGGTTCGCGCGAGACTCGGCTGGAGACCGAATTTCCCGCACCCACTGGGACGCCACCACCCTCTTGGATCAAGGCGCAGGTTCAGCTCCTTAGCGATGGGAGGTGAGGAGATCGGACCCACCACCAAAGTGGTCAAAGACCGAAAATACCATTCAATGCATCCATACGTAGCACACTGTGAAATAGAGGTACTGCAGTGCATCCATGCTTGCGGAGGCTTTCACCACCAGAAGCAATATACTCCGACTGGGATAGCAGGCTATTTCTAATTCTCTTGAAGTGAAGTCCTCGATATCTCCGCGAAGCTAAAGAGCCTTTTCCCGGTGGTTTTTGTGTGACAATGCCAAGAGTTGTCAGGTGTACATTGTACAGGCATATTGTCGAGATATCACCACTGCAGGTCTACAGGTCTACAGGTCTACAGGCGCCTGTTAGTAGACAAACCCGTGGGTTTCAACATTTTGTCTTACAAAAATGAGTTCAATATCTACAGTAAAACCTGGTTTAAGCGACCACCCCACGGTGCAAGCAAAAGCGGTCGTTAAAGCCAGGTGGTCTTTCGAACCAGGTCCCGCAGTGCGTGTGTAGAACTGCCGGTGCATGGAAAAACGGTCGTTAAGAGCAGGTGGTCGCTAAACCCAGAGGTCGCTTACACCAGCTAGGTTTTACTGTACTTTTAAATTAAAAAAGAGGTTTACATAAGTTTACTTTTTAAGTACAAGTTACTAGTATCCGTTTTGTGCAACACTAACGGTTATAAGCAGAGTACTGGTGAGTCAAAATGTGCAACAACTCTACTTTTTGAAACTCGGGTATTGAGCCAATAATAAATGTAGGAAAGAGAAAGGACATTATGGAAACTCTGTCAGTTTTGTGCCTAGTTGTTGCACTTTCTGACTGTATAATTATAGTATCTAGTTACAGTGGTGGAGAGTTACTCTAAACTCGTTTCCATATGTCCTTTTTCTTTTCTACAACTCTACTTTTATCTAGGTTTATGTACTGTCCAGACTAGCACATTTTCTGTTGTTTTACATTATTCATATTGTATCCGCTTCAGAAATGATGTTTCCTCATTATAAGACAATCTGTTTCCTGGACCCCTGTACAAGAAAACCCGTTATTAGACAATTTGTCCATTGGACCCCGATACAAGACCAAGTGAAACATCGATCTAGCTATCCATGGCCATTTGCTTTGCCTTGTAATACAGGAATCAAACCTATGGGACTGCCGAAGGTGACATTATAACAAATTTTGTCTACAAACAAACTTTCTCTAATCCGGACCTGCATGTACGACTGCTAAATGCATTTCTTCGGGGGATTTTGGATTGCTGTCTACTAATATTGTTTGTCTTGTTGAATTATTTAGTCTTGTAACCAATGTTGTGCTAAGGAGGGTAGTAGACAGGCGCGTGCTCGGCAATAGGCAAGGGGGGCACGTGCACCCCCCCCCCAAAATTTTCAATCTGGGTAATTGCAATTGTAATGTATGCAAATATGCTCTAAAATTCAAGAAAGGTTGCAAACAAATTGCAGAAAATTGCCGGGGGGGGGGCTCCCCTCGGCTCCCGTGTAGTTGGGGGCCGAGCACGCCCCTGGTAGACCTGTACCACGGTTTGCAAGTGCCTCAGTACCTCGATTGACACCAGCACGCTCCGGGCACTCTGGCTCTTCGATTTGACGCCGACCACGCACCATAAACCTTCTGCAGCAGACTGCCATTCCGTTCTGCTCCGTGCAAACCTCTTCTGGACCGCATCTCACCGTGTCGCAGACATCTGAAGAGCACATAAACGCGTGCCCATGCACACACACAAACACACACACACACACACACACACACACACACACACATACACACATCCATATGTCCTGTCTGTGTCGACCCGCTGTGTTCTGTAAAGATGTTGTGGTCCCAGTGGTGCCACTACAACAACCAACAACAGCAAACGCGACTCTAGAAAATTTTAGCAGAACCGTAAATACGACGGGGCAGCAGAGCTGTCACATTCAGAAGAAAGCCTGCGGATGGAACAGCAAGCTTGAATTAGTTCACCCAAACACAAACTTAACGCCAGCAAGTATGGTATATAGAAAACCATGAACAGTAGTAAATTGTACCGGTATTGTACATACCAGATATCATGGGACAGACGGGGCAAGTGCGACACCTGCCTGAAACAAATACGGCTGGTCTGGAACAGGACTGGATGACTGTCGGGCCACACTCCAGGGTAGGGCATGCTGTGGGAAACAACCGTGTTAGAACATAAACACACACACATACGCGCACACACACACATACACACACAGATACCGACGTATTCATGTACACGCCATACACCTTGACCTTTGACGCCCATCGCCGGAGGCGATGATAGCAATGCTACGGCAGAAGCCATAGCAACTTGTGCTGGGATTGCACCATTCAACAGCTTGCAAGGCTGAAGAATTGACCGTCACTATTCAGCCTGGTCTACACCATACAGCTATTTTGAAGTGACTTTCTCTGGCCAGTGAATCCCTATTTTTGGTCTTTTCAATTTTTTTCCCGCACACACATCACACCACATACTCCGGCATGCACTGGCTGTTGGTAACCACCCAGGAGAATGAAAGGAAAGTCAGGAAGAGTCTGAGAAGAGAAGAAAGACGTGTGTGACCATAATCGTCGGGAATCGAACCCGCAATCTATCGATTGGAAATCGCTGCACATACCACTGCACCATATGTGTGACCATAATCGTCGGGAATCGAACCCGCAATCTATCGATTGGAAATCGCTGCACATACCACTGCACCATATGGGACACACACACGCACACACACATGCAGGCACAGATATACTGACGCATTCATGTATATTCCATGCACACCCGTACACACACACACACACACACACACACACACACACACACACACACACACACACACACACACATGCACACGCATATGCATATGCACACAGCCATGCACGTACACACGCATGACACATGCAACATGCTGTTCTGAATGTCTGTTGCCAGAGAACTAAGCATGTCCGTTTCTGTAGTGTAGTGGTTATCACGTGTGCTTCACACGCACAAGGTCCTCGGTTCGAACCCGAGCAGAAACATTTTTTTCAACTTTCAGACCTCAAACCTCAAGCATACTATACCATGCTGTATTCTTGGGAGACCCACTCCCCTTGCCCATCACTACCATGGCAAGGACTACTGTTGCAATACTAATGCCACACTCTTCGGAGAAATAATTTGTTGCATGTGTGCTCATCCGCTGGTATGCCTGTCACTCTCTGCAGGAAAAGGCCAATCCAATCCTCTATGCGCATAATGTGCGCCAGGTGTTTGCAAAGTAAGTGCATACTGCCATGGGCATACTGGTCTAGAGGTAGTGTTGTCTGCACAAGAAAAAACCTGCGTAGACCCAGGTGTCAACTAACGTTATACCCATATGCACATTGCAACAGCATGATCGAACTTCTTTGGGGTTGGAGGGCATGAGGTTAGCATTGCCATGACAATCAGTCTCTTCTCCCTTGATTTCCAAATGAATTTTTCTACGTATATAGTGGAACCAATTACCAAGGGTACGTAAACCAGAGCGGGAAACTCAGCAAGACAGCGTCAATTCGTAGTTCATATGTAGATAATGTTGGTATCAGTGTTGTAAGAACACAAGTCACAGGCCCTAGCAGCAAGTTCCTCAGCCCTAAACTTGAATGTGGCATTACACACTCCGATGCTCTTTGCTTTACCTAGCATCACTTGTCCATGTCAAGCCAACACAACATGAAACGTGCGAGTGTCATGGGATATTTTATAAAGCACTGGGTCTGCCGTGGTTGAACTGGTACTAGTGGCTCGGCGGTTGGATGTATCGTATTTCATATCCATTTGGTGTTCTGTGCCTGCGGTTGTGTCAGTGCACTGAAGGTTCCCTGCACGGAGCACTCCTGCGAGGACACACTGCTAACGGAGTATGCCACCAAGCTGGGTCTGCCCCTGTCGGCCGGCTGCATAGAATTCCGGCGTCTGAGAGAAGACTTTGGGTGAGTTGGAAAACAACAAGTGTGCACCTGGTCACGTTGGAACATGTTTCAGTGGATGCTGAACTCCTAAAACACCGTCTTGGGACAGGAGGGCAGCTGCCGGAATCCCCAAAATCCGGTAATGCCGAAGGAGTGCAGCCGTGACTATGACTTTTCATACCCTGAATCACAAGGGAAATCAAGGCTGGTTTGCCGCTGCTCTGAGTCTCATGCTTACGCAATCACCACCGGGCAACATAGGCAGGCATAACAGCATAAGCATGAAACTCGGAGTACAGCGACAAATTGGCCTTTCCCGTGTTGTTCCGTGTATTACGCTCTGCCTCCGCGGTGTTGAGCACTGTCAGCACACTGCGTCCAACCTCCGGTGACTTTTCATATCCGAATGGCATTGGGTGGCATCTGTTTTTGTTTTCTGTTTTTCAGCATGCTATCTTACAGATTAGTGAAAAGGTTGCTGAAGCACTTCTCAAAGCTGGACTCGGACAAAGATGGCTTTGTCACAGAGCGTGACATGTGCGTGGGAGTTCCCTGGCCCTTTCCGGCGGACGTCAAAAAATGGTTTGCTGATTTCGACACGGCAAGTGCTTGTTTATGGTCGGTGGTTACTTGCTAGGAAGTGAGGACAACCCAGTTTGTTGCTTGTGACACTGTGATATGTGTCTTTTTCTGCAGTGTGCAACATTATCGGTAGTACCAGGGTATTGCAAGCATTTATGGGTATGGAATGATGTGAGGACATGTGAAGCTGTGGTCTTTCCTTGCTTCAGGGGCTGTTACCACCTCAGAAGCAAAGGTTTGGGGAGGGAGTGTTTCCTGTGAGTACACATCGCACATGTACTACTTCAATGACAAATTCGGTTTGTATCGGTATTCACTGACGCTGCTCACTGATCTGTAGAGTGGACGGGGACGTGCATCTTTCCGCGAGTACGTCATTGCATATGCTGAAGTTGTCCATCACCTGGCCCTGGACACGGAACTTCTTCAGCGTGCATTCGAGGTACTTGTAGGACAAACACCTTAGTTGCATACACATGAACATTTAAGTTTTCCGAATCTAAACCATCTCGATGGGGCTAATGGAGCAGTGTTCTTATTGAGCAAAGTTGTTGTCCAACAAAGGAGGAGGTAACCATTGATAGACCTGTTCTGGTGGTAACTGTCATTCTGTTCTTCAAACCTTTCTCTTTTCATTCCCTCAAAATTTTGAATGTCCATTACGATAAAGGACAGTGATTTTGCTGGAGTCCTCACTGGAAAGCAGATTGTACTGTGATCAGTATACAAATCCGAAATCCACCTAGGCTTGCTGGTGCACCTGTAGATAGTTCTTCCGAGTATCCACTGCACTTTCTCTTCCTATGTCTTTTCTCCTCTTTTCCACGCTACCGAAAGGCCCTGAGTGAAGATCCAAGCAGGGCATTGCATCAGACTTCGCCGCGGTGCATCACACTCGTCAGCGTCAAGAGCTTCTTCAGCCGGCAGGGCGGCTACGTTCCCGGCACGCATATAGGATTCCACGGCACACTCTGCCCTGACAGGCAGCCATGCGGACTAGGTAAGTTCTGAGCGTGCGCCGATGATGGCAGCATAGTTCTAGGCAGGAGGGGCAGCGCGATACCCCTACATCACCTTTACTGCATTTTCGGCAATACTAGCCGTTTCGCTTAGTAGCTTGCGAGCGCTAATTTTTCACCCAATTTGAAAAAAAACATCCACACAAGAGCCCTGAAGTGATGTGGCGCGTATTTCACAGACAGGCATTAATAAAGGCTGGCGCTAATTTCCAAAATTCGCCGTGTTACTGAGGAGTACTATTCACGTAAATCTGACAAGCAGATGGAGCCCCGTGCCCGTTCGTAACTTAGTGTCCTCAAACCTGCAACTCAACAACTCTGAACCCTGAGTTTAAAGACTGGACACTACAGTGTTGTTTGCTAGCCTGTACCGGGATGAAGGCAACATTACCGTCCACCCTGCTCTGTGGTGTGCGCAGAGACGTTCTGCAACCGACTGTCCAGATGTCCAGATCTGTACGTGATGCTGGACACACTGATGCACCGTGCTACTGCCGGTGATCTCAACACAGTGCAGTGATGGAAACAGTGCAACTTGAGTCGTCCATCACTAGCGTACTCTTGTCAGTGCTGTCCCCGTTGACCAGAACTGCTAATCAAGAGCTGGACATTGCAGCACGTTGGCACATAGGAACAGAAGCCACCTGGCCTCGGCAGCAAACTTCTATTAGTATCTGGCTGCCATGCTAGATACCTGTGTAATGTGTGAGAGTAGTCATGTGGTTTGCGTGTGTGACTGCTGTGAGTATACATGTAGCTTGCGTGTGTGACTTCTGTGCCATGTTAGTGGATTTATAGAGCCACTGCACCTCTCCTGCATCCCAGCAGCTTATACTTGTAGCATGTTCTGAGACTGATAACTTTACCTAGACGATTATCGTGCACTTTTGTTGTTTGTTGAATTCTCCCTCCGTGATCGAACACTTGAAAAGTACAATTTTGAGTTTATTATTCCAGATATTGTGAATAACGTTAGATGAACAGACCTTTAGGACCACTAGTTTGAAGGCGTTTAGCCGCAAGAACGCATATTCAGCACCGTCATACTGGATCAGACTTCACGAAGGAAAGTGTATTGTACGCATAATAGGGCCACGGTCTTGTGGTATTCGTGTCTTCAACTTTTTTGGTGACTCAGCAGCGTGACCGGTGTTTGTGCTTTGCCTAATTGAACTATAAAAACGGAGAACCCGTTTAAATGTGACGGCCGTGAGAGTGTGCTGCACAGTAGTGTAGGAGGTGGCGAGTGGGAGACGTCCAGACACAGTTGTGATCTACAGCCGCGATGATGACGTCCGGCATTTACTATGAAGATGCATGTAGGATGGCCTTGTGAAGGCCAGTTATTCCAATCAGGCAGGTAGGAGATAGTTTCTCATGTAGGATGATGGAGTGGTATGAACAGCCTCAGCCAGCATGCTGCATTTGCTTCCAAAGCACTAGACATACCACTCCACCCCCAAACCCTACAGCTGCAATGTTTTTGATATCAGATTGATATCAGAGTAATCAGACTGATATCAAGAAAACTACATGACTGTAGTACATACTCTAGTACATCTGAAGGGTTAATGGTAGAATTATTCTATCATTGTTTACAGTTGGCAAATCTCAGATCTCTGTCAGTCAAAGTATGGATTACCCCAGGCCATGTACCTTACTACTGCCTGTTCAAAAAGAGATGGATATTGGAGATTTGAAAACCAGGTTTGGGCTGAATTAGACCTGAAAAGCAGTGAAAACCACAGGTTTCGAATTCAGATGCGGGTTTGGGATATGGCAGACTGTGCATTGGGATTTGTAGCCCCCACGGAGACTACGTGTATGTAAATCTGGCTGGAAAGGTAGCTCCCTTATGGTTGATTTTTGTGACCTCGACTTGAACCAGAAGAGCAACAGGGTCATTCTGAATAATAGCATTGAAAATCCCATACATATTTACTGTGGTTATCACTAGCCGCTGTGGTCTGTGGAAGCAGCATGCTGCTGCTACACTTCAATGCGGGAATGCTCATACTTCAGTAATATGGTAAAAAAGGAGAAGGACAACATGTTACGAGTTATGACTACCTACGTACCTGGCCACCAACGTAACCAGATCTTATTAATTTTTTTGTTGTTCTCCAGGCTTTTTACCATAATTAAATTGGTCCACCATCCGACTTCAACTTCAGCAATATAATAAAAATATTAATACCAGTAATAGCTAGCCGCTTATCTATCTTACCAAGTTGTGCCGGCGGTTTGGTTGGTGCCGGCGGACGTGTCCCGGGAGGTCGGGGTGGCAGGCCCGGTGGCGGTGGCTGGCCAAGCACACCTGCTACAGCTAGAGAGGCCAGAAGGGTTATCACAAAACCCCACTTCATGGTCGCTTATTATAGCTCCGGTTGGCGTTGGTGGATGATCACTGTCGATTCACTGGTAGAGAGATGAAACGACTAACCGTCAGGGAAGCCCACGAGAGTTGCTCTGCGGATGGAGACGGTGTGTTGTTGCTTTTGTCTGTAACAACCCGTAGCCTAGGCATGTTGCTTTCTCCATCGTGATAATAATAAAATTACGAGGCTCCAAGGGGGAATTCCGTGCAACGTGATCCGACATGCGCAAGACCTGTCCATGACGAGGTCGACAGTCATGAAGGCAGGGACATCTTACCCTCAGGGCAGATCTAGAACAGACTGATGGGTTCATAGATGTCGTGAGGTAACGAGTGTTCGAGCCGACACCACGCTCCGCAGCATGCACGGACCAATAAAACATTCGCTGATAGCATGTAACGTTACGCTGTGTCGCTCCGGTGGCCGAAAATGGAGTTGCATCAGCCGATTCTCCGTCCGAGCTAGCTCCGATCCGAGCACCTGTCTGTACTACCAAGAGATGCTATTGAGTCCAAACTGATGACAGTTAGCGGTTAGGGTCTAGAGGACAGAGTTTGTCAGAGTCGTGCTGACAACAATAGGGGACCGCCAGAAAACAATAATATAAACGACACGTGAAATGACATTGTCCACCGTGCGGCACCATGCACGGAGCACATCATTGCGAAAAGGCGCTGACCAATTGCTGGTTTTGAGAGACCGTACTGTGACAACTAGCCATAGGAAATAGCCATTCATCTCGACTGTCAGCAATTAATTTGCTGCTCATCTTTCTGCACGGAATACGAAAGGGGAATTTCCGAAACATTGAACGCAACTTTGCAGTAAGCATGCACCTACTACTAGTACTTCTTTAGTAGGTAGATCTATCTGCAAGCTTAGTACGCGTGGTAGATGTAGCTAGGCTGGAGTATCAGAGTTGATGTCAATGATGATGAAATAAAGCAACTGATTACCAATGGCTGTGGGATTGTGCATGGGGCTTGCAGTGTAGTGGCTCCGGACGAATAGGTAAGGGTTGTACTAAAAGAAGTAAGGTTCGCACGTCCGCGTTACCACCGGCTATGCAATTGCGTTTTAAAGAAACACAACCAGCGTAGAAAGTTTCGCTCATGCCAGGCCACCGCTCTGTCTGTAATACCAGGTGGCAGTTGTACTACTGCCCATGATAAACTCAAACTAGGTTTGTTGAATGTTATCAACGCCGGGCTCCAGATCAGTCTACAGAGGGAGTACATAATCTTATTCCTATAAGTTCTATTTCAAGTGAAGTCTCGCACAATAGCGGCACATGCATGACCCTCCAAAGCCAGTTAGATGGGCGGCTGATTGATTCAGACTGCATACAGCAACCACCACTTAAATTAGCCATTACCGTGGGTTGTTTTGCAAGGTGGCTTGTTCAAGCTGGTGACAAACGTATGCATGAGCACCTACACTACAGAGTTGGTGTTGGCACATTAGAGCATGAATGCAAGGCCAAGCTGAAGGTTAGTTACGGTATCATTGTTATCAGCGATTGTATCAATACCTGCCTCTGATCTGCCCAGTGCTCCGAGGGAGGAGTAAACGCACAATACCAAGTACATAAGCTTTTTACTCTTGATGATACATGACACAAGTAGCAGTAGATCCGAAGATGCACCGTCCCGTGGGGGAAAAGGAACGTGTGCTTAGTGTCCTAGGTATACATGTATGTACATGTACACAATAGCGAGAGTTCCCAGATTGCCTAGAGTGCTCAACACCACAAGGATGGAGCATTACCACAAAGGCAGAAGAGAACAGAGACAGCCGGCTAGTTCATTGTTGTAACGCTGCGTTTCATGCACATAGCAAAGCTAAGGCAATCCTCAGACAACCAGTGACTCGGTTTATGTACATGTACATGTATGTTTGAAAGTTCTCACCCAAACCTATTACATGTATGTACAGTGAAACCTCGTTAGGAAGAACACTGATAAGACAAATGTTTGCCTAAGAAGAACTATTATTCGTAACTGTATTGGATAAAACCCTGTGTATTCACTGGGTTAAACATATGGATAAGAAGAACTCCCGTTATTGCGAACAAATATCATCGGTCCCTTGATGTTCGTCCTAAAGAGGTTTGACTGTACTTCATTATTGGGCAATACGAGCACCCGTTCCCCGGACAATGTCCATGCTAGGAAATGTTTGTCCGAGTACGTAATTCATTCATCTTGGGCACCCTGTAAGAAGACCTTAGGGTCTGTTGGGAATGCCCACGTAAAAATAATAAAATACAATACAAATACAGTACGTGCTATGTGAGTTGTACTGTAGTGGTGGTATTACCAGACCTATCCACCCAGTCCCCTTGCGAGTTGGGTAGGCTAGAGTCGATCACAATAGTATTACGTGTACCAAGCCACGCAAGACCTTGGCTTACATTACATGAAGGTTTCATGCAGCCACGGGCCTCGCTACCTTTAACAGCTGGATGCCTTGGAGGTTTGTCAAGATGACAGGATCTGGATCTTCACACCTGCCTGGTGTGCTGATAGGGATCGTGCACACGTGCACTCCGTTGACATTGACATTGATCTATTGTCGTATTGACTACCTTGTGACAGCTGCTACATAATAACTCCAATACACAGCAGTCAGCATAAACATAGCAGACGATTAGCGTGATTGTCCTTTGCTAATTAGCACAACAACAACAGCGGTATCATAGCATAGCAGTCATTGAAGAAAAATCAGAAAAGTTCCCAATGCAAAATGCACTGAATCATATTATTATTATTATTATTTATTCATATTTTACTAGGGCAGTCCCCACAGACCTATGGTCTTCTTACAGGGTGCCCTAGCCACGTGAAGATAGCGGAGCGAAATGCAGCAGGTAGGGATATGGTGCGAATCGCGGCAGGGAGGGCGTTCCATCGGTCAGCTCCAAGATAAGATACAGAGTGATAGCCAAAATACAATCTGGCATGGGGCAGTACCAGGCCGAGCAATTCCTGAGAACGGGTAATTCTAGCAGTGCGGGATAATGAGACAGCACGAGGAGTGAAAAGTCGGCAAAGTAGGGGACTAGCACGAGCATTTATGCATCTATGTAGAAACACATAGAGGTTGGCAGCATAGCGAATATTTAACGGTGTTAGGTGCTGTCTAGCTAAGATGGGTTGGATGGAGGCAGAGGGAGGGAAGCCAAAGACAGTGCGGATCGCCCGATTCGCGATGCTAATAAGAGCGTTATAGGTGGTCTGTCGCAGGCAGTGCACGTACGCATTGCTCGCGTACTCCAGGGTAGATTGGACAAATGCAAGATAGAAAGTTCGCTTGGCTCTAGCACTGAGAAGGTGGCGACAACGGCGAAATGCATTGACCTTGGCATTAACTTTACTTCTAATGTGACTTACTTGCTGTTGAAACGACAGATGCTCATCTATGATGATGCCCAGGTACTTGGCTTGCTGCGATTGCTGTATACGGCTGTTGCAAAACTGTAGGGCACAGTCTGCATGTACATTGGGTTTCCGTAGCAGCAGGAATTGCGTCTTGGATGGGTTCAGCTGTAGTCCATGGGCCTCCAGAAAGCTGCTCACACGGGTCAGATCATGTTCCAAGGTCTGTGTGGCAGTGGAAGGGGACGGGTCGGCAGCGTAGATGTTGGTGTCATCTGCATACAGGAGGCAGAGGAATGACTGTAGGCAGGCTGGTAGGCGCCTGGTGTACACCGTGAACAGTGCCGGTCCCAGGACAGAGCCCTGAGGGACACCGCGATTGGCCGTGTACGGGGTTCCAGGTGGTTGACGGAGGCATTTCACTTGCTGTGGTCGGCTGGACAGATAGCTGGAGAACCATTGCAGAACAGTGCCTCCTACTCCACAGCGCTGCAGCTCCAGAAGGAGCTCGCCATGCAGGACACAGTCAAAGGCTTTGCTGAGGTCGAGGAATGCTACAGCAACCACGTTGCCAGAGTCCAGGGACCGCTGCCAACTGTCAATGCATAGCGCCAGTGCGTCACCGCATGAATGACAGGAGCGATAGGCGAACTGTTCGTCAGGTATAACATCACCTGCAGAGACCATGAACTGCCGGAACTGGTCGTAGACGATTCTTTCTAGGACTTTGGAAACGATGGGAAGAAGGGAGATTGGTCTATAGTTTGTGGGAGCGTTTTTATCACCTTTCTTGAAGACTGGACATATTTGGGCAAGCTTGTATTGTTCGGGGAATACGCCAGTGGCAAGGGAGTTGTTATAGATTTCCGCCAAGGATGCAGCTAGATACTTGGAGGACGCACGCAGAAGTGAAGCAGCAATGTCGTCAGAGCCGGTGGCTTTCCATTCGTCTAGCTTGCATAACCGTCGTTCCACGTCAGTCGGGGACACTGGCCGAAATGTAGTGAATCCAGTTGCTTTGCTGGGGCCTAGGGGTAACTGTGACCCAGTGTTCAGTGTAGGATCGCTCACTTGAGCCGCAAATACTGCACTTAGGGCCGGAACGTCTACAGGTAGAGTCGTCGGTTGTTGCTTCCGACCTAAGAGGTGGTTCAGTACCTGCCACTGAGCTCGAGGGTTGAACCGACTCAAGAAAAATCTGTTGGTGAAGTACTCAGTTTGCAGTCTGCGCTGTAGAATTTGACACTCTCGTCGGGCAGCTCGGAAACATTGGCGAGCACTGTCACTGTCGCGATCCCGGAGCCACCGTCTGTGTAAGTACGCTTTCCGCTGATATAAACTTTGGAGGCCAGGCGTGACCCAGGGTTGTGGTGGTGGATGAGATGACAAGGTGACGCTACGTCGAGGGCAGTGCTGATCCACAGTTTGTAGAACAGCATCGCTCCATACAGTGCTAAGTTGGTCTACTGACATGTCACTGCAGTCCGTGGCTCTGAGAGATTGAAGGAAGTCCGGGCCAAACTCCTCAGCAGTAAGTTGTCTGACCGGCGGCGAGCGAATCTTGCGGTGATTGAGCAAGACACGGTGCGGTTGACTGCCAGCGAGTGCAAGGATGAGCGACACCAGGAAATGATCTGAAACGCCGTCTAGTGACTGGACAGCTACTGGTTTGAGTGTTACCTCACTAGGCAGAGTTTGAGAGACAAGGATTAGGTCCAGACAAGTGTTGCTTGGGGATCTAGTGGGTTCTAGCACTACATTGTGGAGGCTGAGTGTGTCACAGAGTTCACTAAGGTGGCGGTGTTGAGGGTGCCGCTCAGGAGCCAAAATGTTTACATTAAGATCACCAAGGAGGAACAGGGTCGCGTTACTACTACTGGTGGCGTGATCAGCCGAGTCTGCTAGGTTCTGCCAGAAGGATACAGGGGCAGTAGGTGGGCGGTAGACGCAACCAATGCACAATGAAGTATCAGTGTTTCCTGCGACCGTTAAGAACAGGGCCTCGACAGTTGTGCTGGGTATGCAGGATGAGACAGGTATGGTTTCACGAACGAAGAAACAAACTCCGCCGCCTCTTGTGCCTTGCCTGTCATGACGGTACAGTATGTAGCCAGGTATATTTAACAGGGTGTCTGAAATGCTACTGTCCAGCCAAGTTTCACTAACAGCAAGAACATCAACTGTACGGACGTTGGGTGCATGGAGAATGCTAGTAACATCTGGTAGCTTGTTTCTTATACTACAGATATTGATATGAGCAATACAAAAGGGATGGGTGGTGGAGCATGGGAGATTGGTGATAAATGTTGCATCAGGTAACTCACGTGGGGTTCGTAACTTCTTGAGTGACTGTGGAGATTGTGCCCGATCCTATTGCTGCTGCTGCTGTTCACGTTCAAGCAACCTGGTGATTTCACTGTCTGCCATGGCTGTGCCCTCGGGGTCCAGGATGGTGTCATACGGTAGGGAACAGCGTACGTGGAGCGCCCGGAGTCGTTTGTACACTGGGACGACTTTGGTGCGTGCTTGCTGCTGTGAGCGGGTCAGGTCATGGCTCACATACAAATTCCTTGAGCCCACCTTCAAGTCGAGGCGCCTACCGTACACGGCGGCCTTCGTGGCTCGCGTGGCAAGCTGTACGCGAACTGGTCTTGGTTTGTCAGGCTGCGCTGTTTGGTGGGCTCGAGTATCAGGTCAGCTTTGTCCTGTGTGGGCTGTATCAGATTGCTGTTCACTTCTCTATCTGTTGGATCTTTCTGCAAGTTCCTGGTGTAGTTGAATTATTTTTGTTTCACAACTGACTTCCTCAAGTACGGTGGCCACTGCTTTGCATGGCATTATATATGAAGAATTTCCTGTTTGTGTCGTGTGCATGTGCGTGGCCACGTGTGTGTGCCGTGTGCATACGCATGTTTGTGTATCTGTGTGCGGGGTAACGAGGCGGGGAGGGCTGGTATGTATCAGTGTGTTATTGCAGTATCATGGCTACATACAGTACATCGCCCGTGTGGTCATCATGTTTACCTTCGGGGTTGGGGTGGGGAGGGAACGGAAAAAGAACTGAAATTATCCATATAAAAACCGCTCTGTGAGCGGTTCTGAAAAACCTTCACTGGTACTGCCCCGTCGTAAAAGTAAGAAATTAGAACTGGCCCATTGTCCCCCCAAATGCGAACTGATCCACCTAAATCGCGAATGACCGGACCCGAACGCACCAGTAGCACGAGGTTCCTACCTGTGGATGCAGATGGGGACGTTGGTCCGGACTATAGGCCATGTACTGTACTAGCGTTAGGTGGTGTTACCATTTGATAATTGCTGTCCTGTGCCCTCCCGACCCGGCTCGTGCTACTGGTGCGTTCGGGTCCCGTCATTCGCGATTTAGGTGGATCAGTTCGCATTTGGGGGGACAATGGGCCAGTTCTAATTTCTTACTTTTACGACGGGGCAGTACCAGTGAAGGTTTTTCAGAACCGCTCACAGAGCGGTTTTTATATGGATAATTATTGTGTGGCCAAAAAAATTTCAAAATAAATTCTACTGTTTTCAAGTGTTTCGAGTCTGACTTCAATTTTGCCCAGATTTAACTGCTGGGATCGAAATTTCACCTTGTATTTACTTCAAGTGCCACCGATTACTACAATATACTGGGTGGAGCAACACTTACATTTCGCATGCTGCTACAGTTTCCGATCATCTCTGTACGGTAATAACAGTGGGCGCTATGACTTTATGATGCACACTCACTCACACGAGCACACACACGTCCACACACACACACACTCGCGCACACACACATGCACACACACACACACACACACCTTGAACCTTGAACCTTGAACGCCCATTGCCGTAGCAATGATAGCGATGGCTTCCTCACGCTGAGGCTCTTAACTCGAAATCTGCAGTATTGCGCATGCCGCTTGAGGTCACCAGGACGACGGAACACTCTGTCACAGCGGTAGTTGGGGCATGGGATGTCTGGGGCTTCCTTCTCGACCCTCTGTCGACAACACTGAAACCAGCTGGATCTCTCCTGCGCTGTGTCATACCAGTCCGCTTCAGGCAAACCGATGACAGCAAAGTCCGAGGACACAACATCCCGCCAGCGCTTCTTGGGACCATGTCGCGGGCGTCTGCAGGGCAGTTTGCCGAACAGCATCTGCTTGGGCAGCCGGGCCTCCTTCATCCGTGCAACATGACCAAGCCACCGCAAGTGGTGCTTCCTGATCACATCGGCGATTTCTAATTTAAAATTTCCCGGCATTTTCAGGTCACTATGGATACATTGACGCGTGCAACGTTTTCCCAGCACATTGTGAACTGGATCACGGTTTGCAAGTGATATCTTGGTCACACGCGTGCAAGTGTTTGCACATCATGCGAATAGCCTATACATCAGTAATAATAGAATGCTTTGCCTTACCGTGGACTTTTTCTGTGGGGTGATAGGCAATCTTTGTTCGCCAGTGTCGGAATCCATCAGTGTCCAACCAGGACACCGAGCAGGTGACGTTACGCGAGAGCGCCAGGAGCACGTTGAGCTGTGTGGTGGACATGAACAGCGTGCTGGACCAGCGCAGGCCTGCACTCACCACCTCACTGGCCGTGCTCCTCCAGCGCCACTGCACGTCACCGCTGTCTGCTGCGGGTAGTCGTGCATCCAAGTAGCACTGCATGACGAGACCATCGTCAGTGTGGTTCAGCCGCACGCCTAGAGTGATGTTTGGATCCGACGAAGGCTCTGCAGGAATGTGCGTAACACCAGCAAGGCACAGTCACTCAGCTACTGTGAGAGAGCGTCAGGGGATTACTGTATTGCCCCGATTGTAAGTCGCACCCCCATTATTGTTTTGATACATTCACTTCAGTAGTGATCATGCTCGATTGTAAGTCACACCCCCTTTGTTGGCCCTGAAGATAAGGGTAAAACGGTGTACTCACCCTCCTCTGAAGGTACAAAAGCCACGGCCTCAGCGTCTCTCATTCTGCCATTCCAGTCTCTCCACTGAGATCGGCACAGCACGCTGCCCTGGGCCTCGCGAAGGTCGTGTACTTGTTTGTGCGAGAGCTGGAGCAGTGACGACAACCCGTGGCTGGTCAGGAGGGGTTGCTCGCTAGCCGGTTCTTCAAGTGCACTGCTTCCATTCGTGAACCATTTCCAAGTGACTGGCCAGTAGACTTCATGACTCAACTCACATCGAATCGCTCTGCTCGATAGCCGCTCAACATCAATCGAAACGTTCTCGTGAACTATGAAGGTTTCTGCACAGCAAAAAACAAACAAACAAACAAACAGAGAGGTTGAACACAGCTGCTAATATGCCGGAGAAGCACCAATCGACTTGGATCATTTTCCAAACAATTTCAAGAATTCATTTTCCCAACTCGACCGTATTGTATATATGTCAACAACTAACAAGTAACAACTAACTTACTTTCATGAATGCAATATCAACTGTGTCGGTGTAGAGTGTAAGGGGAGGGGTTGAAAGTGTTGTTGTTGATTTTTAATTTTTGATTTTACTTCGCAAGGCCACACGGGCAATGGTGCTCAATTCTATTGAAGCGAATTCCAAACTGCGGCGATAGAGAGCGAGCGAGGGATAGAGAAAGAAAGAGAGAGAGAGAGAGAGAGAGAGAGAGAGAGAGAGAGAGAGAGAGAGAGAGACCGTGGACAGTGATTGCAGCAGCAGAGACACCGCTTACTTTCAATCAAATTGAAACACGTTATGACAAAACGAGAGAGAGCGAGCGAGGGATAGAGAGAGAGAGAGGGGGGGGGGGGTGATGACGTAGCAGTCCACAACAGTAACAATTTCTGGGTAAAATTGGATCTAAGTATAATGTAATGTGACCATGACGAAGTAGAGCACTTGGTGCCGTGGGTAGGCTCCTCCTGTCGATTGCAGGTGTGATCTGTTTATTTCTGTACCAGGAGTTGGTCGTTGATGACCTGGAGGACCCAGTCCAGTCACTATACCCGCGGATGTGCCACCTACTGTGAACGAAAACCACCCAATTAAACAACTGCTGCATGTATTATCAAGAGCACATGCGCTCCCAGGAGCTTATTTACTCTTAATAATATGTGTTTATTCCTCCCTCGTAGCACTGGACAGTGGCAGGTGTTGATACAATCGCTGATAACCATTATAACTAGCCATGGAGATGCCACAGTACCTTTCATTTGCCGCGTATCGCTTGGCTTAGTGACGACAGCGTAGTATGGTGATTGGTTTAGTTGAGCTTGGTCTTGTTCTTCATTATTATCAATTCGTTCCCTCAAAAGTACAAAGCACAGCATTTGTGCTTTGTACTTTTGAGGGTAACATCAAGAGGCGCGAGCGAGAAGAGAAAATAGAACAGATCGGCGGAAAGGAAATACTGTGCTCGAGCGAATAGAGCCCTTTTTTGAATACCGTATTTTTCGGAGTATAGTGCGCACCTTTGTATAACGCGCACCCCCAATCTTCATTGGGGGTGCGCACTTCAATCTTCATTGAAGTACATGCATTTCATATTCGGAGCATAGTGCGCACCTGCGATTTAGGGCCTAAAATGATCTAAGGTGTATATACGACTCCCTGCTACGGACAAGTCTGCCCGAGGTTACCACGTACATGTCACTGAGTGGAGTGTTGTACACAAATACTGGTTCGGAGACGGCAAACTGTTCTTTCGTTCAGGTACATGTAACTTCAAGTAAATTGGTTTCACACGCTGTATGGGCGATCATGATCATCAGACAGTCTGATGTCTGCCTGATGATCGCCCAGTCGGTGTGTGGAGCTTTTGTGTGCAGTAAGTAGAGCGGTGTGCTTCATGTAGCAAGAGTACATTATGTATCCAGGCCATGAGGTTAAAAATAGTTGCATGTTGCAGGAAGAAGAAGAGGTCAATTGTAGCGACTTCGGCGATACTTCAGCCTCAGTTCAGGAATTATGTGCTGCTCCCTACGTGGGAGCTGGCGCTTTTCCTGCCGACTGAATCTCACTTGACTGACTCACGACTGCCATCCAGACTGAGAGCACACGAGAAGTCCATCATAATGATCGGCGAACCTTCCACTCAGCAACTAATCTTGACTCGTGACCTGCAAGAAAGCCGCCGCATCACTCCTTGCCGGAGTGTGTATGAGGGAATTCACCCCCCGCCCCCTCACCGCGTACCGGTTGAGTTTGATTTGAGCTTGAGTGAGAAAGTTGAGTCGTCATTTTTACGATCACGCGCCTGGCTCCTCTGACGTAATCAGTACACACCTGTGCTGCATGCATGCATGATTGATTATCCAATCAATCCAAAAATAATTGTTTGCTGTTTTCTCTCTTCGATAGGCGACTTATGGTTACCTTCCGCGCTCCAGTGGACCCATTTTTGTACTGATTGCCGGAGAAATAGAATTTTGAAGGTGCCGTAGTCCGTCTTATCTCCGGATCGATGGCGGCGTGTGCTTGGCGGATCACTTCACTTCGGAGAACTCCGCTCTGGTGTCGACAAATTCTGCGGAGCAAATCCGACCATTCGCCCAGCTGGGTAAGTGAAAGTGAGCAACGCATCACTTCACAGTTTGGCACTTTCGTGTGAGTCTGATCATTCACAACTACAGTCTAAAAGCTGCGCAGGCTATTCACCGTAGTCAATGATTTGAGGTATACATTATGAAATGTCGTAAAGTCCTGGTCTACTGTACATAGAAGTTATTTGAAATTTGAAATATCTTGGTCTCCTTTGAGTACGAACACTGTAGAATAGCAGCGCCGGTTACCACATGTGAGAACACACAATCTCAGACTGTAGGGTCGGGTTCTGTACACCACAAGAATTGGTGATATGACCGATCACCTTGCCTTTGCATGAGAATGCATATTACCGAAAGCACAAACAAGAGCGTGCAGCTACACAGCTGGTCTGGTCCAAGGCGGAATTTGTTGTTGTTGACGTCACCTTTTTTTTTTTAAATGTATGGCACATGTCATGCAAAACATGCCCTAGGTGATGGATGACCTTCATCGCAAGTCTATGTATGTATTTACCATTTTCAAGACGAAATCTTTTTCGCCCGCTGCTGTAGCATTTTATCGTACTTGTAGTGCAAGTTTAATGAAACCTGGCCAAGTTCGAACCCGGACTCGTAGTACATACCTCGTACAGTATGACTCGTGATCTCCAGAAAAAATGACGTCAACAAGAAATTCCGCCTTGGGCCAACTCCAGCAGAGCTCCAGACTCTTCTTATTTGTGTACTCTTTGATCTCACTGATGTTGCATGCCAGGGCAAATTGATACTGGGGGAAACGCAGCAGTACATTGAACAGATCTTGCTGCAGCTTTGACCGTTCGTGAACTGCACCGCTTGGGGAGAAACCGTGACATTGCCTTTGAAAGCCCTAGCTCCGCTGCTACATCGCCATTCAAGCGGATGACCGAGTGCTACCTTCGTCAAGAAGAGCGTTGACTTGAGCTTGCTTATGGCTGCCAGCCAAATAGAACTGCTGGTTGAAGCGACGCACAAACTCATTGATTTCCTCGAATGGCGCGCGGAAGACGTCGCCGACCAAACTCATAATATGTGCAAGGCAGGTGACGTGAGCAGCATTCGGAAATAGCGATGCCAAAACGTCCCAGAACGCCTTTTTTCATGTAGGCTGCATTATCCATGTCAAACGGCAAAGACTTGCTCAAACTAATACTTGATGTTTGAACGAGTGCCTGTGACACTGTCGAGTGGTCTGTCTTTTCCAAGAAGACGAGGTCGGCGAATTTCATGATCAGCTTGCCATCGCTGTCCTTCTCCATGGTACTGAACAAGATACTGAGGACGTAATGGCCAGCATCGTCACTCATCTTGTCTGAACTGACGGCAATGTTCTGGCCGACTGGGTAGTCCATCAGCTGCTGGCGCTGGGCGTCGTGAACGAGCAGCGAATAGTGTTGTTGCAGCTGTTACCTCCGGCAGCAGCTCCACCGTTCCTGACGCACTTTATACCTTGTGGTGGAGGTGCTGGCGGACGGACGTACGTTTCTCTCCTCCTCTCCGGTGATGTTATATACCATAGTTGAGGGATCCCGAAACTTACGGGCCCTCGGAACTTTTGCACGCATTCCCGAACTTTCGGATGATCCATTTTGTACAAAGGATTATTTGCGGTGACGAGCGTTTCTACTCAATCCGACACGACGTTCGGCCCTTCTTTTTCTGCAGTGGTCGTGGCATTCAATGTTGAAGGGAGCACTTTCTGGCGTTTGCAAGAGGCCCGTCAACCTCCACGTCCACAGCCAGTTTGTACTGGGAAGACTTCAAGTGCTGATTGATTGTTGACGCCCTAGTCGAGTCGACAACTCAATTGCAGATCTTACAAAACAACTTCCCACTCCTCCTACATGCAGATATGGTTGCGAGCAGGATCTTTCTCCGTGACGAACTTCGCTGTCTTGGCCAACCTTCGATGGCATGGTTGATGATGGATCCGATATCTTTCGACGATGGGTTGCTGAAAATACCAGCTGTGAACAGATGCCATGTGTTTGCTAGCTTCTAAGATATCAATAAGCCGGGCCAAAGCGTTCAGTAATTTTCCCACAAGAGTCTAGTGGTGTAGAGGGTAGGCTTGTGTACCCATGCATGCACGTGAGCCACTTCAGAGTCTCATGCTGCATGCGCAGTACCTACTGCATGTACTGTACTTACTGCATGCGCAGTATCTACTGCATGTACTGTACTTACTGCATGTACTGTACTTACTGCCTGTACTGTACTTACTGCATGCACTGTACTTACTGCATGTACTGTACTTACTGCATGCACTGTACTTACTGCATGTACTGTACTTACTGCATGTACTGTACTTACTGCATGTACTGTACTTACTGCATGTACTGTACTTACTGCATGTACTGTACTTACTGCATGTACTGTACTTACTGCATGTACTGTACTTACTGCATGCACTGTACTTACTGCATGTACTGTACTTACTGCATGCACTGTACTTACTGCATGTACTGTACTTACTGCATGTACTGTAGTGCCAGCGCACACATGCACACTGCACTTTGCACTACATAGGCAGTCAATTGGATGCAATTGGATGCTGGCTCAGCCGGCCTGAGTGGTCGGTTGTAATGTTTGGCAGCTGCATGTAGAATGTTGTCTAAAACTCATCTGTCCGAACAAGTACAGTATTTCCCCTAGTGTACGTCGCACCTTTTTCTACTAAACGTCAAGGAAAAGGAAGAGGGTGCGACTGACAATCAAGTGTGATTTCCTACTTGATCAGTTGATGTGAATGTATTGAACCAGTGTGGCTCACAGCTGAAAACGAGGGTGCGACTTATAATCGGGGAAATACGGGTAGTTGCACCCATTCTAATCTACCATTAGTGACCTCTGCCTTGTGCGACCAATGATCGCATTTTCTTGCAGAGAGCCTGCATACCGTATTATCTCTAATATAAGCACGATCCTTTATTTTGTCAATGTACCTCTGCCCCGTGCTATTACCGTAAAGTACCGCCAGAGCGCCCCACCATCTCGTCCTTTCGTGGTCGTCTTGTGGAGGTGGTTTCCTGTCTGTAGGTCATACGACACGGACCTTGTACACACATTGCACGTTATGCAGTCAATCCATACCCAGTTTATCTTTGAGCGGATGCGAGCTCCACATAAAAACATGCCCAGTGTGACCTTAGTACAAAAAGGTTTTCACACAGTACAAACTTAGTAGCATTCGGCCATACGATTTTCTTCCCTTGGCTGTAAAATCAAGGTGGGGCGCTCTCGCGAGACGGGGCGCTCTGGCGATACTTTACGGTAATGGAGACTGTTCCATTATTATTTCAACCTCATTTCAGAGGCATGTTGCCATGCCAAGATCATGTCAGACACACATTTCAGGGGTTTTCGTACTGCATTTTACCAGGTACCGATAGAAATGCACACATTTCAATTTTTTTTAAATTGCGGTACTGCATTTTGCCAGGTACAGATAGTGAATTTACACAAGCCAGACATGGAAGCAATTAGAGCAAGCAATACAGCGATTTAGGAAAGTAGAGATACCGTATCAATCTCCATACTGTACAGTGGGAAACATACCGGTAATACACCTACAGTGACAGGTTGGTGATCACGCAACACACAACAATCGCAATCACACAACCGCATGTATACCGTAACCAGTACCGGTAAGTAAAAAGAAACCCAACGACAGGAAGAACAGCAAGCCGAACATGTCCGACACCGTCGACACGCAAACACACTACCGGTAGTCTTCTTCCGAGCTGCTCGAGTCGTCCGATTCGTCCTCATCTGGAACCACCACCACCACCTCAGCTTCAGCGTCGTCCACGTGGTCTTCCTCCTCGATCACCTCAGGCTGCTGAGTAACAATCTCGGCTGATTTGGCCTTCAGCTGCGGCAGGCCTTCTGGAATTTGACCGTGTGATTTGAAGCAATGTATCAGGTCATCTTCGGACCCGTCGGCAGCAATCGTAATGCCGCACGCCTTGAAGGAGCTCGTGATTATGGCACTGGACAAGCTGGCCCAGGCATCCACGACCCATTGCAGGTAGACGTGCATTGGCGGTGGGTGAGGGTTGCCGCCACGGGTCAGCTCCTTCTCACCATGCAGCATCCAGTCTTCGTGGTACTTGCGAATCGCGGCTTTGAACGGCTGTTTCCACGAAACGTCCGGTGCCTGGACGTACTTTGTACACCCCTCTGGTACAATAGCTTGGTGGAGCTTCAGCTCAGACATCACTGCCTTGGTATTCTTGCTGAGGTGGCACCGGAACGCATCCCAGACAAGGAGACGCTTGCCGAAAGCAAAGCTAGTGGCCCGATGGCACGGCGCAGGAAATCTTCAGTTAATGAGTTATCCATCCAGACTTTTCCGGCCAATTTCAGGATCAACGTCCCTCCGAACTTTTGCACGATTGCAGGAACAGGGCGCTTTCTTGGTAGGAGAACATAGGGCTTCACCTTCGTTCCGTTCGCTCTTGCACACAGCATGACCGTGACATGCACCTTCTCGTGCCCAAGAGTTTGCACGATAACATCCTTCGCTCCCTTGGTGGTGATGCAGTTCTTCCCAATGGGATCGAGCCAAACTGCTGTTTCATCGCAAGCGAGGATGTTTGCATCTGTGTAATTGTGCTGCTGGCGTTGCGTTCGCAGGAACAGCACAAAGTCGATGATTTTTGGAACGTAATCGGCAGGTGGCTTTTGACACGTAGTCGTTGTAGCACGAAGACTAAAATTGTTGCGACGTAATAACTTCTCTAGCCAGCCCAAATTCGCTGTGAACTTGTTTGCCTCCAGTTTGCCAGCTTCAACAAGCTCGGAAGCTATTTTCATTGCCTCCAAGCGAATAAGACGGTGAGAAACACATTTGCGACGTTCTCGCATGTTCAGCACCCATTGTCGAACACGGTCATTCACCGCAGCGGCTAGCTGCGTGCGCCCACCGCCAGAGAGACGTTGACTCTTCGAACTCTTCTTGCCGCCAGACAACTCAGCCTTCATTTTCGCTTCATTTTTCCGCCAAAGTACGATCTGGTTCCTGCCGACCTTGAACTTCTGGGCAGCGGCAGAATTGTTTACACGCTTAGAATATTCTACAGCTTCCAACTTTAGCTAGAGAGAAAGAGTTCTCCGTTTCTTCGATGAGTTCTCTGCCATCTTTACACAAGCTTACAGGAAAGAACGATCTTACCGCGTGGGTGAAAGGAAAAACCATGCCATGCGCCACGTGCTTACAGTGCACAGCACGTGTACCTTTCTACGCCTACGGTACGGTAAGTTGTTTTTGGTGCACGCGACTGACCATGGTAACATGTACATGCAATGTGTGTGCATATAATACCGTACCGTGTCCTTTATTGGAGACCCAGGTGGTTTTCAGGGCACTTCACAGTGTGCTTATAATGGAGACTGTGCACTCTATTTTTTGAATGCTGCCCCAAGGTGTTCTATTATTGGAGACGTGCTATTATTGGAGACTGTGCTTATAGATAATACGGTATCAATGTGCTGTTACCTAGCCTGTAGGCGACCGCGACGTAGCTTCGGTTAGGCGCAAACCATGTGAGCTTGCATGCAAGCTGTGTGGCAAGGTGTTAAAAATGCACCGTTGCTTGGGATAGATTTGACAGTGTTTATCTAATATTTGTTTGTAGCAGTAGGTTTAATCCAGGACATTTTTCAGATATTGGGTTGTGGATGTTTCCCTGTTTTTTGTTGTTGTTTCTATCAGAATAAAGTCTTCTCGGACAGTTCGCATCGTGAGTGCTGGAAATGCATGTGTGTGTGTGTGTGTGTGTGTGTGTGTGTGTGTGTGTGTGTGTGTGTGTGTGTGTGTGTGTGTGTGTGTGTGTGTGTGTGTCTGTCTTTTTTCTGTATCTTGCCCTCACCCACTTACTGATGTGTGGTGAGCCCATAAGTGGGATCATTTCCAAGTCCACCCAGAGTTTGGGGATTTCAGGGGGTATCGGCCGTTGGGCAGTTCAATTGCCTATTGAGTCATCTTTCCAAGATTCCTTTTTGAGTAGCTCTCCCCTTTCCCAAGGGAAGACTCACGTGACCAGTTATGGCAGTGAACAAGTACAAGTGTGGGTGTGTGTGTGGGTGTGTGAATGTGTGGGTGTGAGTGCATGGTTGCGCGTGCGCGTTTGTGCGCATGTGTGTGTGTGGGGGGGGGGGGGGGGGGGGCGGGCATGTGGGTCAGGTGTGTAGGTGGGTGCGCACACATGTGTGCACCCGGCGTGGGAGTTTGTAAACTTTGTCCTCCAAACTTTGGTCCTAGCTTGGGGAAAGTTAGTCAGTTCGTCTGGTTTGGGTTCAACAATCCCGTAGTGTACTGCCGTACAGAACAGATCTTATACTCTGGTAATTCTGGTTATAGTACATGTAGTGATAGTCCTGGGATCATGGCTAAGAGACCATAAGCCCTTGCACAATGACGTAATTTGTACCGTAAACACCCCACACAGCCACCTGGGTATGGTCGTCTAGGGTGTTGAACAGTGCATTCCTGATCCCATTGTACTCACATGCATTACTCATATCTTCCATATTTGGCAATGTGCAATGGGCTTATTGGGTGGGTGGATGTGAGAGTATAAGTGAGGTTTACTGATGTCCTTCTCTTCCTCCTGTCTGCAGTGTACTTGTCATGGGTACGGAATGGCTTACTAATGACAGTGTTGGGTGTCAGCACACGTAGCCCAGCCGCTGATGGAGATGCTAGCCTAGCCGTGCGCATGGAAGAGAACTCCGTCTCCATAGGTCAGTAGTACACTGTATTGCTATTTGTGTGTGTGTGTGTGTGTGTGTGTGTGTGTGTGTGTGCGTGCGTGCGTGCGTGCGTGTTTGTGTGTACGTGCATGCATGTGCACGTGTGTGAGTGTGTGTGTGTGTGTGTGTGTGTGTGTATGTGTGTGTGTCGAAACGTAGCAGCTATGACACTTGCTTCAAGCTGAGTGTCATTGTACCTGCCGAGGAAGTAGGCAATTGATTCAAATTACAGATGCAGCTTACACACCGAATACAGGGTAGATGCCTATACTAGTATTTCGGGACGAAAACATGGGGTGCGGCTGATACTCCGGAAAATACTGTACGTAACGTTATACCCAGAAGTGAAGCACTTCTGGCATACATGCCCGGTATGGCACTCTTGTGTGGACTGGGTGGGCGAGCATTGCACACCTGTTCTTTATGGCAGCCTGGACTAGGCTATGCTGACTTCATGAGAGCCTGGACATACCTATGAAGGGGGATGAGCCATTCAAACCCACATTTGTCTCATTGTGTTCCTAGGCTCATATAATTATGTGTGTTTTTTTCTCTTCAATTTGTGTGTGTGTGTACACTTTTGAAATTGTCCGGTCTGCTATAGGTTTCCTGTCCCTGGCAGCTGGCTGCTTGACGTTTGGCTCAGCGCAGCACGTTGCAGTGGCATTGCGCTTGCACCGTGCCTACGCTCAGCAGATGGGCAAGCTGAAGCTGCTGCGCGTCGCCAGTTACACCAGTGCTACCGTGGCCGTGTGGGGCACAACGGTCGCGTGCTTGCTCAAGCGAGATCTCCGTATCACTCTCCCCGGCCTCACTGCGCCCACGCAAAACCAGGCCCCAGCTAAGCAGGAAGGCGGCAGCAGTTGATTTTGAGTGTGGTGAGCCAACGTGGCTCCACTTGATTTTTGTTGAGTTCTATGATTTCGTCCGTGCTGGAATGATCTCAGGGCAATACTCCTTCTTTCTACTCCAGTAGTCCGCTGTTCGGGACATCAATCTACTGTCTGTTTAACCAATCAGCTTCACATTCCATCCTTTGCAACGCGCCAGTCATTGATGGGTTCAGGAGCTGGGCCAAAGTCAACTGCCGTGCCGCGCCGCATCAGAGTGAGCCCAGCCCCGTGTTGGCCCTGGCCTCTGAACTGAGGTACGCCAGTAAGCATGGACGCAGCACCAGCAGCAGCACAGGCCTGTCTGAAACCCTGTGAGATGTACACGGGTCCCTGTCTTGATCGCGAGGTGACTGCCTGGCCCCTGCCTGTAAGCGCAGCCACATGCTCTGCCCCCCAGCTGCCGGGGTGGGCTTATCCATGCCGTCCGCTCAGCTCTGCATGGGCAAGACCGATTTCCTTTCAGTGTAGTTCGTACTAATACTAGGCTCCGAGATTGCCGTGCTGCAGCTAAGTTGTAATTTAGCAACACTGGCTTGTATTACCCTGACACAGACACAGGCACTCAATGTGCCTGGTTTATTCTATTGCTCAGTTTCATCATGCTTCAGCATGGTTTTTATCATGAAGTTCTACCTCAGTTTCTGGCCAGTTTTTCTCTGGACTTTGATTTTATTCGCGTTGTCCCGCTCTGGCTAAGCGGGCTGCTCCTGCTCCATCGCCAGGGCCTTCGCTGGCTGTTTGTGCTTCTGACGCACGGCGCAAGCTTATTTTGTTACAGCTTCAAAAGCCTTCAATATCCTTCTACCTCTCATTTGGGAGCATTGATGAATCAGTTAATTTAATTACCGTATGTCCGCACCTTTAAAGCCATGGCGGTATATTCGATTATAAAGCCAGTCTCAGTTATAATATAAAGCCATGGGCTTAAAAACGAAATGACATTTGAAGTATGTTTTGTAAAAATGAAGGAGTAAGTACTATGCTAACTAACTTACAGGCCAGCAGGAAGGCCTTAAGGGTGAACAAGTGGATTTAGATTGAAATTTCTGTGTGGACATTGACTTTCATGGCGTGGCGTAATGGGTGAGTCAGTTTGCATCTAAAATATCTAGGAAAGCAGCGGTGTTTCGAATATAAGGCCATGGCTTTAAAGGCGCTGACATACGGCAAGTACAAGCTGCTTGACTTTGTTATACCAAAAGTGGCTAGCACTCTGTTCCCGTAAAACTGTGCGCGCGCATGTGGGTGCATGCGTGGGTGTATGTTCCCCCTGATTGATATTAAATTTGTGAAGGCGACTGCCATGTGCCGCCACGTACGAGTATCGCCATGACACGTGTCAACACTGGGCTTGCAATATGAATTGCCTGGTTAGAAGAAATAGCCAGTATAAAATTGAAGAATAAATAGAGAGCAGATCTGTTCAATTCTTGTCATGCAGCAAATCAATTGAATACTGATACTAAGCCTGTGGTTTGCCACGATGATGATAACGTTTGTTCAGAAGAGTAAGCCAAGTTTGACTTGTGTATCAATCCCAATAATAGCAGCTGAGTACTGAAGTAGTATTCCGTTCCATTGCATCCTGTTTAGAACAGTGTGTGCACTCAGTGTGGTTAAAATTTTAATTATCAAAGAGGTCTCTAGATTCTGGTCGTCAAGGATGATTACTTTAGTCTCCATTGACAGCAGGGCAGGAATCATGCACGGTAGAAGAACTTGATTGGGTATCTTCTACCACGTGTGTTTCATAAGGCTGTGTTGGTGCTTGCTCGTTCATGATAGGCGACCTAGGGCCCACACCAATGCCTTTCGCACGGGGCCGTCGCTCTTTCACGGACGATGCACAGCTCTCGCTATCGTTGATTGGCCCGATTTTTCTCCGACGTTGCTGCTTCTCCATGTAGGCTTTCCACGTGTTCAGAGTGTCCAGCATAACATCCACTTCACCGACAAGCTTGGCGTTCTGAACATCGTCCTCTTGGTTATCGCCGGAGGCCGGCTCAGTAAGGGGCTCTAGCATGGCAGCCTTGGTGTCCCGCGCTTCTTCGTGTGCCTTGCTGATAATGGACACGATCAGTGTGAGGAGAACGAACGATGACAGAAAGGTGAAGACCAAGAAGATGGCTACGGTGACTATGCCGCTGCGCCAAAGTTCAGGTGTGATGTTCAGCTCTCCGATCATGCCCAGCCAGAGAGTAGTCACGCTGCGTACAATAGTGCGGACATCGCTCGCCTCGATGCTGTATATGCAGAAGAACATGGCCACAAAGCCGGCAAAGAGGATTAAGAAGGAGAAAGAGAACGAGAGCAGCTCGACAACGGCGAAGCGGAGTGTGCGCACCAGAACGCCCAGCGCCTTCAGGTGGAGAAGGAACTTCAAGAAGTTGAACGTGTGTATTAGAATGGCAATGCCCAGCAGCAGCCTGACACGGGTCCAGGCCGCAGCGAGCTGTAGAACCTCAAAGCGCACTGCATACCTCACAGTAGCGCTCTCCCACGTTCCCAGCGGCACGGCGGCCGTGAACAGTGTTTGATCAAACACACTATTGCCGCAGTCGGCGTATCGGATGGACTTCATCTTCAGGCCAATGGCAACTGCCATGAACACAGCCCAGGCAATCTCGGGGACGATGAACGGCTTGTTGATCAGTCGACGGTAGTTCTGTATGACATCAAAGACGAGAGCGACCACCGTATACGTTACAAAGGGCAGTGTCCCCAGGTAGAGGGGCTGCAGGGCAGACTTAAATTTAACGATTGTGCAGTTGTCCAGCGTATTCAAGTTGGCCTCATTCACCAGCCTGGAAATGTACTCATCGTATTCGTTTTCGGGACTGCGCGTGTCAAGATCGTCCTCCTGGAAGTAGTAGTTGATATCAACTCTCGGCTGCATAGCCACATATCTCCCTGCACGGTTCTTTTCAATCAGGAAATCCAGGTTAGTCCAGATGGGATTGTCAACGAAATCCAGCAACGCTATTCCCACGTCCAGACCAATCGCTCTAGTTTGATCGTCAATCCATTTCCCATCGCGCATCAGCTGCAGTAAATGCAGCGAGCGGTTGTAGTAGACCGGCGGCGAGAACCACACCCAGAAGCCTGCCAGCGGATACTCGCCGAAGTCGCCGGCTATCTGGTAGTCTTCCATGCTGATCTCGTAGCCGGTCGTGCTGTTCACTGGGTTCTTGTAGTACTTGAATTGAAGATCCTCCTTTGCGCCGTACGTGCTGCGATCCTCCGTATCCATGCTGAAGCTTGGGTAGCATTGGCCAGAGCCCGCGACGGCCAGGCTAGTGTACAGTGCACTGCAGTTGATCGGCTTGACCCGGTTCTGGCGCAGTCGTATCGACGTTACCATGGCCATGCGCCCGGACAGGCGTCTCGATATGACCGTGGTGGAGTCCACGTCTCGGTCGTACACGTACTTCATGACACTGCGCAGCCAGCTCCACACATCGTCTTCGCTGGAGATTTGAGTGAACTGCTCACTGTTGAAGTCCTTACGTAGGAATGCGTTCGACTGGTAGATATCGTTACCGGTTATAATGGTTGCCTTGAGAGCCAAGACGAAGCCCACCGTCTGCAGGACGTACACGAGCAGATCCAGTTTCCCCCTGTGCTTTGGCCACGGCCAGCACCAGCGCACCAGAATGAGAGGCGCAGCGATCCAGCCGGCCAGAGCGAAGTGCAGCAGGTGATATCCCGGCCGACGGCCTGGCTTGTAGATGGCCGCCTCGGCAGCCAGGCCGATCAAAGCCAGTAGAGCCGGTATGGCCACCACTGAGACGCAGATCTTCAACGCCAAACCGAAGCGCCAGCGCTTCCGATCCGTCATTTTTCCCGCTCGCGTCGTTGTGCACTGGATTGGAGGAACCGCGAAGGCAGTCGCGAGCCTCGAGGGCCTCTGGCCCGCCGCGATGTACCTACTCCTCCCCGCCCGGTGTTCATCAGGCTCGTTTTGCTGGTAACGAGCGAGCAAGTACAGTCGATCATGTAAGTAACATTAGTTGCACTGAATCGTAAACGCAAGAAGTTTTGAACAGAGAAAAAATTAATGTAGTTGTTTCGTGACATGTGCACGAAATCTTCATTGCCATGCCATTGACTCAGGCCTTGCTAAAAAATGCAATGCAACGACGTAATCATCATGATCATGTGTGGTGGTTGCATTAGGTTGTCTTGTTGTCATGACTGACCATGGCATAGGCCAGGGCCTGCGCCTGTCACCCTGGTCACAGACTAGACTGCGTCGATCAACTGAGCCGCTAGCCGTTCGAAGCAACTACCGCCAGTACCGGAACACACACATGGTATTATTGTGCTATCCACCATTTAATATTTAGCAATAATCATGGTAGTTTAGTTTTTAGTTTTTTTTAAGTTTCGTTCCAAGCAATACATGGCTGGGGTAGCCAATGACCACACTTTGCGTGGCGATTGCAGGGTTTTTATAGCCAGCCATGCTACACGACTACATACCTGCCAATCTTTGCAAACCTGAGATTGGGACAATGAGTCATACCTAGGTACATGTATGAGAATGTATACAAATGTAGCTGTGTCAACAATAAGAAAGTGATACACTGTAGATTGGAATACGAGGGGCTACATTCCATGTATATGTACATGCACAGACTCAGCACCAAGATTTCATCACCACAACTGACCAGGATCACAGCAGGAGTTACATGGATGTACATTGTACTCTTGACAGAGTACATTATTGTGTGGCCAAAAAATTTCAAAATAAATTATACTGTTTTCAAGTGTTTCGAGTCTGACTTCAATTTTGCCCAGATTTAACTGCTGGGATCGAAATTTCACCTTGTATTTACTTCAAGTGCCGTCGATTACTACAATATACTGGGTGGAGCAACACTTACATTTCGCATGCTGCTACAGTTTCCTATCATCTCTGTACGGTAATAACAGTGGGCGCTATGACTTTATGATGCACACTCACTCACATGAGCACACACACACATCCACATACACACACATACACACGCACACACACACACACACACACACACACACACACACACACACACACACACACACACCATTGGACCATTGGACGCCCATCGCCGGAGGCGATGATAGCGATGCTACAGCAGAAGCCATAGCAGCTTGTGCTGGGATTGCACCATTCAACAGATTGCAAGGCTGAAGAATTGACCGCCACTATTCAGCCTGGTCTACACCACACAGCTATGAAGTGGCTTTTTCTGGCCAGTGAATCCCTACTTTTGGTCTTTTTCATTTTTTTCCCGCACACACATCACACCACATACTCCGGCATGCACTGGCTGTTGGTAACCATCCAGGAGAATGAAAGAAAAGTCAGGATGAGTCTGAGAAAGAGAAGAAAGACGTGTGTGACCATACTCGTTGGGAATCGAACCCACAACCTATCGATTGGAAATCGCTGCACATACCACTGCACGATATGGGACACACACACACACACACACACACACACACACACACAAACACACACACACACACACACACACACACACACACCTTGAACCTTGAACGCCCATTGCCGTCCCAATGATAGCGATGGATTCCTCACGCTGAGGCTCTAAACTCGAAATCTGCAGTATGGCGCATGCCGCTTGAGGTCACCAGGACGACGGAACACTCTGTCACAGCGGTAGTTGGGGCACGGGATGTCTGGGGCTTCCTTCTCGACCCTCTGTCGACAACATTGAAACCAGGTGGATCTCTCCTGCGCTGTGTCATACCAGTCCGCTTCAGGCAAACCGATGACAGCAAAGTCCGAGGACACAACATCCCGCCTGCGCTTCTTGGGACCATGTTGCGGGCATCTGCAGGGCAGTTCGCCG